CTCCACCTTTCCTTCACTCTGTTCTACCTTTCCACACATTCCTTCATCTGTCGCTTTCTTCTATAATCAGCCCTATTCGCTAACTCCCCTTCATTCTTTTTCATTAAATCCTGCATCCTCCCCTGTAACAGACCTTTACTCCCCCCCACCCCAAATGCGACTGGTCCTCAAACTGGAAAAACAGCACATTCAAAACTTACATAATCTGACACCAATTCATCATTTCAGCATATTTCAGCAGTCTGGACTGTTTTGGTACCAGCGCTGTGGTTCCTCCCTCCAACACGTGTTGGGGGAGGTCGTACGTGTTTTGCCGAGCTTAATTTGCCCCTTTCCAAAAAGCCTCACGAACACAGCTCCTTCCCAGATGCAAATCCAGCGATAACTCGGTAATCTCCCTCTCCCAGTCCAACAGCTGGCTCTCATCTTCTGTAGCTTTGGGGATATATGCTTCCCTTATGCAAAGAGTTCATCTTAATGGATATTAATCATGCAACTTGCTACTGATGTGCCTTAATTTACTGTGAAGCCAAAAAGTCGCCTGGTGCTGTTGTGTATTTGGAACAGCTTTGGGTTCTGAGATGGGGAGAGAGAGATGGAAAGGGAGAGAGAGAGAGAGAGAGAGAAAATTGCTTCCAGCATATAATGCAGTGGATCATCAACTGAGAGGACATTTGTAATTAAGTGAAACATATGAGTCATCTTGAAGCCTTTCTCCATGCTCCCCAAAGTGTCAAGGATTTAGATGTCATAGGCATGGTCCAAAAAGAAAAATCTAATTGTATTTGTCTTAGCAAGCATCTGGACCTCAGTTCTGGCCTCCTCAGGATGACCCCTCGAGGCTCGGTTTGAAAGTAAGTGAAGCACTCCAATTGCCGTGCACAATATCCAAGCAGCTCCTTCAAAAAGCAGTGGGGCCTCAAAGCAGGGCTTGTGTAATTTAAGAACGAAGGCTCTTACAGTGCCTTTCTACCAATGGCCCGAAGGCCCTTCAAGCCTCATTGAGCTGGATGTTTCACTATGGATATGGGCCATAAGAAGCCAAATGAAGTAGTGGCACAATGTATAGCAGAATTGCCACTCTGGACCAAGAAGCACACAGGCAAAACGTTGTGTATAAGAACTTCGGAAGTGCTCACAGCCGTGACGCCTCATTAAATCCAGGCGGAACTCAAGTCTGTGATAACAGCCAGAGTGCCCTGCAAACCCAGAGGTGCTTCCTTCCATCCTGTCCCACCCTTCGCTCCTATAACTACCCAACACTGTGCCCTGCAAATTACTTCCAGCTTGGGGACACATGTTGATTATGAGGTATGAGCAATCGTGAAATGCCAGGGACAGAGGCTAGAATTAGGATGGTGGTCAGGAGAAGAGTGAATTAGCTGAAGTCAGCTTTTTGCAATTACTATCCAGAACCTAACAGGGGGATACTACAGCGTCATTTACAGCCTATGCTTCTATTATTAGTATCACGATGTCAGAGGCATCCAGGTCAACCATATAGCTCTGTGAGATTTCTGAAGGTGCAAAACAGGATGTTCAGCAGGAGTGTAGGACACGAAAACACGCCCAAACGGATTTAAATACCTCTTCTAATTAGTTCAGCTACTTTAATATTCGCTCACTGCTGACACATGTATCCTATTGTACACACACAGCTTGAATAGTTTCTAATTAAAAGTATTGCCAATAGAATAAGATGCTTTGCAGCAGCCACACATAAGCCTAAGGTCATCATGCCCAGTGCCTGGGCTGTGGAGCTGGGGAACTGCGTTCTCTGGAGTGATGGAGCTCCATCCGATAGCTTTGGGATGAGTTAGAGTGCTGTTTCGTAAACCAGAATTACAATCTCTTTTTCCAAAAAAAGTCATGATGCTGTGCAAAATGTAAATAAAAACGGAATCCAATGATGTACAAATTATTTAAACCCTATATTTGATTAAAAATAGTACAAAAGACAAGCTCAAATGTTGAAATTGAGATTTAAAAACACCCAGAGGAACATCTCACAACTAATTACATTAATTGGCAACAGTTCAGCAAAATGATTGGGTATAAACAGAGCATCTCAGAGAGGCTGAGTCTTTCAGAAGTAAAGATGGGGAGGGGTTCACCACTCTGTGAAAGACTGCAAGAATAACGTTTCTTAGTGTAAAATAGTGAAGAACTTGGAGATTTCATCACATATGTTACATAATAACATTTAAAGTTTCAGAGAATCTGGAGAAATCTCTGTATGCAAGTGACAAGGATGAAAACAAGCTTTGCCTGGCCATTATCTTCAGGCCCTCAGATGGCACTGCATTAAAAAGAGACATGATTCTGTAGCATGGGCTCTGGAACGCTTCCGAAAACCACTGTCTGTGAACACTGTTTGTTAAAACTCTGACATGCAAAGATAAAAACATATATTAACAGGATCCAAAAACGCTGCTGCCTTCTCTGGGCCCCGAGATCATTTAAGATGGACTAAGGTGAAGTGGAAAAGTGTCCTGTGGTCTGAAAAATCTAAATTTTTAATTCTTTTTGGAAATCGTGGATGCTGTGTCCTCTGTGCTAAAGAGAACAGGGACCATCCGGCTAGTGTACAGTGCACAGTTCATGGCATTGGTGACTTGCACATCTGTGAAGGCACACTAGTGCTGAATGATATATACAGGTTTTGTAGCAAAATATGCTGTCACCCATCAAAAACATTTGATGCATTGTGAAATGAAAAATACAACAAAGGGGACCCTGAACTGCTGAAATCCTATATCAAACAAGAACTGGAAAACATTTCACTTTCAAAACTACAGCAGTGTCTCCTCAGTTCCCAAACGCTTACAGAGTGTTGTTAAAAGGAAATTTCTCACTTTTAACATGATATTTTGGCCTTGTACTATTTCCAATTAAATGCCAGGTTTTTTTTATTTGCACATCATTGCATTCTGTTTTCATTTGCATTTTGTACAGCGTCCCAGCTTTTTTGGAAACGAGGTTGTAATCATCCAGCATCAGAATCATTTGGACATATAGTGTGTGTATAGCGTTAAACAGCAATAGTCATCATTTGCCTCTCCACATAGGCAGAATTGGACACAAGTAGGTACCATACCAGATTTTAGTTTGTGGGCTTTTAAGTTGTTTTCTTTTTGTTTTAGTTTTGCACAACTGATGAAGGCCTGGCACGTAGACTGAAACATCATGACTGTAAAGAAACCAAATCATGGAAAACTGATTTTTCCCTGCTTTTATAAAATAAAAAAATTTGACATACCATGTAAACAATGTTAAAGCTACACAACTTACTGTTTAATCCTCAGTCCATACAACCCATACATGGAATATAGACGCAAAAACGCCATGAATATGCACGGAGGTCACACTGACATAGATCCACCTGTTCAACCAAAGCAGTTTGGCCCAGCCCATTTATTCAGAAGTTAAAAGAAGGGTTTCAGTCTAAACCGCTTTTTGAACGATGCAGCCCATTAGAACGGAGCTAAATTATCTGATATATCTTAGTCAGAAAGGCACAACAACAGAAGTAGCTTTTTAATTTTGGGGAATAATTTTAATTTTATTAATAATAATAATAATAATTGTTGTGCATATAAAATGAATTGAACTGTTTTGGTACATAAAACTACAAAAAAGTTATAAGTGCTATAAGTGGGCCTCAAGGGGAAAAATAAACAATAAAAATGTAGGGTATGGGCCCTGTTTTCAGTCAATGTCAGCTTTTAAGCTATGTCCTTTTATGTTTTGTACATCTGACGACCTTTCATGTTGGCTGAAACATCATGGTTTTAGCTATATAAACGTCTGTGATATTGTTATGTGATGGGCTGTTGTGCCTTTTTTCCTAATAGGCTCTTGCTTTTTACACAAATTACCCGAAGTTGGTTGAAGCACCTTTTTTTAGCTGCACATTTTCTCTGATCTCTAAAGGATGTAGAATAGTGGAGTCACTGCAGGTCAGCACCAGATACCAATGGTAGTCTTCACCTCTCTGCATAGGCTGAATCAGACTTAACTCACGACACAAATGCTTCATTACAGCAGGGATAAGCTCCCAGGGCCTACACTGCTCCTACTCACGGGACCGAAACAGAGTGTCTCATAGCTTTGAAGCATTAAAGCTCTCCATAAACTCCCCAGCCACAAACAGTTCAATAAACACAGCCCTGCGGTCAAACCTAAGTGCTGGAGCTACATGTTTCTTCAGGTTAAAGACCTTTTGTTTCCAGTATTAGACACCTGAAGAGGATGAGAACTGAAGCTCACCAAGACCAAACTGCACGTGTAAAACAATCTTTAGAACTTTCAGGGACTGATTTAAATCTTTTTAGCTTAATCATCATAAACTACAGAGCCATTTCTCAGCACAAGATAGTCTACCAGGCAACACTGTAATACTCAGTTTATCCATTACAGTAGGCATGCAGAGAGGGAGGGTTTAGTTTTTATGTGCCTATATGAACGTCTTTCATTTGTGGACCTGCTGGTTCAATTAAATCCACACTAAATGCCAACCTAAATAAAATATCAATTCAGCTAAGCTAACGTCACATTGTCCTAAATAGCAGATGCATGGAAACGTGGAGCTTTCTCAATGGAGCACAAGATCTCATATTTCCTTTTGTTTATTTGATCCCACATCCCAGTCATACCAAAATCCTTACCTTACTTCACTCAGATGTCTTTCCATTCAATCTGTGGCAAGAGGCCTTTCACAGCCTTGGTAAGTAGGACAGTGAACTAGACCAGTATGAGCCATTTCTTCTGCCTTGTATTTTAATATGCTCTGTTCTCATGGCACCCTATGGACTCAACAAGGGAATGTGATGTACTGTGGCTTATGCTAAGCATCCAAAGTTAGCTAGCCAGCTTTGTTTGGGTGGTCTAAAATGGCCTCCCAGGTCACATGGCATCTAATCCCCAAACTTCATGCAATCCATTGGAACTGTTATGGTTTTGTAATGAACCAAAGTAATGCAAACCAAGACAAAACATCGCAATCAACCATGGTAATATCGTAAACTTTATTTTCAATTTTGTGCAAAAACAACCTTCACCGCCTGCGTTTTATGCCAAGTCAAATGACTGGGGTGCGACAAACCTCGGAGCCCTTTGTGTAAATCATGTCTAAGGCACTGCTGCAGCTTTTGTGAAGAGAAATATACATTTGCAGCTTTTCATTTTTTTTCATACGGTACGCGTAAAACATTTTAATAATAGAGAATTTATACAGTAAAAAGGACACAAAAAACATACACCTTCATAAAAACATACCGTTATATGCACAACTATTTCAGAATGAAATAATAAATCAAAATATTTACACAAAACATTTGGAAAAGCTGTACAGACAGTTATGATTTCCCTAAACATCCCATGTACTTTAACCTAATGCTGCAGCGAGACTGAGGTAGCCCATGAAGAGAGAGACAGTGAGAGAGAGAGAGAGAGAGAGAGAGAGAAAGAGAGAGAGAGAGTAAAAAGTAGCTAGATGGAAGGCTTTGTAAGTGGTAGTTAAACTGCACTGTTGTACAGCTTTAAGGAGGGATAGAAAGCTACGCTGACATAGACGCCAAATCCTTGGTTATGACTGTAACATAATCTCGCTAAGAAATACATCATATGAAAAGGAAGACTCGAGATAGCCAGCGTCCCTTTCCCTGCATGCCTTTGTGTTAAGTATCTTTTTATTACACTGCTGTGGAAGAGTGGTTTATACAGATCCATGTTCTACAGGATCTGTGTATTTTCCAAATCATTCCCAAATGCAAGAACTCAAAGCTAAGCTAAACTGACGAAAGTGCTCTTGGCAGTCAAGTGTGCCTCTGGGCCACGTTACCAAATGAGAAAAGTTTATATTGTAGTGGACATTCAAATGTCTCAGGTGGGCCCATCTCATAGATCCAGTATTAGATTCCATATTAGAATCGGAAAAAAAAGGAAACAGTAAGTTGTCCAGCAAGTGTCTGGACTATGAAAGCAGCCATGCAATCATTGTGAAGGTCCTGCTTCTACGTGCACTCAGTGCCTCTGACTTCGTTTAGGACTAAAAGCCGCTTCAATGTTTTTGCACCTTCCCTGAAACTCCAGCACATTATTGATACTGGAAGGCTCAGAAGCATTCTACAGGAAAGGTCTCTTTACATTGGACAGAAGCCTTTCCCCCCACCACCCTCCTTTCTCGTTCCTACGCAGAGCATCTGTCTATCTTCTGAAGGCTTCTCTGCCCACAAGAACAAAGCCCACGTAATATACATTTGCCCAGACACGGACCACCACCGCATGCCACCCTCCACTACATAAACACAGCAGGGTCATAAAAACGTAGAAACGACTTGAAGCCAAACTGGAACGTGAAACAAAAGAAACGGCTAACGAAATCAGACAAAATCACTGAATAAAAAGATCTGTACAAAATGATTAAATACAGTGTAACCAATATACATTCCGGTGTATGAGATCAAAGATTTCTGGTACTTAAAAATGAAAAAAGATATTACAAAAAATACTTGGACTTAATTGGAAATCATGTGTAAAAGTAAAAAAAAAAACAGCACTGCTGTTATATTGTCCTTTGTTGCCACAATCCATATTTCTATATACTGTGGGTGGCATTAAGAAAACGCATAAACAGGAAGGCACTGAAGCCTCCCTTGTTTAACCAGCTGACAGTAAGAAGGAGACGTTCGTTGGCTGAGGAGAAGGTCCAGCTGTTAGGTGTGGTTCCACTCCCTCTCAGACTGAGATAAAATGTTGGAAGAGGTGGCCAAGGTACTAAATAGATTGACACGTTCTGTCCTTCCAGATTGGATGGGGACCCTGTGTGCCCCTGGAGCAGTCCACGGTAAGCCCTGCGCATGTGAGCTCACTCTCGGACGGTGAAGACACGGAAGGCGCCTCCCTCTGCCTGGGTTTTGCTGGAGAAGGGAAGAGAAAAGCATCATAAAGTCTCAGTAACAGAAGACTACTTAGATTTGTAATGAAAGCAAACACAATCTATGAGATGCGATGAGATTTGGGGAAATACAATAAGTGATGAATATTTTGTTTGGTTTGTTCTAATGAATGTTTGCCCAGTGTTGATTTTACTCACTATGTGCTGGCCTGTTGAAGTCAATGCCATGTAATCAACTTTTACCTCCTCCATTTCATAGACTAATCATAGAAGGAATGGATGTGGAAACGTGATTAACACAGGCTCATTGTTACTGGTGTTGTGGTGCTGTTCAGAGTAATTTGACCTTTTTCCAAGCACTACTATTGACTATTGTACTTGGCCTTATAGCTTTGTTATTAATTCATTAGTGGAGTGGCCTTCAGGCTGCGCCATGCTGGAGAACAGTGCGAGAGAATGGAGGCCTTTGGCTTCAGATCAGCCACAATTATCTGTGCCAGGGAACCACTGAGTCAGCCCCCGACGGCTTTCCACCCGCTGGTAACTGGAGAGCGTGTGATTATTTTCTTGTTAATAAGGCATAGTTCACACGAGCGGTTGCCCCTCGTTTCCCAAGGATTGCATCATGTCAACAGCCTGACACGGGCCGACGCGGGGAAAAGCCATCCAGGCTGCACTTGGCTCGCTTTACTGAGCTGTGCCTACAGCCTGGTTGGCCAAGCTCTCCTCACTGAATGGCAGATCGATCTGGTCAAGGCGGGAGAGGATGTTGGGGTGCAGTGTCGGATTTCACTGGGTTGGAGCCGATTTTGCCCACACAGCACTTTGCACACACCATTGAAGTGCAGGGCTAGAGTAAGCAAAGAGTCCATGTGTGGTCCGTGCACACAGAGAAAACCACACCATTACTCTGAGACCACTAACGTGCCACAGGCACACTTGGCCCTTGGAGCTGCCCGGCCCAGGCATCTAACAACTGGACTGTATTACTGGACGAGGAGAGGAGAAGCAGAGGAGAGGACAGGAGAGGAAAGGAGAGGAGAGGAGAGAACAGAAAAGGGGCAAGTACCTCTCAGACTGAATGCCATTCTTCAGACTGCCAGCGTAGCTCTTCCTCTTATCCAGAGCCAAGACGTCTACATAGCCTCCGGTGGCTTTGATCACTCCAGCGTGGATAGCTGCCCGGCAGATACTGGAGCTCTGTGCACAGGGACACAAAAGGGGTTTCTTTCAGTGACCATGCTCTCTCTTCTAACCTCTTTTAGTGCCATAGTCATCAGCAGTTCCATTACACTAGCTGATGTTCCACTGACCTTCATGCCAGTGGTTTTATATATTCATACTACGTGGACACAGCACTGAATCACAAAGACCTCAACATAACATGTCCTATGTGTTTGTAATGGTCAAAAAAGACAGTGAATGAACTTGGTCTAGGAACAGACTATCACTGCTCTGCATAATTTGGGATTTTCCAGATTCAATTGATCAGTTAATTAACCAGCACTTTGTTAGGAGGAACCACTGCTCAAGAGGCAAATATATGACCTCAGTCTATGGCAGAGGTCTTTAAATCTGGATCTTGAATCTGGTTTCCAGTCCAGGATTTTGTAATGACGGGCAAACACAAGGTGGCCTATCCATCCGTTCAATTAACCTCCAGTGATTACAAAGTACAGGACTAGAAACTGGAGGTCTGGACCTCTAGTTCAGGGTAACCCAGACAGATGACATCACTGCAAGGGTCATGCAGGGTAATGACGCAGTTTATAGCAGGACAAGCTCTGGGTCAATCTGGTAGTCTGGCTCCAGAGCCTGACCACTCACACGCCTTATCTGTAAACTGAAGTAGGGCTCATTCATCTCTGTTCAAGCCAGACCAGAACTCTTGCATTCCCTGCTCAGAGACAGTGCAGGGCTGCTAGAGTGGTGGCCCCCTTAAGAGTTGGAGTGTGACACATCCACCACGTCTGAGTGTTTATGCTATATCGATACCATCATCTCATTGCTGATGCATTAAGGACAGTACTTTTCCATAAAGGTCAGCTTCATTACGTACTAGGTTCAGGCCAGCGAGTTACCAGAGTTAATTAGCTTTTGTTTGAGTCCCTGGAGAGACAGCTCTGATCTGTGGCCAGTTGGAAGGGCACAGGGCTTTTACACTGGAATGCGATGGATAGGCCAAAAGGCAGCGAGTTCAGCCAAGTTCACCCACAGCAAATGCAAGCTTTCATTCCAGGGTCATGGGCTCACACAAACATTAGCCATCTAGTGCTTCAGCACTCACACACAATGAGGACAAATATGTCAGAGGCAAAAGGTTTTCAGGGTTGAGATGGGCTACATATGAGAAGACGTGCAGTCCTATTAGAGTGAACTAATTAATGACCACTGTTTTGATAGCTTTACAAGTAACTTATAGATGACAGAAATGATTATAATGACACAGGAGCAATCGATGTGATTAAGGTGGGACTTTTAAGCTTTTAATCTAATGTGAGAAAAAAGGCTCACACGGTACTTCTGGAAGGGATTACTGCATAAGCCAGTGACTCAGGGAGGGAAACTCGGAGTGTATGGCACTGCCCCAGCTCCAGACTCCCCAGTTCAGATCAAGGCTGCTCCAGAGCTGGCTCAGTCAGCAATACCTCCTCAGCTGTAGCTCTGTGGTCAGTCCTAGCTCAAGGAGAGTTCTGCTGGCCACACAGAAGCTCACCACCTCTTCTATGTTACATTCTCTCTGGGTCCACACTACCAATGGACCCCTACCGCAAAAACTGCATGCTCACTTTAAGTGTTTGGCTGTATAAAGTCAAAGAGGAGCTACTTACATCAGCGTAAATGTTGGTGCCAAACACTGGAGCCCAGTATGAAGGCTCATTCTTGCAGTTAGCCGGGCAGTAGACCCTGAATAGGACAAAAATGAAATGTAAAGTTAGTTTACAAAAAGATCTCTAAACTCTTCTGAGATAACTTATCACATAAATTATCATGGGAAAGAATGTATAAGACTGGGCTCTTGTACATGTGGGACAACAGTAGTGAGGCACTGTACCTTGGGCAGTAGGAGAAAGAGTCTGTGAATGGGCAAAGCTCAGCAACAGTGGAGTAACAGTCCACTGACTTTACTATGAAGAAAAAGAGAAAAATCTGTTAAATTTTTACCTCCAGAATACAAACATATTAAAAAATATACATTTGCATTTAATTTATGAGAAAAATCGATCTACTTACTCTCCACTTTCATCACAGAAAATGCATTGCCAGGTTTATATTTACTGTGAAAGGGAAATTAGGAAAGCAAATTAAGTCTTTACATAGAGCAGATTCATAAGCTACAGTGCTGTATTAGTGAGCTACTCCGTGACCATAAAAGGTAATGAGCAGAAACACTGCATACCTTAAAGACTCGACGCCATTCTTTGTTGATCTAACAAAAAAGGGAAAGCTGTCTTTCCTTACGATATCCACCAGACCACCATTGTTGTCGATGGCCCCGTAGTGGATTGCAGCACGACAAATACTGGATTGCTGTATGAACCAGGAAAATGGATGTTTAGACTGAGAAACACTTCTAAAAGCATCGACAGACATCAATAGGCTAAAAACTGACTTACCACATCGAAGTACAATGTGCCCCACACCTTCGCTTTGCTGTACAGGCAGTTGGCTGGGCAGTTGTATCTGAACAAACATGAGACATGCTTTCAGTAAGAGATCTATGCAAAACTTAACGTAAATCCTGAATGTTAAATTAGTCATTACTGACCTGCTGCAGGTTGCTCCTTTGCACTTATCCCTCATTTTGGTCTCACACTTGATATTTTGAGCTGTAGGGGAAATAATGCTAAGTTAACATATGTTTACATGGGAAAATAAAAAGTATGGACACTGTGTAATGCAGCCTAAGCTAGCTCTATGCACATTAGCAACACTTACCAAGGAAATTGGTACGAGTGGCCTTGGGTGATGAGGGCTTCTTGGGAGCAGCAGGCTTGGGTTTAGGCTTGGGCACAGGCTTGGATGCGGTGGTCCGAGGCTGCAGTGGCACCTGGGCCTTCTCCACCTCATTCATATCTGGAGTCTCGGGACGTTCAGGGTCTCCTGAAAGCAATTCAGAACCATGCAATGAGCTTTATATCTTCACTGTGATAGGAAAACTTATGTACAAATGCCATGTTCTAATGCAAATAGAGACTTTTGAGTGATATGAGGTTTTATGAGGACAATATCAAACATCACTTCACTACTCATTAGTCACTGACATGCTGTGGCTAAACACAGTCTTTAGAGCGTGCTGGATCATGAGTCATAGTCATCTTGCAGATAAATGCTTACCCTTGTAGCAAAGGTTGTCTCTGCATCCTCCTCCATAGCTGGGGGGGCACTGCGAACATGGGCGTCCATGCTGGTAAGGAGCCTCTCCGATCCAGTTTCCCCTGGTGGAGATCCCAAAAGGGTCAGCAGCAGTTTGAGAGTAATTATACAACCTGCAGGCTTGACTACACTGCTTTAATGCTCTTTGCACATTATCACAAACCCTCCAAGCTCTCCGGAAGATTCTGCCCCCTATTCCCGCCTGAAATTAAATCATTAGGATAGTCTGGCAATAACCGGCTTGCATGTTATTCTTTCTAATAATTCCTCTATTTTTCAGCAGAAGGAACAGACGGAACGTTCTTACAGTCCAAAAGTCTTTAAGCACAGAGTCTCTCACCTTCAAATCAAATCATTTCATATAGACCAGGATAAGATACCGTAGTATGATAAGGAGTGGATAAATTTAATTGTCAGGAAACAGAGATGTGTAGAGATCTTACTTTGGTGAGTAGTTGCACACGAGGTAGACGGCATTCTCCCAGATCTCTCCCCACACGTTCATGCGTGGGCATATGTGTACAGCACAACCCACACGACTGGTGGTGGCCCACACCAACTGCAAAAGAGCAGACACGTCCATCACTGCAATGGCCTATATAAAACCATGACACATGAGAGCATTGTGCTGTCACTCAGACAGCTTCCTGACATTGCTCAGCTGTTTCCTGGCTTCCTGAAACTCGCTTGCTATATGTGGTATAAGCAGTTGCTTAGGGTCCCTGAGCCGACAGCGTCCCCTAAAGTAAGCATTTTTTTTTTTAGTTTATGCCAATCATGATGTTGGTAGAAAAATATCTTATGAGGACATCAATGACGGCTTTGCTTCCATAAAAAAAAATGCAGTTCAGTTCTTTAAAGATTCTGTTTAGACTGTCCATAGTTAGTTAGGCTGTTGTGTTAGTGTTTACCTTAGAATATATTAAGCTTATTTTTCAGTTTGATATGAATGAAGTATTAATTCTCACTCATTCTTGTATTTGAACTACTAAAAAGGGGGTCAGCATGTAAAAAGTTGCTGAGTCACCAAAAGTCAGTCCTAAAATACCAGAGCAGAGATGTTCACAAGTAGTTTGAATCTCAGATCTCAACTCATTACTGTTTAGAAGTTGTCTGTAACTTACTAAAAACAAAAAGATTAGCTAGCGTACTAACTAAACTATGATTTAACGGTTTTGTGGGTGTTCTTTTTGGGTATTCTATAAAATTCATGTTTTGCATGTTGCTTGAAGCGCCACATTGATTGCATAATAAAAATCCTTGTTATCTGAATCCACAATGAACACTGCACTGCTTTGAGCAGCAAGAGGACGGTGTAGCTCTTCACAAAAATGGCTCAAAATTTCTTCAGTCTAGAGTCAAGTTGTGAGCCAATTCTGAATCAAGTTTCGAGTCAGTCAGCATGCGACTCAGGTGGGTTTGATTTGCTGACTCAAAGCCCATCTCTGAAGCAGAGCACCAAAACTTTGGTCACCTGAGCCAGAATCCTGGCAGTGAACCATGGTCTAGTGCTCTAGAACTGAAAGTACACACTGAGGAAAGAGCTCAGGCCCACTGACCTCTTTGTATTTTCATCTCTGCCTATATCTCGGGTTGGCCCTGCTCCTGCAGCAGGAAGTAGCTACTCCCCTAGCTGGGCCAGCATGGCCAGATTGATGGGCCCATGGGGGCTAAAAGGAGAAACTGCCCCTTTCATTCAGAGCGGAAGGAGCTGCAGCTCAAGTGTGACCAGTGTCAGTTTCCTGTGAACTTGTACGATCGTCCTTACTCTCCATACAAATAAAGCAATGCTGGCGTGAAGTCCATCGACTTAAAGCTGAGGCTGGGGCCTTTCCTGGTTAAAACAAGCACACCAGGGTTCAACAAGTGCACCAATACTGCACAAGCCATGACCGTCTGACCAGTAAATGAATGGGAAGTGCTTACTCAGGGCTTTCTCTGTCATATGCAGTTAAACTGCACAGCGGGTTTGCATGCAGTCCCTCAGAGCAGGGGCTAAAAAAGCCGTTCTCTCTCTCTCTGAGGAATGCACTTCCTGTACTGGGGCCAGGAAGAGGCCGCAGCAATGTCGGCCACGGGATAGTTATTCAGCAAAACTACTGGCCCAAGCGCCTCTCCCTCCACGCGTCCCTGCACTGAGGTTAAGAGCCAGTTTGATCCTTGTGGAAAGACCTGCCACTGAGAAGATAGCAGGGCAGAACTGTAGCCCCTGTAAACATGCTACCCCCCACCAGACGCACTGGAGAGAGACAAGAAGAGGGCAGAGGGGCAGGGGAATCAGTGCATGGTGACTTGGCACAGCTGCCTCGTCTCCTTCGCATCTTCAAAGGAATCCAGGTCAAAAAAGAAAATGGTCCAGCAGTCTGGGAACCGCTTCCAGATGCTAGTGACCTGCTTTCAGAGGGAGAGTGTTTTCACAAACCCATCCCAGCTGCTAAGTAAAGTCTAAGAGGACAAAACTCCAGAGCTCACTCTCTCTCTCTCTTTCTCTCTCTATCTGTCTCTCTGTCCTCTTTGTATTCCTACAATCACAAATTTCCATATGTTTTGGAAGAAGTATATGAAATGAAATGTTTACTTCATATACATGCTTTTATGCTTCACAGTCAAAGAACACTTTTTAATATCTCTTTGCATTAATAAAGAATTCAGTTGATGTGTGCACTCATAAGCATGTGTATATCAAGAATTTCATATAGCTTCATAATTGTTATTGAGATGGCTGATCAATAGGCGAATGTCGATTATTAGTCAAAAATTTGCCAAAATTTGCATCCCTAACTAGGAAGATTTAACATTAAGGGCCTCTATAATCACTGTCAGAACAGTAATTCTGGAGCTTTTCTATCAGTCCATTCCTGATAAAATGTAAAAAAGTTAAAGAAAAAAGAAGAGGAAAAATAAAAAAATTGGGATATAAGGTATTGTTCCGATAATGACGACATGTAGCCCCATTAGTTTCATAGTCATGACCAAATAAGTCGCAGTAGTTACTGGGAGAAGCTTAGGATTAAAAGGGTTTTTCCCATAATAAGTTTTTCCTCATTTTTCCACAAAGATATAAAAACATGTAGGACACCTTCCATTCACAGGGCCAGACCTATTTTTGTGCCATCCTTCTTTGCTCTTTTCTTTCTCCCTCTAATGAGCACCAGAGGTCAGGCCTGCAGTGCACATGTTGTTTTTAGGAAAAGGGCCGGAATACCTACCTCTACACGTGCGTAGGTCACGCATGCTGCCTGTTAAAATGACCACGGGGAGAGCCCCACGCAGGTGTAGCCTGCGTTGAAATTACAGGCTTGAATGTCCTGATTTTTGTTTTGCCTAAATTACAGATCTTTTTAGAGCCAAAGGCTCAACTGAGATCTTTTCAAATTAGATTTAAGAAATGCAACTAATGAGAACTGTCAGATCAGAATTCATGTGTTTATTTTCACATTACTCTTCACTGTGCAATATTCACATGACTGCCGTCATCCTCCAGTGTCACATGTGAATATGTGGGTCAGGCATGTGATATTATTGATTTTAATAAAATTAAGTGCATGTGGGTACTTTCACAGCAGGAAACAATCAAGGGAGCAAAAACAAAATCAGAATTGAGCAATAAGGCTAGTAATAGAAGCCTGACTGGGCCGATAATGCTGACAGTTTGTATAGTAGGCCTGTATAAACACACACACATTACATTTTTGGTTATTATTGGTCATATGATCAGTTTTCAGAATTTTTAACTCTAAAATCTGCATCTCTATCAGCCACAGAACTTTCATTTTGGTTGGGTCCTACTGTTACTGACACACAAATACCATAAGGTCACTATCAAAACATTAGTTCCTCTTGGTTCTTTATTTGTTAAAGAAGCTGTTTCACAATTGCTCACCTGGGTGTAGTGCGTGCACATGGGTCCAGAGCAGCGTTCGGGGCACCAGGGGTTGCACTCGTGGGGGTAAGGGTAGGTGTAGTCCTTCACCTCGTCGTACCAGGCCTGGACATGGTACGCAGGAGAACGGTACCTATCGGAGTTGACACAGGATCAGTCAAGAGCACTAATGGCCCTGAATGCAACAATCTGACCGGTCATTAAGAGTCTGAATATCAGTCTCGAACAGTCCTGATATTGCAGAAGGCTGCAAAATACAAATAAGCCCTCAATGTTTTTTAATGTGTGCTGTAAGCAAGTTGACAGTTGCAGACCAAAGTTTCTGAGGGTGCTTCGATGAATCAAGGCACTCATGTACTCTAATAAAAGTAAATTATTTTGGTCAAAATAACGCAGGTCAAGCACATAGCCATGCAAATTTCATAGACAAATACTGACAATAAAATGGGTCACACAGATGTTTTGCTACAAATTAGTTCAAGAAATTTCTGCTTTGCTAGATCTTCCCCAGTCAACTGTAAGTGCCATTATGAAAAATGGAAATGTAAGCATCTAAAGGCAAAAACAGCTAAGTCACACAGCTGACTCACAGAGCGGGGCTGCCTAGTGCTTAAGCGTCACTCACTACAGAGTTCCAAACTGCCTCTTGAAGCAATATCAGCACAAGAACTGTATGTTGGAGGATCACTATGCACAGTGCCAGTGTCGGCTGGAGTGGTGTAGAGCACCACTGGAAACGTGTTCTCTGGAGTGAGGAATCACGCTTCACTATCTGGCAAAGTGATGGACAAATCTAGGTTTGGTGGATGCCAGGAAAATGCTACCTACAGGAATGCACAGTGCCAACAGTAAAGTTTAGTGGAGGAGGGATAACAGTCGGGATTTGGGCTCAGTCCCTCAGTTCCAGAGAAGAATAGTGTTAATACTATAGCACACAAAGTAATTTAGGACAATTATACGCTTTGGGACAACAGTTTGGGGAAGACCAGCTCCTGTTCCAGCTTGACCGGGTCCCTGTGCACAAGCAAGGTACCTAAAGACAGTGGTTTGACAAGCTTGTTGTGATGAAACTCCAGTGCCCTGCAAAGAGAGCCACAACCTCAACCCTAGTAAAGACCTTTTGGGTGAATTGAAACGTCAGCTGCGAGCCAGGCCTACTTGGCCAGCATCACAAATGCTCTTTTGACTGAACAGGCACAAATTCCTACAGACTCACTCCAAAATCTTGTGGAAAGCCTTCTCAAAAGAGTGGAGGCTGTTATAGCTGCAAGGGGAGGCTCAGCTCCACATTTGCATAAATTTGGAATGGGCTGTTCGACAAGCTTGTATACGTGTGATGGTCAGGAGTCCCTATACTTTTGGCCAGATAGTATATATTACAATGTGTAATGCAATTGCAATATGTAGCAGTATAACCGCAATTTTAGTATTCTGTCCATATTGTGCACCCCTAGTCAGCACTTATCTGAAGAGTAGCCTATTGACGCACCACACAGACGCACTGTTCTCAGCCCAGATTATTTCTCCAGTGTAAATACCCCTCATCCCCCTGACCAATCAGTTATGCCTGCTTACTATAAACATTGCTTTATACGGCACTGAGAAGTCCTGAGACAGGGGGGAAAAGCACTCGTCGCTGCCATCACAAGAGAGAGAAAGGTTATGGGAATGAGAGCGCTCCTGGAAGGCACCTGCTCCAAGCTGGGAGAGAACGGCGAGAGAGGAAGAGAGAAATAGAGAAGCAGAGAGAGAAAAAAGAGACTGCAGAAGGTGCTCCCTGCCACACACAGAACACGTTCCACAATGTACATTGTGTGTGAACACGCTGCTGAAATGCCTACTGCTGTTTTTACTTAGAGAACAGATGTAAGGCTGTAAGCTAAGCCTGTGCAAACAGAGAAAAATTCAAGGCCTTTGCGCTTTATACCTAAAATACTTCTCATAATAATACAGGAAATGTATCTTTAGTGTTATGTGCTGATCCAGAGTATTAGAAAAACAGGACACACTCCTTCTGCAGTTCATTATTTCAGATTCCAGAGGAATAGGCACTGTGGATGTGTGAGCATTCGTATTCCACCCTTTGTAAGGACCACATGTCCTCATGATAGGAAAACCTGACTTTTGTACACCTCTCAGAAGTTTGAAATCAATGTTTTCAGTTATATGAAACAATAAATGTGACATACATTTTTAAAAATGGTTGCCAATACATTTTGATATTTGTCCTGTTTAACTTCACGTTTCAAATAATTCATAGGATGCTAGAAGAAAAGACAGTAATTCTAAATTGGGAAAAAATGATGAACAAAGCTTTACAGTGTATATGTATGGACAATATCAAGAATGAATAACTAAAGCTGCACTGAGTAAGCTTTGGGGATTTGGAGACCTCCCTGGTCGAAGTGGGTAATTGCAGGCAACATGCAGAAGAACATTTAGTAATGTTATATTATTATATATAGTAATGTTATTACTGTATTTACATTAACAAAGACTATTAACATGACAAGGGATTCCAAACTTTTGATCTGCAGTGGAGATGTGAGAACATCTGGCAAATACAAACAAGACAAACAAGCTGTTCTTACCAAAAATGCAGCAAAAATTAAAGAGCCAAAAGATCTTTTGTTACTGAGGTAAAAGTGAGGGTCAGTTTGAGGAGCGTTACTCAGCTAAAGTATAACATGAGTCAAAGGAGGTGTTCACAAATTCATTAATATCACCATTTAAGTGTGAGCGTGTGTGTGTGTGTGTGTGTGTGTGTTTCCATACCTGCCCCAGTGCACTGCAAGGTTCTGGCCAATGGACATGAGCAGGTCCTGCGGCCCGTGCTCCCACTGACACTGTTCGGCCCAGTGTGTGGCTGAACGCTCCAGTTCATCATCCCATACCTGCAAACACACAAATAAACACACACAGCTGAAACATCTCTGTAGTACAGTCCCACTGCCAGCACAGCTCAGCTTTTATGCAAATATGCAAACAATATGCACCTACAGGGCGCCAAATACTACGCACGCTTGACCATTCAAGAAGGTCTGCTGCCCAGTTAAAGCTGCCATCATAATTTGGATGGGACTGACGCCCAATAGAATAAAAATATAGTGTTTACACCAAAACAGACATCAGAGCCTGGCTCCTCTCCACTGTAAATCCTATGCAATCAGGGATAAATGAAACACATTTCTCTGGCTTATTTCTCCGCCTGAGGAGGAAGGGAGGGCGTTTTCCACCTCTTCCATTCATACACCCGCACTGCCGAAGAGTTCCCTGTGCCTCCTCAGTGCGCTCAGTAAATTTCCAACATGGTGTTGAACGTACACCCACACTCTATAACCCCTGTTCTGTGCAGTGTCCACTGTGTGGAGGTGTTGGCGGCTCCAGCCTGTGCGCGGCGTACTGAAACCGCTGCCTTATTCACTGAGACCTGGCACGGGACTGTGCCTGTGGGGGACGGCTCCAAACCTGCTGGACCGAGGAGCCCACATGAACTAAAATTCTCCCTCCTCTGCTACCAAACACTCCATTTAACACTGTGTTCTTTCAGCCACTCTCCATGGAGAACACGGCCTTCAAATTTCTTCTTTCTTATTCTACATCAGCCCTGATAGCTTTTCTCTTTGTGAACAACACCATTTCTCTGATTTATCTTCTCTAGTTTTTGCCTTAATTGTACACGCTGTTCTTTTAATACAACAAAGTGGTGGTCCGTCACTTTATTTACTCTAAAACTGGTGGAGGCTTGGTTCTTCCCTCAGTAGCGTTCACACGCAGATGCAAAGGCCAATAGCGAAGCATGTTTTGAAACTCTGATCTGTTCCGTTTACTCCATCATTATTTACAAACAGTGAAACCAAAAGCTTTGTATATTATGAAGGGGTAAGAACAGCTCTCCTGGCTCTTGGGGTTTCTCTGCTGGCTTCAAGGATATAAATGTTTGCATGAAATAATGTAAACAAACCACAGCGTGAGATTTGAGAGGAACGGTTCGGAGAAAATCACGTTCATTCCACTTACCTCAAAAGCGCAGTTTTGCACTTGAGCTGCGAAGCTAATGTAGTTAAAAATGAAGGAATCTTTTGGGATGACTTTATATTACACTCATAGCTCCAGTGCAGAACTGGAGAAGTAAACTTCAGACACCAAATATGTTTTGGCTGATCATTTATATTTAGGGTAAGGCCAAATTGTGCACTAGGATTTTTTTGCCAGATTATCACTGTAATAAACATTAGGAGTGCAATGCTACACATAAGTTCAATATGATTTTTGATTCAGAGCTCTAATTATATACTACACAGACAGCATCATAGCATAAAGCTGTAAGCTATTCAAAAACCTGAACTGTCACAGCATGTCTCAATTTCAACTCCCCAAAACTGAAATATCAACATTAACATGTGACAAATGCACAATTATAATATGTGCAAAATATAGAGTGTGGAAATAAGCCTTCACTGTAACTGAGCTACTGTTCCAGTTTCTGAAAGTTTCATTCCAGAATGAATTGACTGACGTTCTTTCAGTGGTTTCCACGAAAGATAGGAAGTGAGAGAAGCTTCTTAATTCTTTTCGATTTCTCGGTACTGTACCGAAACTGTTGCACCTGCAATGAACACCTGTTACCGAACAAAAAGCAAAGACAAAGCAGCATTTAAGGTAAGTAAACCTGGTAACACTTTACTGTAGGGTGCTGTGCATAAGGCTGCATGATACGTACATAAGGTTGTCATTACAACTGACATAACCCTACATAACTGTTTATAAGTGCTTATTACAACAGGCGTCATCTGTCATAAAGGCTACTTTAGCTGACTTTGATCAAAATTGGCCAATGTAACCTTAATAGCAAATGACGCTTATTGGAACAAGCATTTATAAACAGTTATGTAGGGTTATGTCAGCTGTCATGAAAAGCTTATGTAGGTGTCATGTTGCCTTACGAACAGCACCCAGTAAAGTGTTACCGTAAACCTCTTCTGCTGTGTCTGCAGTGCCCTCAGTTCTACCCTGGCAGGGCTCTCTCTCTTTCTGTCTGGCTCTCTCAGCGTGCAGCTCAGACTCCGGGTAATTATCTCCACAGTAAAGCAGGCCGCGCACCGCCACACTGGCAGCCTCCCTTCATGAGTTCATCTTTTCCTACGAAGATCACACTCATAAAATCAACACTGTTCCTCACGTTTGGGTCAAACTCAAGCACCTGACAGACTCTCCTGAGAGCCTTCCAGCCCCAGTGAAGAGGTGACTGCATCAGCAGTGTGACGCAGAGCACAAACAGCATCAAACTGTACTGGCTCTGTTTATAATTCAGCACTGCTGTTTAGAATAGTCTGCATGAGTGGCTGGCGTCAAAGCTACACCAGCTTCGCTGCTGGACATAATCCACCTCATGCTGTATTTGCCTTTTCATGTGCAGATTTGCTCCCTGAATCCTCCCTCCCATTAGCCCAAATGTAGTCGATCAGGCAAGACGGTGTGCGCTGGAGCTACCAGGCTAATAATGGACGGAATTACCTGCCAGGTCAGCACTGCATAGATCGCAGGCCTAAATCATTACACTTCAAGCTGTTGGTCCGATTTAAATAAATGTTTAATAAAGTATATAAACATTGATAAAGTTTCAAAACTCCAAAGTGTGTATATACAGACACTGAACTGCAAAAACTGCTTATTTAAAATGAATTGTTTTTGTGATGTCATACACCTGCCTATTTAGTCTAAAGCAGTTTAGCTCCACCCACTCACACTGAAGTCATAAAGAGTATTTCAGCCCAGACTGTTTCCTTAATGAGGCTCTATTCAGGACAGCTCTGTTGTGTTTACATGTATCTGTCTTAAAGTCAAAGTAACAAAAATAGGCTGTTTAATCTCGGAGAATAAAGAGAGGTTGAAAAATGATCATATGAAAATAAATTTGGACTGTTTTAGCACATATAACCACACAAACATCATAAATAGACCTTAAAGAAAAGAATGAACTACTGGAAAATATATGATACAGGCCCTTTAACCCCTTAAAGTCCCAGACTTATCACATACTAATTATTATTCAGTATCTACAGGGACTTCAATGCAATAGGCTGATCTATTCTTAGGTTATAGAAGCGTGTAATAAATGTTTGGGCCCATCTGTGGTTTTGTGGTTTCTGACACTGTATGACGTACAGTTATCTATAAAAATAGACACTGAATGGCTAAAAATGGTAGCAGCCATTCTTTATAAATAACAGCATGTCACAGTGTCAGAAACCACATAATCAAATCTTTGAGCTTACTGAGCCACTAAAAACATAATGTACTTACCATGTACTCCATGTTAGAGGCGGTGGGGTAGACACCTCCTCTCAGCTTGTTGTGGAGAACGAGGATCTCCTCTCGGTCTGACCACTGGATGGCCCTGCGGACACGCGAGGCCGAGGCTGTGTTGTTGGGCTCGAGCTCATCTTCATAGCGGCTTAGCAGTCGCCTCAGCTCTGGTGAGTCGGGCAGGAAGAGGGAGGCGGCCTGTTGGGTGGCCAGCATCAGCAGGGCGATGGGAAGCAGTCTGGACATGGCAGCAACTGGTTAAGAGGCTTGAGGTGGTCTGTGGCCGTAGGTGAGGGCAGCAGCAGAGTGTCAAGCTGGACGCAAGTCTGAAGAGAGAGTATGGACTCATTAAAACAGTCACCTCTACAAACCGGTATCTATTTAATGCACTTTCCAAAGAGCATAATAATGTTACTAAGAAGGATTTGCACTGTACGCTTCACTTTTGTTGCAATCAAGCATAAACAAGCAACCAGTAATACTATACAACACTGATATTAGACTAATATTATATAATAATAATAATACTATCCTAATAATCAGTGATCATTTGTTGTTTATTCACTTCATTCAGACATTTTTGGCTCTCCACAAAGTTGCACTGTTCATAAAAAGTCCCTGCAGGCAATCCATCACTCTGAAGAGAATTACAGGGTCTTGCCATGATGACATTTGCCTTTCACAACAAAGCACTTCCCCTCTGCTGCAACACCCACTGGTGAGGCAATTAAATCACCCGCATTAGTCCACATCAAACGAGAGAGCGCCACTGTGTGCCAACCGGAGCCCCGTCCATCACACTGCTGGCGCTAAATCACATCTGATTTCCCCCCAGCTTACTCGAATCAGCCCAAAGCCCCTTTCATCTCATTGATAATGCTGCAGTTGTTATGGCAGGGCCCTTCATAACAATACGCCATTGTGATCTCGCTGCAAATATTGATTATGTAACAGGCCGCTAAAACAACCTCTCTTGATTAGTGTGCCTCCACCGATGGAGCGGCAGAAATGGCGACCCCTCTGGGCATCCGTTTCATCTCAGCGGAGAGATTTCCTGGGGAAACTCATTAATTCTCTGTTGTGACAATGAGGTGCTGGGTGAGGGTTAAAGCAGCAGGCCAGTCCAGCCTCATTAGCACAGCCAGACAGATTCCTGTCCCAGGACTACTGAGAGAACGGGGCGAGAGAGAGAGAGAGAGAGAGAGAGAGAGAGAGAGAAACCAGGAGTGATCGAGTGAGAATAAGGGAGAGAAAGAAAGACAGACAGAGAAAACAGAGCGAGAGAGAGAGACAAGGAAGAGGAATGGGAAAGCAAGTGAAAGGGTCAGAAAGAAAGAGAAAAGGAGAGACTGAGAGAGAGAGAGAGAGAAGAAAGAAGAGTGAGAGAAAAAGGGAGAGAGTGACAAAGAAAGATGGAGGGAAGGAAAGAGAGAGAGAGAGAGAGAGTGTGTGTGTAAGAGAGAGAGACACGGAGAGATGAATGAGTCTTTTTAGGGGAGAATCTGAAGCAGAGGTGTCACTCGCCTAATAGGCACTACCTGGTCCTGGAACTGCTGCCTGTGTGCCAGCAACAGCCACCGCCTGCTGGCTCTGAGGAGTCAAACACCAGCTTCGCCTAAATCAGCACGCAGCCCTGAGCTCAGAGGAGAGGAGAGAGAGACACGATGGAGCCGCACTGCTTCCCCCACCTCTCTCTCTCTCTCTCTCTCTCTCTCTCCACTGGTCTGAGGTCTGACACCCAGGTTCTGTCAACACACTGTCACTGCTCCAGCTACAGTTCTCTGTGAAGCCAGGCCACCACACCCCTTCCTCTGTAGCCCCCTCCCTCTCACACACACACACACACACACACAAACGTGAGCCCTTCCCTCCCCTGAATTTATACTGCCCTGACAGACTGAACAGGAAAAGGCCAGCCAGGTAAACTGTCCACACGTGCTCACAAAGCCTGACCACACGCCCTGGCCTCCCTACAGGACAGCTACACTCCTAAAAATAAAGGTACCCAAAAGGCTCTGTGGAGCCATAGAAGAACCTATTGTGGTTCCCTAAAGATTTGTAAATGAAACGAGTGCGAAGAACCTTTTTAATACAGTTTTAATAGTCTTCATAAAATGTAGAGTTTCTGTAAAGGTACCTTGTTGAAGTTTCAAGAACCTCCATATGATGTAGAGGTTCTGTAAAGGTGCCTCTTTACATTTTCAAGAACCTCAATAAAACATAGAGGTTCTGTAAAGGTGCCTTTTTTAAAGTTTCAAGAACCTCCATACAATATAGTTGTTCTGTAAAGTTTCAAGAACCTACATATAATGCAGGGGTTCTGTAAAGGTGCCTCTTTAAATTTTCAAGAACCTCAATATAATATAGAGGTTCTGTAAACGTGTCTTGTTGAAGTTTCAAGAACCTCCACATAACATAGAGGGTCTGAAAAGGTGCCTCTTTAAATTTTCAAGAACCTCAATATAATATAGAGGTTCCGTAAAGGTGCCTTGTTAGAGTTTGAAGAACCTCCACATATTGTAAATGCTCTGTACCAGTCAGACAAGCCAAGAACCATTAAAGAACCTTTATTTTTAAGAGTGTAGGTTCTTGTCAGCATCAGCACTTCCACCCTACGGATCCCACAGAGCTCCTTCTGTGACTGTTAGCAGTAAAAATGGTCTAAATGTGCTAATTGCTCCTGTATGTGCTGCACCAGCGCGGTGCGACTGCTGACATTAACATACCTGAGAGCTTCGTTACACGCAGAACCACACAGCCTGAGAAGGAGTGCAGCAGCGCCCACCCTTCTCCCCAGACCCCCCCACCCCCTCTCTAAAGTGAACTTGGCTAAGAAAGCTGTGCTGACCATGTGCCCCCGTGCGCTCTGCTATACCCATCGTACCGGCATCACCTGGCCCTACCATTCACACGAGCTGCTCAGTGTAACTGTAACCAGACAGCAGAAGAGAAGCTGGAAAAACATGAAGCTTTAATCTGGAAATAAACGGTGGAAAAATCAATGATAACACGCACACAGTTACAGTTAAACTCCAGCTGTGATTGGTCTCTCAGAATCAGTGACAGAGGTCAGCATCATGCAGAGAGCAAAGCGTGAACACGTGAATTTACCAGGCTCGATTCTGTTCCTCAGTAACTCCACAGGGTCTGCAGGTCGAAGCTCAGCAGTCGCTCCCGGCTCAGTTTTCCCCTTTTTCAGTCAAACAAGTCTGAGGAGCTGTGCTCGCTGGCAGCTGCAGAGTTTCTGATTGTGAGTGAGTGTGTGGAGAGAGTTCAGCTCCTTTTATAGAAGGAGACCCCGGTGAAGGAAGGAGTGGGGTGGGATGGGGGAAGGGGAGGGAGAGAGAGAGCGAGAGAGCAAGCTCTGACGAAACTCGTCAAGACGACTACGCAAAGAATGTAAATCATCGTCAGACGCATCTCCGGGATATTTTTTCAACTTACGAAAGCAGCTCAGTACATTTACTGCTGTGATATAACACAAGACATTCTCCTGTCAATAACTGATTGATGATGATGGCTTTGAAACAGATAAGAGAGACAGTAGTAATACCACAAAAACCTCTACAGGGTTATAACAGGAACGTTTATGGTCAATGGGGACAGACACTATAGTCTAGGTCTACTACAGGACACTGTATGTAAACATTTTGAACATTTAAAAACGTACAGTTCACTTTTCAGCCCACATATGGAAACTAAGCAGAATAAAGTTTTAAATTAGTAGTTTTTGTTACGACAACCAACTTATTTGCATAATCCCACCTGTTCAGCCTACAGCAGTTAAACTCCTGCCATTCAGGCTTTCAGTGTTTGTGTGCTTTTCATATATAATTGACCCTTTGAGCCAATCAGAAAAGGTTAATTACATACATGAGCCTTAAAGGCACAGTAACAAAAAATATTAAATGCCTAAAGTCATTAATTTTTAATAAGGCTTGGGCACGAGAAACGTAAATCGTGGTCAAAATATATATTAATTTGTGGCCTCAATACATTAATTTGAGGCCACATCTTATTAAAAACTTAAACTTTGTTACTGTGCCTTTAAGGATATTAAGGATAAAATATTAAGTGCTTAAAGTGGCATGGTGATTAAGGCTTGGGCACACATTACTATATTGAGACCACAAATTATGAGAAACGTAAATCATGGACTAAATATATATTAATATGTGGCCTCAATACATTAATTTGAGGCCACATCTTATTAAAAACTAATCACAGTATTATTTTTGGGGCTCAGTACAAAAAAAGTCTTTTTACTTGTCAAAAGATTGGTTGGCAAAATAAATTATGAACTATGAATTAAAAAATATTAATGATGACTTGGTACATACAAGCACATGGCTGTTATAAGTAGACTTTCAGGAAAAGTATAAAATACTAGGAAGGTTTACAATGTGGCACCTTTAAGGATTATATAACACCACACTGTGTCACGATAGGCCTTTTTGTAAGGGTAGTTATGATACAGTTTGGAAGAGGCGTTTTTTAATTGAGGATGTAATGAAGTAACCTTAGCTTTGAATGAACACTAACAGTTACGGAACAACACTGCATATTACAGCCTTTCTTAGTGACTTATGTGGCATCTGGATGATAAAGGCTGTAAGGGTTTTGTAGAAGTTCGGCTCTCGGGGTCAACAGTGGAAAAACAGAGGCACAAAACTGTTCATGCTACTTGCCCAGCGTTCCATGCTTTGCTTTACACGTGGCTGAACTCGTTGGTGAAGATCAACTCTTTAAGGTCTTTCTCTCTGACTCCATTCTGCCATACTAGAAGTGCACGGAGTTAGCCGGTTTAAGAATTGAGTCAGCACCAAAATGCTTGGTGTCAGTCTGTATGGCCCACCACCAAATATTTCGCATCTTCAAAGCAAACACTGACGTTTTGGACTCTCACCGCAGAGGCAGGCTTAGTGGCTTTCGAGAGCCAGAAGCGAAGACTGGCAGGAAATCTGGGAATTAAGACGCCATGTTGTGCCAATTGGTCATCACTCTGACAGCTCCACCATATTCGATTCGTTTACACTGCAAACAAAGGCCTTCCTTATTCAGCATGGCTTCATCATGGATCAAGTTCAAAATTAGCTAGTTCATAATTAGTTAGGAAGATCCATTTAACTCTACTGGAGCATTACTGAGTTTTAGATGCAGCTGTTTCCAGTCGTGACTTCCAACTTAACTTTAATGAAATGTACAAAAGTTAAGACTAAGAAGTACCAGGTTTGAGGATGGGATTAGGTTGTTGGAGGACTAGTTAAAGGGTCATATTCTCTCACCATGGAGCCCCAGCTGGTTTTACCTTGGGTTAGATCATTAACTACATTTGGTCTGGTCTAAGATGGTAAAGGTGGTTATTCAGTCACAATATGCTAACAGACCAGCTTAGTCAGTCTGGTCATGCTGGTTGGCCATATAAACTATCAAAGTCAAATGAAAACATAGCCCATGCTGGTTAAGCCCTTCAAATCCCAGGCTTATTACAAACTAAGGCTTATTATTCAGTAATTACAGGAACTTCAATGCAAACTGGCTGAGCTATTCTCAGGTTATAGAAGTGTGTAATAAAACTTCAGGCCCGCCAATGAGCTCTGGCCATTTCAGGGGCTAAATGGGTACGCTGGTTAAACTGGTAGACTAGTTTGGTCAAGCTGGCAGACCAGCTAAACCATAAACCTTAAACAAAACCGTACTATATGGTGGTCAACCTACTAAGGTGGTCCACCAGCTTAACCAGCTTGAACCGTTTTTTCACCAGGTTTGAAAAAAGCTGGACTTGGAATTTGGGAAATTTGGCTAAAACAAGTTTAACATCACACAGTTAAGGTTTGATGGAGCTGTGGTCTGCCAGGAGATGGACTTGAAGAGAAAATCTTGTTTATGGTCATCCTTAGAGTTTCCCATAGGTCTTTGCCGGATTGTAGTGATGCCAGTTGACAGAGAGCTGAAACCCACATACCCTACCCTCAACAAACATGATGAATGTCCAGTCACTTTACTCTGAAGAATGAGTTGCCAATGGAGCCAAGAATAACTACACTACAGCAATGACAATTCTACTGCTGGACAGTGGTGGAACAGGACAGAGAAACTCTTAATCCAGAGATTTATATTAATGCACGAGTGGCTCAGCTGTCGGCCAGTAAAGAAGATGTCTTTTTACAAGGGACAGGCACATCTCTTTAAGTCATCTCCACAGAAACGCTCCGTAAAGCTCTGCAGTTCAAACACAGAGCCTCCACAGCTGGCCACGCTATGGGAACACCATGCCGAAAAACCATTGAAAGGGGTCTGTAATATTCTTCTTTACGGGGTTTGTCCTGGCACATTCAGGCCGAGCTGTGATTCATGAACACCCCCACACAGCAGCACATCACAGAATTACATGGGGGGGACATTCTGTTGGTTTTGGGCAACATTCAATAATAACAGCACAAAAGTGATTTGTTACAATAACAAGGAAATTAATTTTTTGAACGGTTCCAATTTGTCCAGAAGGATATGATGTATTAACTTGCGGAATTATCTTCACGGTCAAAAAAAAGTCACAGACCCGAGTGAAAGTGGTTAGTGAGAGAATTTGCCGTATTAGGGCCATGACTCACTGGAACATCTGAAAGCCAGCCAGATGCTTTTGTGACCACTAGAGGGTGTCAGTCCCTGTTTTTTTAGCATTGGGATCCACAGGCAGTATAGCTTTAAGCTTTGTTGTATATTGATGCAGTTTGGAGATCTTATTCTTATTCGGTTTGTGAATTTCTGACCAAAAACAAAACTAGAAAGATGTGTAATAGAGACTCCCTCAGGATGTTCTAAGTGATGACTGCCTTTCATTGTGTAATCAGTGATCTTCCAGTATTTCCTCTTATTCACGTCAAAGGATGCCAACCTACAGGCTTTATGTAGCAGAGGCCTCACCCACATGTCGAGTGGCGGAGAGGAGAAGTGGGGTGGGTGGATGGGGGTCACACCACGGGCATTTATTTGCAGAGGGCCAACGAGGGCCTGCTCCACAATGTTCGTTTCCCTTAACAACTCGGAGGAACTCTGAGGAGCCCCTGAAGCAGTATGTGAGGGGAGAGAGGATGATGGAGGAAGGTGGCTACTGAAATACTGACAGCAAGGCCTCAGGATGAAGCCTGAGCCACAGCAGGATCCTGGTAGAAGAGCAGCAGGGATTCCAGCTCGAGAGCCAGCACTGTGTAAGTGAACCTGGGTTAGGCGCCAAGTCATGGGGGAAAAGTGGGAATTGCTCCATGTCAGACAAACCCAAATTACTGGATTGTCTGCACCAAAAAAAAAGTAATATTATTGTAAAGGAATTTAAGCTATACTTTCCCTCTCTTCTCAACAGCATCTTTTTGGGTAAGGTCATCTGGAGCAGACGTGACATTATCTCCACCATAGCATTCTGTTTTATTCAGCCCAAGAAGCCAGGAAGTACATTTATAGGGTACTACGAGCTCTGAATGTCCGGAACTGAGGTTACATGCCTACGTCCATCTCAGCGAAAACGGGAAGTACCGGTATCATGACTATCTGTGAGTTTCTTTCTCCTCCTAGTCATAATACTGGGAAGTGTCAGTCCTCTGAATGACTTGTCTGACCCCAATGTACCGTCCCAAGATTTCAGCAGGTGGCCTATAAAGTGTTAACCTTCCCTTGAAGACTCTCAAAAGAAAAACTCAGCAACTTCTCCTGTTCTCCTCACAGCTCAGCAGTTTCGTTTATTTACGATGGTCTATTGTGATCACTCTGAACGACACAAACAAACGGTTTGGAAATTCAATATTAGATTTTTCCACTTATAGTGAAATAAGATCATATTGGATTATTACATTTACGTTTCCAGCGGTGGTCCTAACTTCCACTGCCAAAGCTACCTCAGAGTCCATTTTATAACCCGACCATCTGAGACAGTGGGCTTGTATATATATTCTGACAATAAACATCCACTCAAGGCCATAAAAGTGAGGTTGGAAAACAAGCTGTATCGTTTTCTCGGTAGAGCTGAAAGAGCCACTTCTCTGCCTTTAGGTGGTCCATCTGAGGGTGCAATTTTCCCCCACAGACTGTGGCCCTGTAAGGTAACAAACTCAAACAGCATCATGACATTAACAAGGAAAATACCCCCACTTAATTACATACGAGGGAGCAGAGACCAAAACCACAACCCTGTATGCCTATGTAGAGGAGAACCAACAAGGGGGGGGTGCAGGAAAAAAAAAAAGTTTCTCCAGCAATCCATCAGACTCCAGAAAGCAAACAGCGTGGCTGGCTAACCCAAAGACGGCACCCTGGACTAGCAGGCAGCCAGATGAGCCGCAAGTGCAAGAGATAGGGCAGTAGCAGAAGTACGGCAAGCATGTTAAACAGCGGACAGAGTGAGCACGGAATTCAATCTCCTTTGGGTTAGTATTCTACAATACATGCTTCCGAGGACAGCGGGTATCAGTTTCTCCTTTATTTCATGTTTGCTTTTGGTTACAGTGCACATTCCTCGAGTGAGGAGGCCCAGAGGAGAGGAAAGACTACATTGTTCAAATACAGTAGCCTCATATTTTAGAAGCCAAGCACAGTCCTCGGACTAAACTACAGTAGAAACACCTCTTTGCCACAGTTTCTCTTTTATTGGAAAAGTTGACCCCAAAAGAAAAAAAAGAAGAAAAAAAAAAGAAAGAAAAAAACGCTGAAAGCCGAGGATCAGAGACAGCATATACTTTGTATTTCAGCTTGATTTCCCAACACGTCAAGCTCTCAGCAGACACAAGTGTTAGGAAGCACAAACCAAACAGAAGAGACATCATTGAAGCTATACGCCAGGACATTTCCCCGACTTTCATATTGAGAAAATGAAAAAGAAACAAAGTCTCAGGGTTGAACTGGTACAACATAAAGCCTTCCACCCACAGCTTTTATGTGCATGGTTCACATCATCTCTATTTTCAAATTTCCAAGGAGTGTAAGGGAGGGAGAGATTAAAACATTGACACAATGAGTGCAACAGTTCTGACAAAATAGGCATTGGTACATTTGAACCAACATTTAGGAGTAAGTACTTCGTATGAATTTTAATAACCAACTTTCTAAAACAAGTAATGACTGAATAATGAATGCTGACCGAACTGAATTCAGAGGTCCAAGTGGTGTAACGAAGACCCCTGGACCAAAGAATACTCATATTTATTACATTTTATGTTACAACAATCACAAGAGGCAATAATATCATTATATATATATATATAGGTTCTGCATACTTTGGTTTCATTTTGGGGCACGTTCCTCTTTACATAGACAGTTCAAATACCCAAATTGAAATGCTCAAAAAGAAGACAAAGGGGTAGCCCTGAAATATAAATCTCTGGTCAAAACATAGCCATGGCTAAGGGCTCGTATTTACACATAGGACACATAAATCAGCCTAGCATATGTGCGTCGAGTACTTAGGCTTTGCCATCAGTGCAAGAAAAAAGAAGGAAACCATCTGAAACGAGTCTGTGGTGAAGTGCGAGTGGGGAAAAAGGTGAACGACCCTAACTGGAGGTTAACTGCATGGTGTGCTGTCCCGTTAGGGAAGTGTCCCGACAGCCTCGTGTCAGGATGCGAGACGTCAGAACGTCTGTACAAGGAACCTGCTCTAGAAAGCTTCAGTACCTCGCTTTATTCAACAGCCAAGTTCGTGTGTGCATATTCCAAGTATTAAACATATTTAACGGCTCAAGTGATACACGTCAGAGTTCGCCTCTCAGGGAGAACTACTTATGGGAGGTAAGGCCAGTGAAATGGTGGCTGCATTAATTATGAAAATATATATATATTCACTTCAGGCCCAGTGTGTTGTTAACTGTGTGGAAACTGTGGCTGATGAATGTCAAAGATGTGAAAAAATATGAGCATATAAGCATAGAACTTATACAACTTTATTCATCGTTGTGCTTTAACTTGGGTCATATTTTTCAAATATCAATTCAGATGACAAATGGGTGGGGGAAGTCAGAAGAAGGGAAAATGGGGGGAAAAAACAAAACATTCTTAAATGGGGAAAAAAAAAAATCAAGTCAATACAATTTATGAATAAGACTGATGATTAAAGGTGTCTGAAACAAAAGCAAACATGATTCGGTTTTTTTGTGTGCACTCATAAGGTTATCAGGTTGTGTTGCCATGCAGAAGCAGGATTCCACTTCTAGGAACGCCAGCCATTCAGTGAACAAAATGATGAAACATCCAGCCCGTGACTCGGATACATCGTCTTCAAAGCTCATCGACACAGCTCCAACATGTAGAGTACAGACAGGCTGACCGCGCAGAGCAGGCTGTCAAAGGGACAGGGACGCAGACTACATAGGTGTACCCAATCCTAAGGCAGCCTCCTTTTCAAAAACTAGGAGACGGGAATGGCTGAGCTTGCAGTGTGACACAAGGCAGGCACTGGACAACTGACCCCTATACAATGTGAAACAGAAATAGGCTAACAGGACTGATCAGGATTACAGAATGGGTTTTGGGGGGAGAAAAAAAAAATGGACTGATGGTAAACAACAAAAAAAAGAACAACCTCACTCGTCATTGGTATCTGTCCAGCATGTAACTGTGTGTGTGTGTATATGTAAGTGTGAAATACACAAAAAAAGCCTAGCAAGCAGCACAAACTTTCCCCTGGCAGCTGAACAAGGTTTACCCAGATTCAGATTCGCTCATTTTTCTATACTTGAAACTTTTAAATATCTGCAGAAATGTGCATATGCACATCCATATCACATAAAATTATTGATCAATTTTATATTTTTACGTGCACAAAGCTTTTTGTAAATCATCGTATGTCCTAAAGCGCATTAAAATTGTTAGATAATCAGTCTAATTCTACACCCAGAAACCACACCCAGGTTCTTGCAAACAAAGAAGCCGATTTAGTTTTTTTTTTCCTTTTTTTCTTTTTCTTTTCGTCTCAGCCCACCGCAGCACTTCTTCCCCAAGCCTGGTGTCCTTGTTTTTTTATCCGATGGCTCCAGTGTTAGCTCAGCCTGAGAGCGTCAAGATCGTGAGGAATGGGGGCAGAGCGAGGAGGTGGCAGAGGCGGTGGAGCAGAGTGTCTCGCTTCGGGGATAGGAGGGTGGGGTTCAGATATAAAACTCGCACGTCGTGATCTAGACATTTATTTTCTGTTGTAGTTTGCTGGTGCAGGGCCTCTAGATTTAACTTGAGTCAAGATTTTCATCCGGCTTCGCTGAACCGCTGCAATTCATCCGGCCAACAAAATCCCCTTGCTAAAAGGCAAAACACTTGATTTTTTTTCCCTCTCGCTATGCCATTAAAAAGTAGATTAAACAGAAACAAAACAAAAAAAAAGAAAGAAAGAATGAATTCTCTCCAGCAGTCCATCAGTTTTAGCCTCAGCTAGCTGGAGTTCTTACAGTGTGCCAGTCTAAAACGAGGCTGCGGGTATTGAAGTGTCTCCGGTCCATACCGTCTGTGTCAGAAGCCCCCCCAACCCCAATTTCTGCAGCATCTGTCTCCATCGTCCCTAGATATCTCCACTCCTGCGGTGAGAGGTGGGGCTGCATGTGAAGGGAGGGGGGGGACTCGATCTTAAAGTCTTTAGGTATGTGTTTGTCTATTCTTCCAAAAAAAAACAAACAAACAAAAAAAAAGATATATATATCAAGGAAGAAAAAAATTTATTGGAAAAAGCTGGCTCTCCGGAAAAGCAAGGAACGAGGGGGAGAAAGGGAGGCAGGAAGAGGAAAAATCTCGCAAGAGAAGTTGGGCAGTGTTCCTGTTGAGGCATGTGCGTGTCTGTGTGTGCGTGTGTGTGTGTGTGTGTGTGTGTGTGTAAAAGTGTTGCGTTAGAGAGAGAGTGCGTGCGTGTGTATGTGGGCACGGTTGCCGCGTGTGCGTGCGGTTTCTACAGCAGGTCAACACGACGGTAGTACAGCAGGTAGGCAGTGCGCTCCGCAGTCTGCTTCACCACATGATACTGGTTGATCACTTTCACTGCCTGGTCGTCGATGCGCAGCCAGCCGTTCAGCCCGATGTGGAAGACATCTGTAGTGTAGTGGCCGCCCGTGGCGCTGTTCCCATGGTGATAAACAACTGCAGAGAGACGCAACGATCACATAAGAATGTATGCAAACTTATGCATTTTTATTTGACACAATGACTTGGTTCATAGTAACTCCGTGTGTTCAGACACATGCATGCCTTGGTTATGGCTTTAATGAGTACACGATGGACTAACTGATAGTTAAAGTTGACTTAAAATGAAGGAAATGGAGTTAAAAGTAAGGAACTTTCCAGTTTTGTCCTCGCGCCACATCGCCACGCAAAACAAACAGATGCCTAATCATACTGGAAACAACAGCATCAACTGCTTAATAAATATCTGCACCGGACAGACATGAATAATATTTCAGGTGGTTACTGTGCTAAATGCCTGCATTTTATTTATTTTACTGACTGTAATTTTCTACAAATATCTCTCTGTAACTGTTTACTTATCGGCATTGACAATTTCAGTGTAGGTGCATCCTTCAAGGCAAACAAGTTACTCCATCTATACTACAAAACGCCCCTAATAATCCTTTATTCCAGTCATAACAATATAAAAGATCATCAGGAACAATCCTGACTCAATTAAAAAGCACAACTACATATTTCAGATATATTTTCAGGAAGCAAAACTAACTGTGATTTGATTTAAAGGGAGTTAAAAATACAAATGGTAAAAAATAAATTTAAATAAATTCAAAGGACAACCACTATTACTGATGGTGTAGTAACAATGCCCCCACGTTACAGAAAGACAAACCACGACATTTTCATTGCCTGTTCACATCTGTAGCAGACCAGATGGGCTCACCAGAAGACAATAACGTTTGGAAGACAGGTTTTGGGGAAATTTACTGCATTGGTATAGCAACCGCTGCTAAGGGTTACAGTACAAGCTATTTTTTGACAAGCGCAGACCAAGCTTTTCCCTTTCGAAGGCAAAATAAACGAGTGGAGGCAATTTACTCTTGAGCTGGGTAAAGATGAATAGAAGCCCATAGTCCCTGAGGGAGGGCAGTGTGTGTTTAAACAGATCAGTGAGCCATACATGGGGGCACAGCGAGTCACTGGAAACGGCAGAGAGAGCGCAAGAGAGAGGGAATAAAGGTGTAAGAGAGAGACCTTGAGCTTAGTAAGCTTTCCAGGAGTCGCCCCCCTTACTTAGACCACATTCATCATTAAGCACTACTACAGGGCTAATACCTCACTTTGCATGAGCAAGGTCAGAGAAGGAAAGCAAAAAGAGCTATCTTGATCAAGACCTGCTCAAAGTCCTGGAGCAGAGAAATTGGAATCTCTTTAGTGATGGAGCACCATGAAATACTTGCACACAGGATGGAAAAAGTGGCCCAAATCCGATCTTTTTCTTCATATGTGACACACGTGTGTCTGTGTGTCAGTGTGAACAGATAAACACACAATCTGACATTCAATTCCAATTTGAGACGCTTTCATATGTGGTACTGAAATCCAATACTTATCCGATCTACGGCAACGTGGCCCCGTCTGAAAAGCCAATTCATGCGGCTTTTTACGTCATAATTTCATGCTGCTAAGACCTCAAACATTTAAGCTGATGTTTCTGTACCAAAAAATCAGAAGGCACTTATCGCAGCTGCTCAGAATCGAAGAGATTTTGAAAGAAATGGCCGAACGCGGCCGCAAGAGAACGAGGCTGCGGCATCAAGGAACAGTCTGAAAGCAAAGTTTAAAGAATCTGAGGACACGAACCAAAGAAGTGACTGTGGCCAAATGACTTGAACTCTGACAGCAGGGCTCATCACCCAGAACGTGTTCGCCAGTGATGCTTCATGATGGCTCCTGTGATGCTGGCAAAGATGAAGCTGAGCTGAGCCTTCCAGAAGCGACTGGCATTCGTTGGCAGTCGTGATTGTGTACCTCTAGATGATCTACGTGAAGCAACGTGACGCTCTGTTCTTTTGTGCATGCGGCTCAGTTTAGGAGCTGATCAGTTCAGACTGATGTCACATACAGATCACATTATAAAAGATCTTGTGAATGGCCAAAATTAGATTTGGTGAGAAAATCAAATTTGGGCCACTCTTACCAAGTGGGAGCCAAAACTAACCATCCAAAATCAGTACAGGACCTCACTTAATGCTCTTGTGGCTGAATGCAAACAAATCTTCACAGCAATGTTCAGAGCAATGTAGTGTAAAGCCTTCCCACCCGAGCAAAAATGCTATTATTAATAACCTTGGTTTCACAAGAAACGTTGGATGAGCTGGTGTCTACAAACTTTGGCACAAAGCGTAGACCTGAGACTGGCAGGAAAACGAGGGAAAACCCCATGACATTTCTACGTTACCGAAAAGACAACTGAGTCATACAGTTTGTATCTGGGGCAATCCTCCCCCAAAAAAAACTGTCATCAAAACTTCAAAAAAGGTTTTTCACATACTGCCTTACACTAAACGTAATTAAACAAGACTACTTATGCTCTCTATTCAATGAAACATAGTGGGTCAATGTTTAAGTATAAAAAAAAAATGTTTATCATGATGATAAAGTTTATCAGACAAATATCCCACCCACCTCTAATTTGACACATACATCACAGTTTGGTATTTAGTAATGATCACTTTACGTAACATGAAGGAACAATGTACATGCATAGGCGCGCCACACATACCTGCAAAGAGCCTGTAGGTTCTTTGGCCTTTCAATGTTTTGCTCCGCACTCCTGGTGAGAGGAGATCTGCAAGCAGACAAGAGGCACAAACATTTCTGTAGCATGTCACGTGTCTTCGAAAGCACTAGCCGTAAACATCTGTTGGTCTTCAGATTTAAGAATAGTAAACTGGCCCTTAAAAAGGGAAGAAACACGCAATATTTGTAGCACTTACTAAACTGAATCCAGATTACATGTTTTACTATGGCCTAAGTGGGTCAGAATGCTGGCAGCTCTTCTGTGTTCTTAACTAAAGTAAGATGTAGCCTACTTTCAAACGCAGAAACTACACATGCCTTGTTTTTTGGAGAGAGCCTAAACCTTGGACTTCTTTGGGTTTTCGTTGTTTATTCTGGGCAATGCTGCATTCTGTGTGAGCATCAAGCCAGACAGAGGACACAGGCTTGCGATCAAACTACACCCTGGGTCCATAAGAAGCACTTATTCTGTTGTTGGCACAAGCAACAAAAAAAACCACTGAGGTTTTGGAGAGGGCTAAGGGGTGACAGGATTACAGGTTGTCTATAAATGTTTCGGTGCTATAGGGCATAGGCCTGGCCTACACGGTAAACAAGCAGCTGTGGTAAAAGTAGGCGGCTGGTGCTGTGGACTGATGGGGTGCGAAGCTGCTAGCGGTTGACTAAGGAGGTTGGATCTGAAGAACAAACACGAATTGCTGTCTGGCGGCCGATGTGCGATCATACAACAACTTTCTGGCCCCTCGTCTCGCACATAATATAAGTGGAGACTCTTCGGTATGTGCACATCACTGAGCTGTGACATGACAGGCCTTTTCCACATTTACCTCATGATCCTAAAGCATAAAACAATTTTCCAAGTACAGGGTGATTCAAAAAGATTCATCCGGTTTCAAAATGATTTATTTCACTTGTAAATCATTACAGAACCATGCAGTAAACTGTAAATGGTCCAAATGAGCATAAAGTTTATTATGTAATTTTACAAGGTCTCAGTATGAACCTCCTCCAGCTGTACGGACAACATCAACGCCAGAGTCAAATTCATCCCATACTCGATTGAGCATGTTGGGTGTTACGGCACTCACGGCTCTTCAGTGCGATCTCGGAGATCATCCAGTGTTGTTGGGACCCTGTATTGTTCAACATTATCTGGATGCCTACAAACTAATTTAGCATTCTATGAAGTTCCACTCTCAAAAAAACTAGAAATCTACTTCTGTCAATGCACCCGATACATTCTAATTGGGTATTAGGTAATGGATCATATAGACAGCGTGAAGTAATATACATAAAAACAAACATACAGCACTATTTCAATTCGCTGTATGCTTAAGTACGTTCCTAATTGTTTATTACTTCATGTTATGTATAGTGATCTATTACCTAGTACCAAATTCTGTTGCTTTTCAGCTGCGTTTGTTGAGTGAGACACGTTGTGTACCTACATACACTCTCAGAGCCAGGCATACCTTTACTAATCTCCAGGTCAACAGGGTAGTCAATGTTCTTGATCAGCTTCTGGCAGCCACCAGTCTTTTCAAAGACAAATCTCTTGAGGTGAAGCACCAGCACAGGAGGAAGCTCCTCTAGAGTCACCCTCCGGCTGATCTCAATCTGGAGCCAGTGTGAAAAAAGAGGGAGGGAAGATGGGAGTAAAAAAAGAAAAAAAAAAAGAATAACAAGAAGAGAGCAGACAGTCAGAGCAGAGACAAGTCACTATCTACATCAACATCTCAATTATCTCACATTAACAGAGAGAAACGTTCCACGCTCAGTGAAACACAGCACAGACAGCACATGCAGTGCTTTTGTGTGGAACAAGAGGAAGACGGCTGGACAAACAGTTTTCATAATGCCTCCTCATCTGTCTTTCATTATGCTGAGCAGCAATTTGAAAGTTCAGCAGAATCTCCGACAATAAAACCACAACACTGCAACAAACTTGAGGAAAAGGCATAAATACTGTAACAACTAGAAAGAGCTAACGTACAGCTGTGAGACAGATGTTTCCTCTCCTTTAATGGACAAGCTTTAACTGATTATCTTACAGTTTCAATACTTTAACACTAGTGTTCTTAGAAAGGCCTCATGGTGAGCCCGCGCTACACAAATGAAGCTTGCAAATCCCGTGTATACTACTGTTGTGTTTTGGAAGCCAAGGACAGGCGATCCATCACACACTGACCACTGGAGCCAAACAAAAGGAGTAAGGAAGTCTATCGGGCATTTGGGGGAGGGGGGTGGACTGCTAGCAGAATCATAAACACTCCAATTTCAGAAACGAAACACTCAAAACACAGCTGCTGTCCAAACATCCACTTTTCAGCCAAAACAATGAAATCTTCCTCACAGCACAAGACAAATGAGATAGAGGGGAACTATGCATGGATCAAAATAAAAACAGCTTTTTAAATTTGTTAGCACTTTCAGATCATTTAGAACAGGGGTGTCAAACTGAACCACTAAGGGGGCCATATTAAAAAATCTCAACAAATCCATAGGCTAGAGGAAAAAATGTTTGTGTTTCATTTTTTAAGTAATGTGCTATAACCTGAACTGGCCATTGTTTACTGGAAATATACAAAATCTCCAGCAGTAAAATAGGCACTTGTAATAAACCTTGAAATATTACATGAATACTTCAAATACTGACAATTCAAATGTCCCCAGGAGCTCAGTCGTTTAAACCTACCTATCTGATTGAACTAGACACCTGACATCCTTTCTTTGCTGCAAGTTCATTAAGACTTGGGCTCAGTTTCTGAGCTGACGTTTGGTGTTTATGTTGGTTGAACTGCAGCTGAAATGCAGTTAGTGTGTTTAGTGATATGACTGGTGTGGAATTGGGTAGAACTGTGTAGAACTGAGGTGTAACTGCTGTCCCATAGACTACAGGAGGGTCAGAGCACACGTTGCAGTGCATGCTGGGGACTGCAGTGCAGCCTATTGTGAAACGGAGAGTAACAGAGTGTGGTGTCTACTGCATCTAACAGTGGCACTGGTAAATAAATGAATTTTACAATTAATGCAAAGTAAGACTCGTTCACTGTATTGCTGTAACAGGCTTACGTGTACACAGACCTCCTGCTTGGTTTTAGTGGTGTAGCCCTGAACAGACTCGCGCGCCACCATGGTCTCCAAGGCCTCTTGAACTGTGCGTATCTTCTCTGATTGGATGTCCAGCTGCAGGGTGAAGAATGGCTGCAAAGTGGCGGACTCCTTCGAACTCTGCTGGTACACCACCGATCTACACAAACATATTTATTTTTGAAAAATAAATAAAATACATACATATAGGCCTATCAGTATTAGCACATTTCTATTGGTCCATTCACCATGACACTTTAACACACTGTAAAAGGCAACTGGCATTTTCAAATTAGAAAGACTGGCATTTACAAAAAAAAACACAAGACAAAAAAATACAAAAACACAAAACAACAAAACTGAAAAAAAGGTTTTATCCTGACAGTGACAACATACTCTACTCTTGTTCTGTATACGGCTCCCTTTAATAAGAACCCCCTTCAAGAGGTCACACTACAAGTTAAATTGAGAAAAAAAAAAATATTGCTTAAATTGCGAAGGCGAGGCAAAAACAGAAGTGCATATATGCTTCCAGGAACATGAAGACTGGGCAAAACATCATATTTGTCACAGTAAGACATCTAAAGAACTTTTTATATTGAATTCAGCTTTTACCCTGGCTACCCAAACATCACCCCTTTAGGCTATTTGTCTCCAAATTCAGTCACGGGGCATGCCAAGCTCTAACCTCAAACACAACGTTAGAGGGTGTCATTTAAGCCTTTTTGCCTGACAGGTTAAGGACTTGTGCCTTTCAAAAGCCGACACGGCTGGCTGGCCAGCAGGTCCGTGGGGAGAGAAACAGCTCCACTGCAGAGCCCGAGAGGGAGAGATACACAGCTGCTCACAGTGGCTCTGTTTGTGATGGCTACAGGCAGGCAGCTCGGAGGCTGGACAGCAGGCTGTGCTGAAGATGGCACAGGGCTTGCTTGGCTCGGCTACCAAACGCTGAGGCACACAGCCAACAAAAAGAAGGACCGGACCATAACTGGTGCCGTGGCCCAACAGCATGGTGAGAAGAAAAATAATCTTGCTGAAAGCAGCAGAAATGGATGAGGGTCAGTTCTACCAGCCAGAGAGGTCAGGTGTTTTGATATTGAGTGCTGAACACATGGGGGAAGGTTAGGATAGACTGACTGACAATATACCCGGTCTTTAAATAACCCCACTGGGGCCATGACCATAACACAACGAAGATCAATCTAGCCGACTTTAAATGACGTGCATTAGCTAGCTGTGCTACTTAGTTACCACTGATCGAGTAGTGCTGCAGTGAAGAGCGGGTTTTGTTCCTTGTCAGAAAAGCGCTTCTGTACAGCTGCAAGTAAAGCACGTTTCACAGTTCTGAAACCTGGCCTGTCTTTCAACAGCAGCCTCTGTAGCTCAGAGACAGCAGGAATCACAACCGAGGCTAACAAATCTGCAGGGCTCACTTGTGGAGTCTTATGCTTGGCTGGCTGAGCTGTAGCTGAATGTCCTCTAAATCCAGACAGATACAGTGTGACTTTAGAAACCTTTTTCTTTGGTGACTCACACTGTACATGTACAGGTAGTGATGTACACGGTAGGACAATACAGTCTCTAAAGCCTATTTTGCAAAAATAAGAACACAGCATTAGCGTTTATACCTCGCTATTCTGTTCAGTAAACAGAGTAAAGTTAGTATGCAGACTTCGGTAGGAAATGTCGACTTTTCAGCTGCCCTGTGTCTCAGCTTTTAAGCTCCCATGTGTCTCTCCACGTGTATCGGGGAGACGACTGATTGTGCGTGTTTAAAAACGGGCTAAACCACACAGTGTATGTTTGGCGAAATTTGCCAATGCGAATAGTTTAAAGTGACCAGGTGACTTTGTGTCCGATTGTCATGGAGTCTGTAACACTTCACTGCCAGCTTCAGTTGTCCGTTTGTTATCAGTTGGTGTCCGGATTTTGGTATTGGTGAATTTTTATGAGGACGAGTAAATGAGAATGGCATTGGCCCGATACCCAAATCTGTATCGATGCATCCCTAAGCATGTGATTAATTAGTTTAATGAAATTCGTGAAATTAATGAAAAATGTAGGGTACAGAAATAATAATAATAATAAAAATAAAAAAATACATTAAGATGCATTGACTACTATTTTTTAATTACATCTTGGACCCTGACCCAAAATTTTAATTGATTTGTGAGGTGCCTAGAGATTCTCACTCCTACCACATTATGGAACCATTTTGCATTATGAAAACTGGGCTCTTTATATGAAATAGCTTTGAATAAATCTGTATAATTTCACATTTTGAGTGAAGTATTTGATTTTCCCAGTGGTTTACCTTATGTGCCCTCCAAATATGTCTGTAATGGGGGTGCGGATGAAGTCAGCCTGGCGGGTGATGGAAGTTTTGTTCCTGGGTCCCACCTGCTCCCACTCATCCTCACTGCCCTCCTCCCCCTCCTTCTCAGCAGGGTTTTCCTCTGCACCTGGGTGAGACCCTGGCCCATTGGGTGTGGACACTTCTGCTTAGACACAATCAAAATGATCACATTCAAGTCCAACAGACTCAAGCCAAAGACTATCTTGTATAAAATAAAACATTTTTTAAACAAGAACAGATCTTTTAACGTAATATGTCTCTATGCACCAGCATGAACCTGTGCAAAAACACAGAATAAATAAAAGACTGTTTGACAGCCAACATACTGCAATGAATGTTCAACAAATAGAAAAATACACACTCTCTTCCTGTGGAGAGATAAGCTTCTTCAGTGCCAGCATCTCCTCATGCAGTCCATTCAGGGTGAAGCCCAGATACTCCTCCGCGTCTTCCTGCCGACCCTGCAGGAAGAAGACATGCCAACTAATTAGTTAATACTGCCCACAGCTAGTCTGAAACCACCTCTGACTCAGCACACACCCTGTACAGTGTTACAGCAAGCATGACAAGGTTCTTTTGTCCTGTTCTTGATCTGCCTTGATTTCACTTCATTACAGAAGATGACTCAGCAAACACCACTCTCTCAAATACAAAGGAAGACTTCCTCAAGTGTGTCAATTCTGGCTATTCAGCAACAAAATTAAGCAGAACAAGGCATTAATTTGACCAATCGCAAACACAAACCAGCAGAAAGTCTTCCTGTTCCTCTTTCAGAAGAAACTGTTATTTCTAATGTCAAATTACAGTGTAAAAACCACTTACAACCGAGATAAAATAAAAACCCTTACCTTCTCAGAAAGGCTGGATTTAATGAGGGTGAGGAGTCTGTAGATATATGTGGGCTCAAAGGGAACGCCTGGTCTGATATCTTTAATTATCTTCTCTCCAGCAGCTGTGAAGTACAAGCAGAGATCAAATTTTATGCACTTAATAAATGCCTTCAAAAAGGTCAGTGGAAAGTTCCTCGTCCCAGGATGGAGGCTCACCTTGCTGTTTGGCCTTGGAGGGGACCGGCATGTTGCTGAACTCATTCACAAGCCGAACACTGGAGGAGCCACAGAACATTAACAATATCAGTGGAAACTTTAACTGAAATGAGGTCATCCTCAAAAGGCAAAAGAGATTTTTCTGCCCAGCTCCTGAACAGTCTGATAGAATGCACAGCTCCAAATATATGTAGACTCATTTTGCGTGAGAAGAGTGTTGGAGGCTTCTTATTTCAAAAATTACTTAAGAAAAAAGTCTGAATAACTCACAAGTTATCCATCATTGGCGTAGAGGTGCAGGGTCGCTGCGTCTCGTTGAAGATGGGAATAGACTTCATCAAATGATACATTGGGGGGCACGCAATCAGTGCCTGCAGGGTCTTTTGCTTAGAGTCAAGGGCAAAACAGGTAGCACAGTAACAAAGGCAGCTACAAAAATAAAAGTAAACATCTAAGGACGCTTAAGAGTAGAGCCGGCCCGAACATCATTTTCACAGACTTCAAAGTTTTCAAGTCCGTAATAAGTATTCGTTAAACTTAGTTTTACATATTAATGTATCTTTTTTTTAATACAACGAATGTCCAAAGATACCAGGAGATGTGCTGTAATGTCAGATAAGGAGACATGAGTCCTGACTGTTTTTTGCTTACCTGGACAGCAGCAATGAGACAAAACCTTTTGAAATCTCTGTTTAGTGATGTTTAGCTGGTTTACTGAAAGGATAGGCAAGTTCAAATCCCACTGCTAACTTAATGGTCCAAGCTCTATATCTACTGAGACTGAGTTATGTCAATGTTTTATACAAAATTTTGTATAGATTTATGACCTCATATCTTATAGACAGAAGCCAGTTTACTTGCCTCCCACACCTGTCTGTCTCTAAACTCTGCGGTGGGTAAACAAGTGACTGAGGAAGCACATGAAATGTCGTTCCACAGTCAAAACTAGAGCCAAACAAATTCGTATCTGGCTATTTGTCTTAGTTTAAAAAGTTGTTAGCCGTTTTAAAAATCTTTGCTTAACTTATGCTGCTTAAGAAAAAGAGTGACCTGCAAATCGTGGGGGTAATGAAAAGGATACAGCATTGATATAGCACCAGTTTCCCTTGTTGATCAGTCCTCTCGGTTGCAAAGACACTGGTTTGTGTATCAACTTCACATTCTCAATAAGTTCTGGCAGAAAATCAGAGAAAAGATTGTATAAAAAAAGATGTTTTGTAATTCCTAAAAACAGCAGAACATGGTTGAGACATCCCATCAGTCTCTGCTGGCATCGCATGGCTGACACACACAAGCCTGGTGCAGGTAGACGGAGGAGGACACTGTACCATTCCACGCCTAGAAAAGGAAGCTGTTATAGGTACATAGCCCACATGGCAACAGGGATGTCATGGGGTCAGATTTTTACATTCATTACATTAAAAGAAAACACTGAGTAAATATTGCACAAAACTTGAGGGAAAATAAATAAATAAATAATAAAAAAAACACTTTTAAAGCTCTGCTCCTTTTTTACAAGCAGAACCCTCTGAAGAACAAAGACACAGCAGAGAAAATCAGACTGAATTTAAATTATTGAGGGAACCTATAAATAATAATCTCATCCTTATTGGGTCCCCCCAGCCCCACCAAGAGAGGCCCCACAGTCAAAGCTGCACGCACAGAAACTAAACACTATTCGCCAACAGCACTAAAAGTATGTAAAACATGGTTCCAACCAAGGTCACATCTACCGCTCTGGAAAAACAACTTTAACATGACATAAATAATAGAGCAGATCGGCACAAGGACGGAAAATTCCACTTGAATCCAGGATGACAAAACAGGAGCGACACGCTTTACTTCCGAGAAGCTTGCAAACTGTTATCTTTTCCACATGCTACGCTTCCTCACAGCCAAAGTGATTAGGCGTCTGTGCAGAGAGAGTAAGCCACATGCACTCATTCAAGCTTCAGACACAAAGAATATGTTGGGGCACTTGCACAGGAGAAAATCTCAAACACGATTTCCTCAGGATCAGGACCCTTTCCTTTCATTTCAAATATAGGGAAGCTGAAATCATGTTTTTTTTGGCCACACAACACAAATATCTTACATAACATCGTATTGTTATGAGACACAGATGGGCTCAGTAAACAAAACCCCTCTTTAGACTTTAGTACACTTACAGAAAACCACATCTGAGATGTGAACGCTCATAAATGCCACAAACATTGGTAACATTAGTTTAATTTGGCAATAAAACCACAATTTACCCTGCACGCTAATTTAGATCAGCTGAATGCTACATAACCTGGAGGGTTAACAGGACAATATCAGCATTGTTTTTTGATTAGTCTACAGAAAGCATTAAAAAAGCCAATTTTTGGTTAAAAAACAAAAAACAACCAAAAAAATAAATAAAAAAAAAACGAGCAAGTATTGAAGAGGCATTAACACTAAACGTTCTATCATTCACCATTTTGTCCCAGCATGAAATATTTCAGTGGTAAGGTAAGGAAGTACAAACACATTCACCACACTGCCTCATTACTCTACTTAACTTTTCTTTTTTTTAGATATCTGTATTTTACTTGAGTATTTGTCACTTAATACATTTTACTTTTACTCACTACAATTCAAAACCTGCACTTTTACCTACAAACTCTTACTGTTCATTACTTTCAACTTCAACATGTATTTATCTATCATATCCACCTTCTCTATTTACTTATGTATTTTTTAATCAGGCAATTGTATTCAGGCACCCAATGAAGCACATATCAGCATCCTACTGGATGTGCAACAGGCGAAAATGGAGCAGAGTGAACCTGCGATTGGCTACTTTCACAGCTTACAGGCCCCAGCAGTGAGCAGGTGGGAAAAGAACAAAAAACAGATGAGGAGGTGGAATCCACAGACAGCGACTGCGTCAAATCAGCGCTTAACATGGACGACGTATTTGGCGGAAAAAAGTTTCGGGTTCGGGTCGGTTACTGCGAGTTAATGCAATCGAGACACATACAGTGGACAGAGATTAGATGAAGCTGAAGTTGGCTTTATTCCCTTTTCCACCTTAAACGATACAGCAGTTATGTTTAGACGCCTATACAGACGTTACTTCAGTGCATTGAGTCATTACAGGTAAGACATAAACAGACCAATATACGTGTTTCATGTCCCGCCATTACAATACGCTTTTGCCTACAATCATTAGGTTTAGGTGTTTCAGATCGCTGTGCTGTTTTTCCTCGTCTTCACACATCAGCTGAACTTTCATGTAGTCTTCATTTAGGTCACCCGCTGTGGCAGTAACCCGTGTTTTCAGCTTCAATAATTATGAGGTTTTAAGTTTGTACAGCTTTAAATTTGTAGGTTTAGATTTGCACATCTCAGCTGTCTCTGGGTAACAGTTGTGTCTGTGAGCAAGCTTTATAGTGAAGGTGCGGCACTGGTGGTTGTCATGAGCCCTTCGAGCACGGCTCGGCTTGACCCGCCATCCTTCAAGGCGCGCGGAAGGCAAGCATCAAGACTGTTCTCTGTGCTGGAGCCCAGGTGGTGGAACGAACTCCCACTGGCTGTCCGTACAGCAGAGTCTCTCGCTGTCTTCAAACACAGACTGAAGACGCATCTGTTTATACAGCACTTAAATGAGCACTGAGTTAAGTATTGATTGTAATGTATTGTACAGCACTTATGTATTGTATTGTGTTGCACTGCTCTGTGTTTAACTTTTTCTCTAGGTGTCAATGACTTTCTGATTCTAGCAGTATCTGAGCTCAGGACTGGCTTTCTCTCTAACCTACTGGTAACTAGCAAAGATCCTTTCTCTGGATAGACAAAGCACTTTTTGTAAGTCACTCTGGATAAGAGCGTCTGCTAAATGATGTAAATGTTTGTGTGATCCAGCTTCCTGATTGGTTGCTCTTTTGTATCAAGGGGTGCGTTGGAATATGTAAAGAAGGGGTGTTCAAACTTTTTCAAAGATGGCCAGATCGTACCATGTCAAAACAGCTGCGGGCTGAAATTTTACTCGCATATGATTTAAAACACTGACTTATTAAAATATCAGCACACAGAATCAAAGCTTACTGTGAGCTACTGTGTTTCCTATCACTGTGTAAAAGTGCTGTGAGACTCAGAGCTGCAGCTGCTTTAGTTTAACTCCTGAACATTCACTGTAGTGTTCATGCTCTGTTCACATCTGTTAACATTAAACTCATTATAGTCTTTTGAAATAGGCTCGTTTGCTGTAGCTCTCGATGAAAAAAGTGTTCAAGTTTCTATCAAAATCTGTGGTTCTCAGTGTTAGTTTGAGATTTATGGCTGCAGTCTGGACTAAATGTGGGCCAGTAACTGAAGCTGCAGGTCAGTCAGAGAAGAAAGGCTCCCAAACTTTAGCTAACTGTTTCCACAGTGCGGCGCATTACATTAATTTTGCAAGACCGCTGCCACCATCAGGTGAAAAGAAGAACTGCAGCATGCTGGCTGGAGGGCCACTTAACACACCCTAAAACAGAATCCAGGGGACAATTAAAATCTGTCTGGGGGCCGCACATTGGACACCCCTGATGAAGAGAGAGGACTGCATGGCTGTTAGGAACAGCCCATAGCCTGACGTCATGACTTTGCAGGACCTTTGCACGTTTTGTGTGTTCCAGGTCTGAAAACAAGTCCCCGGTCTTACTTAAAGGACTTATTTGACCCGGTGTTACTGGTGTTACAGTATTTACTGCTGAAATAAAAGATGAGTCTGAACGAAACAACATGCAATGTTCTCCTCACTATATGGAGCTTCAAACAAGCCGGGATGTGTACCTTTGACTGTCAGAAGAAAGATTAAGTTTAAAACATTTTTTGATTTTTAAAGAAATACTTTTTTACTTTAAGTACATTTAGAAGCAGGTAGTTTTATAATTCTACTTGATTAATTAAAAATAAATAAATAAATCAGGTACTTCAACTTGAGTACACTTTTACTTAAATAAGTGACTTATGTACTTCTGCCAGCTCTGGATAATTCTGACTAGTCATCAGGGAGGCTGGAATCGTGAAACAGACGTTTCTAGATTTCAGCAAACACGTCACTGGCTGAGAGACTTCCCCTGCTCCTCCCCTCTGCTTGAAGGGGCTTTGATAGCATGAAGGTCTATTATGTAAAAGTGTGTTTTGAGTCAAGTACGAGCAAGTATTGATTGATCCGGAAAACCGAGCGTTGTGCAATTTTATCATTTTCTCCCTCAGGCAAACCGTTCTGGAAATTTGCTCCAGCCAAGAAATATTTGTGACTTGGCCGTTACGACAATGGTGTAGCAACACAGACATTATTTGATTTCAACAAACATGTTTTTGCCTGACCGACTTCCTCTACTTCTCCCTTCAGATTCATGGGGCTCTGACAGCATAACTAGGCCAGAGAATGCTGTGCTGTGTTTACTATGTCAATACAAAGCTATTTGACAGCATCCATACTGCTTCTCCAGCCTCATACAGTTTTTGCTGAAAATGTAACAGCAAGGTTTCACTGCGAGTGTGAGCTTAATGGTTCGTAGAGGTGCCTAACAACTTGCTGTAAACTTACCCACCTGCTGTTGGTGCCAAAACCATCTTCTCTTTCTTTTTAACGACTCATGGTGGATTGTATTTGCTCAAAGCAAATAGATACACTTTCATATAGAGGTTTATGAAGTAAACACACACCAGGACAAATATGACAGCATGAGCACACAATCTTTGGGTTAACAGTGCCCCCATGCTTGAAGCATGGGAACTGCCTTCTGAAGAGAGAAAAGTTATTTACTGCTGCCACCTCATGGCCAGAACAACACAGCACATTCTAAGCACTCAGATTTGTGATCTTATATGAACAGCTAAAGTAATAACTGACCTAGTTTGTGTAGCTACTTACCTAATTCCCAATTAAAAAGCATGAATACAAATTCTACACAATGAAATGTGGTGTATACTCTGGCCCATAATTAGGTTACAACCTGCATACTGACAGATGATTGTTTACTGTATCAGTGGTGGTGCAATTCAGTGTTTGTCAAAAGAAACCAGAACAAATATGAAAACAAATGTAAGTATACATTAACACCAACGCTAGACTAAACAAGGAGTGGACTGTATGATTAAGGTCCTATTCGACTTAACCTTAGCCTGATTTAAACATGTTTCTGGTCGATATTGGCCTATTTACTATTTGAGACTTTAACATGTAAATACTTAGATCTCTCTCCTGATTCAGCATGGCTGAAGGATTTGAACAAAATATTAAATTGTTATTTTTCTGACTAATCTTGTGATTCATTTATAGAAATTAATTGTAATTAAAGTCCAGATCCACTTTTTCTGGCTTAAGGTTTGAATGTTAAGCGTAGTGTGCCAGACTGTCAGTTAGCTTTAACTGTGCTTTAATGCAGGCGTTTGGATGTTTGACTGGTCTGTTATGACTTAAGACAACATTGCTGATATACTTTATAATAATAATAATAATAATAATAATAACAACAACAACAACAACAACAACTGCAACTCTACTGATTTGAAAATTGCGCTCTTTCGAATTGCAATTTCAATATAGAACAGCTCACATTTTAGCCCTATAACTTGACATCTTGCTACCTGTTTGATAGTAACAAACATGTTCAAAATAGATATCACTAGATATTTAAATAGAAGAAAAAATGAAATGCAGACATTTTTATACAGTAAGAAAACAATACATAAACTGAAGTCTTGGGTCAGCCCAGTTTCTCAGACTGAGAGCTCAGACCGTTTTGTACATGTAAACATAGTTACTGAGTACTATTCATGATACCTTGCTGTGTAGATACCATACCTGCCAATTTAGGGGCCATTGGATCCTCAGAGACAGGGACAGGGCCCTCCCGCACTTCACACACCTTCTCAGGCAGCTCAGCGGTAGCTGGGGACACAGCAACAACAGTGGAAATATTTTTCACCTCCACATAGGCCTGAGGGCCTCCAGGCAGAGGCTTGGAGTTGTGGAAGAGGCTGGCCCAGGATTTTGGGGGGTTGGCCACAGAGGCTGCAGCTGGAGCAGTCGAAGACGCCTGCTCGGTCACAGGCTGAGCCTCTGAGTCCGAAGGGGGCGAGGCCGGAGCGGAACGCAGCTGGGCCTCACCCGTCTCAGATGAGTCCTGCAATCTGTCCGCCGTTTCGTCAGCGGGGGCTGCTTCTGGCAGCCCGTTAGCCTGGCCTGAGCCCTCGGGCTGATCCTCGTCAGTAGTAGCAGGTGCAGTGGTGGCCACAGCAGCAGGAGGGGGAGGGGGGGAGTTCGGGCAGGGGCTGTGCCCTCCCCTGCCCTGCAGTTCGGGGCTCTCTAAAGCCAGGGGGTCCGCGTGCTGCTCTGCAGTCCTGGCCCCCTCCGCCAGCCCACTGCTCTGAGAGGAGGAAGAGGAAGACGACGAGGAGGCCGCAGCGTTACCGTCCGACAAAGAGGCAGCTCCACTCGTCAAGTCCAAAGAAGATTCATCAGGGCTATCACAAGTCCTCTGACTAGAGGGAGGGGCAGCCCGAGCTGTGGATGGGGCGGAAGCGAGAGGGGCGGCAGGGGCCAAGTTGGTCCCCGACAGCACCTCTCCAACCATGTCCTCCGAAGCCAGAGCCGGGGCACTGAGCGCATGTCCGTTCACTAGCCCAGAGGCCGCCACTCCGTCCACAGCTCCGCCGCTGCTGTTGCTGGAGCCCTCTAGGTAGTTGTAGTATCCTGGCGGTCGTTTTTTCTTTTTCTTCCGCTCCCGTTGGCCCAGGCTGCTGGAAACCCCGTCCAGATCGGAGCAGGCCTGGTGACTGTCCAGGGCAGAAGCCTCAGAGTCAGCGCAGTCCACAGAACCAAAGTCTGTGCCATCTGGAATGTCTGCAATGGGTGTGGCTGCAGGAAGGGTCTTCTGAGCTGCTTGGCAGCCCAGGATGAACTCAGGAGCCTGGGGGTTTAGAGTGCTGGACACTTTGTACAAGGGGTCTTTCATGGACACCGGCTCCGAGCTCATCACCTCATCAACACCAAACTCAATGTGCTGGTAGTCTTCTCCTGCAGATGGCACACCACATTTAGCATACGCAAATCAGTAACTAATGATTCAACCCACAGTTACAAAGGGCTAGTTTAACAGTTATAAAGTGCTAAACAGCAACAAATTACTTCCACATATCTGAGCAACAATGAAAATCCTATTAAGCACAAACAATTTTACCACATACCCCAAAATATGTTCCAGGTTAACAACAAATATTGCCCCATTATCCCAAAGTTGAGGTCAGTCTCATTACAAAAGTGACTGCTGTGCTGTGATGCAAGGATATGAAGCAGTAAGAGACAGTTTGAAATGGAATCTAAAAACAGTGTTAATGATTACAGGTAGGGCTGGGCGATAAAACGATAACGATAATTATTGCGATATAACTTTTCCTCGATAGAGCGATACATGTTCAATAAATTTGATATAACAGACCATTCTCATACTTCCACGTTCAGCAAAAGCCCTGGTGGCGTTTTCTACTGCGAGGAAAGCGACACTACTCCCCTGTTGCCAGTAGAGGGCGCACTTCCGAGTTTTTCTACATGATTAGAGAGGAGGGGGCCACGAGTAAGATGAGTCTTTAGCAACGGCTGAACTGTGGAGCGACCGGCGATCTGTTCTCTGTGACCGAGTGTGAGTGACGAGGTCAGTGGTGTAGCTGTACTGTCCTACAGCGAACTCACCTCTTTCTGTACATCCTAACCAGCTTTAGCAGCGTTAAATCACAATCCTCACAACTACAGCGCTGTTACAGCGCTCGGACAGTCATATTTAAATATTAGTGCATTCCCTAAGCAACGAAAGTGAAGGAAAGAAGTGGGTTCGTGTAAATTACAGCCCTGATTTAAACGACAGTAAACTGAGGATTCTGTATGTGAGGCATTGGAGAGCGGGAGAGCGCTAGCTTTCCAGGCTAGCTGTTTTTAGCAGCTGGCTAACTTGAAGGAGCGCTCCGTCACTCCACAACACGGAGAACTGATGATACTGTAGATCAAACACGACACAAAAGCACCGCTTTCAGTTTAACCGTACCTAAAAGGAGGACTCTGTTTGTCTGGTGTTGATATTTTGCGGTTCACCCCTTAAACTACTACGACAGTATAGAGAAATCCAGTCGTCTAGCTGGTGTCTGAATACTGTGATGTCATTTGTAGCGGGGTAGCCGAGCGCTCGGCACCAGCTAAAATAATCTGTTTTCTTTTTTAAATTATGACTATTACAAAATAGCCGTGCTTTTCCAGCTGGTAAAAACAGCTCACCAGACACTTTCTCCCACTCTCACATGACAGATGTGTGAAATGCTCCACTGTTTGGTGAGTGTTTGTCGAGTTCTGAAACTTGAAAGAAATAATGTTTTGATATTTATCGCAGTATGTATCGATATCGAGCGATATGAATTTTGTTTATCGTGATAACATTTGTCCATATCGCCCAGCTCTAATTATAGGTCAACATTACTCAGAAAAAAATGCTCAGTTATAAATATGAAACCAATAACCAGCTCCAAGCCACCAAAGAGTCATCATGGAGAAAGAAGGAAAAAAAATAAAAAAATAAAGGAACAGGGTTACTGGGTTCTGTGTAGTGATTCAATCATGTCCATAATTTGCTAGGTTCTCTGTTAGTATTCATTTAACAGGGTTCATTCCAAGAAAGCTAGGAGGACAGAGTCATTAAGAGATGGTATATCTGACAAAAACAAGATTGTTACTTTAAATGGTTTACGTTAGAACTCCTCGAGGACTGCGGAAGCAGTTTTCATCCAACCCATTTGGTAAGTGAGGGGTATTAGCAGGGAACGTCCAAGAAAAGTAATAATTACCACTGTAAAACCTGAAAAATCAACTCCAAGCCTGCTGTGCAGATGCATTTATGTGCCACAGAGAAGTGTGTCGGCATCTAAGCATGCAAAGCTTCACAGATTATCAAACAGGCAGAAATGAGAGGGAAGGGTTTGAGGCTGACAAAAGGGAAAGTTTAGAAAGCAATCTGTTTTAGAACCGGCTTAAGTTCTGCAGCGTAAACAAGAAGAATAAGGCACTGTGCGTCGGACCCACAACTCACCGCAAACCTGCCGTCTCACTGATTCCGTAATGTAAGGCACAGCAGGAGGGCAGTAACCTCCTAAATAATTAATACAAATCAAGGTAAATATCAACAGTAATGAGAGGCCATTGTATTTTTATTTTGTTTTGTTGGCACTTTGTGCTTCAAGTTCAGGTTCAAATCAGGACAGAAGAGTAGAGGGGGTTCTTTAAACTTTTCATTGATTATGATGCAAGAGGACCAGGCACTTTTAAATATGTCAAGATGCTGAACGATCCCAAATAAGTGCGAGGTGTGTGGGATTATCACTGAGTTTGCTGGAGGGGATCACCACTGACTAAATGAAGTATGGAAATTAGGCAACGTCTTACCTGAGTTATGACTGACACAGGAGACCTTATCATTGAAGGGGGGAAGCTGTTCATTTAGGAAGATAAAAAAAGAGAGAAAATTATCAATAAAACTATCAATACAACAGCCATTATTACCAAACTATTACCCAAGGTGCGTCACAGCTTTTATAACATGCACTTTGGAGCAGAAGGATCGAGATCATTTCAACATTTATCATGATATTTAAAGAAAATAAGAAATACTATACGTAGTGCATTTGCTGGGCCAACTCCAAGGCTGGTTGACTAGAACTGTTCCAAATTTACTAAGTGCTGTGAATACTAATGAGATGAGCTTATAACATTCATAAACAGGAAATATGAGTTTTCTTTCAAAACTTTTAATGTAAACTTTACTCTTACTAATTTTACCTCAACGTAACAGCGAGGAGTCACAAAGAACTGATTGAACTCATCCGGGCTGAACTCCCCGAAGATGTACTGCGAAAATAAACACAGAAGAATTTCATTTAAGTAACTAACTTTGGAACACATTTATCTCAAGTTTCATAGTGAAGTTAACACCCACCCACTAGGTAAATGTGAGGAAGAAACAACAAAGATGAGTACGGCTCGGTAAATATAGCCAACGTCTGAACAAAGGAAACAACTTGAGCCGTCATCTCGCGCTTAATTTGTCTAAAAAACAAATGTTTAGCAGGTACTGGCTTTCGTGTGGTCAGCTTTAGTGTACTGACAATAATAAATAAGAACATGGACTGGAACACACCACAATATATATACACACTAACGCAGGGTTTCTCAACCTGTGGGCCGCGGACAACCAGTAGGCCGTGAAGCACTCTCTAGTGGTCCGCAGGCCTGAACTTGGGGGGAGGTAGCAGGTCGTAGTGGACCAGCAGAGACGTATAAACAAAAACAAAAAAAAATCCTGAGAAAACTTTAGTTCGCTCCGTTTTGATGTGTGTGAACACTCCAGCTGTATTCGGGTCTGAAAAAAACAGCTGAAACCCGTGAGTCCAGCTTCCAACGCCATTCAGTTCACTACTGGTGGGACGGATTTTATGATGAAACGAGGGAATTCATCAGTAGAGCCGGCTGTACCGTCAGCGCTGTACCGTCAGTATAAACTGCCAGTTTTAACGTCTGACTTACTGCTCTAATGTCGTTCCTGCAGCTCGAGCTACAGCTGATAAAAATGACCGTCAAGCCACAAAATAATAGCGAAGATCTGTGTTTAGTATTTTGCCGAGCGTCAGCGACCTGAGTAGTTACTCAGCTTGATAAACCAATGACAAAGACGCAGAGATCAAATAAGGTTTATTACTGTTGATTGCAGTGACGCTGATCCAAAAGCAAGAGTGAAGTTTATTTCAAACGAGGTGCTAAAACCCTCAAATCTAAAGAGACTCCAGACCAAACAGCGACTCCTGTGGGAGTCATGAGTGTATTCATAGCGAAATTGCGATGGACTGGAGCTCCAAATCACAGTCTACATCTACCTTTTTTCTTTTTCCCCTTTTTTGACCTCTGCAATATTTTTTTGTTTGCTTTACCGCACATTTTGGTTTCTGTAACTGAAGTGAAATGGACGATCTGATCCTTTTCAGGCGCTAATTCATGGGTTTTCAGTGTGAGCAATTAAGAAAGAAAAATAAACTATTTAAAAAAAAGATAAGTTGATTTTAGTCTTTCTGGGGGCCGCTATGCTTTATAAGTTATATACAGGTGGGCCTTGGGGTGAAAAGGTTGAGAACCGCTACACTAATATATATATTATATGTATATATACATATATAAAAAACACACACTAAATACTTTATTTTTGAAAATCTATTTATATACCACTACTTGTTTTGTGTTACGGAGCATGCAAAGTGGTGTGTGAAAATGAGAACTGTGGTGCTGCTAGGCTGAGTGTACAGGCATCAAAATGCACTGCAACAACTTCGTGCGAAGACCTCTTTCAATCTGCCACACAGTTTTATGGGCTGGCACAGGACCACGAGACCACAAACAGGAAAGAAAAACGATAACCAAATAACAAAAAACAACCTCCTCTGCTAAAACCCTCAAAGAAAACATGAGCTCAGGTAAAGTCGACCTCAAAATCTAGAATAAGTTTATCAGTTTGGGTGAAAGTTAAGAACGAGCTGAAAAGTGATGAGTCATGTTGCATTAGCATGGTAATACGGCTCCCACATGGCCCACTTTGCAGGGGAGAGATCAGAAGAACTTGACTCATTCACTTCTGCCAATGTGCAACAACGTGAGTGAGAATTTCAAAGTGCTGTGCGGACCCAGCTGAGGAAAACATTAACGTACCTATATTTTACAGCCTGAACCACATTTGTTTGTTGACAGTTTTCAATGCCACAAAAAACCCCAATAAAAAATAAATACGTTCCAAATAAATAAATAAATAAATAAATAAATAAATGGCTCAAAAACTGGTTGACCCTGTAACAGACGCACCCCCTCCCTACTCTGCGCGAACATTCATCCGTGGGAAAAACCTATTGATAAAGTTACATTAACCACACATCGCCCTGGGGAGGCTCATAGACTTGGCATATCAGACTACTCTTCATACATTTAGATAACAGTGCATTTGTTTTAACAGCTGTACACAGAGAGCCAGGCGCTTTGTGATGTTTCGGCCTGAACATACTTCACATGCTGTGCCTGGGCACACAGAGCGGCCAGATGCCGCCTGAGAACGACCACGGTCAAGGAGACTAAAGAGCGACAAAACACGTCACTACAGCTCACTTTCAAAAATCCTATTGGTTCACACTGAGCTTAAGCCCATGTATCTCAGGCCCCCAACAAAGCTTCTCTCACCAGTTGATCCCAGCTCCGAAGACAAGGGGGGAAACTTCAAGACAAGCCATATACACACACACATATATAATCACTGTTGTCGGAACAAAACCTTGTGTCTCCAAAATGGTAACTTTACAGGAGAAGAAAAAACCTACTTTACTTTCAATGTAAGTCAATGGAACCAGAATTTTTTCTAGTATTTTTGGGCTGTTTCTTTTGGTCCATTCATCATGAAATTTACATATAATGTAAATGACAACAGGCATTTTCAAATTATGGCATAAACTGGAAAATTACAAAAAATGGAGATACAAGGTTTTCTTCCAACAGCAGCGAGATAGAGATATATATATATATATATATATATATATATATAATATAACTAGAGAAATCTTCCTTAATTTATATGCTCTGAAATGTTTGGCCCCTCCTGCCATCCATACACCTACAAGATCTATTCAGTACCCATGACTAAGTAAGAACAGGGGTTTTCTAAAACCCTCTTCTTTGACCACATAACTACTTCAAATGTTAGATCCCACACTGTTCACGTTAATAATACGCTGAAATTAGGTGACTAATTTTTCCGCGTTTAAGCTGGTCACACCAAGCCTTTCCAACCTTTGCCCGTCTGAGCATGGTGACCCCACTCCCCTGCAGCTAACCTGCTTTCCCCCAGCAGGCTATAATTAACTTAATCCCAATAGCACTAACAGTGTAACAAAGTCTCTAGTGCACCTAGACAGCACTTTGAGAACACAATCCCTTCTGAACTGCTCCATTAGCCCGAGTGACTTGAAACAAATCTGCATTCAATAGAATGAAAACGCTCATATTTGAAACATGAGGTGTAAGATTTTGGCTTTTGTGAAAAATAACAAAAGCTAAGATCTTCTAAGAGTTACTAGAGGAATATACACAGCTCCTGAAAATGAAACGTGAAACAGGCTCTGCGAACGTAAAGATAAATCCACCCCTCACATTTGACGCTGGCCACGTGAAAAGGGAGTCACAGAGAAAAAGAAAGTGCCGCTCAAGCACATGTAACTCTATGCAACCGACCACTGCTGAAACGGCACTACAAGTGACAAACAGTGAGCTGTAATCCGACGGCCTCTGGGCGGCTAATACAATCACAACAGAAAGAATGTCCCTTTGCCTCTTTCTGCAGGCGTGCCACACGTACCACACTAAGCTCTCCCTCGCTGGTCATTTGGAGAGGGGATTACCACAAATTAGCCATCTGTATTATTTCAACATGCTGTGGTGACGACACACTCGCGCGCACACACACTTTAGTGAACGAGGGACACGACCAGGGGCAAGGTTCACACAATAATGGCAACCATGAGAATTTTAGCATGTATAACTGTGCCCCCCCCCCAGTGAGGCAGTACATGGAAACAGCTTGTAACATATTTAGCAAAGATATCCATATTTCCATGCAACAGCAAAGTGCAAACAAGCCTGCAGAATGATCACCGAAGGGTGAAACGGAATGTTAAAAACCCAAAACAGACATACAAAGTGAGCCAAACACCTTTATGCCGATGGGGTGCTGAGAGAGGAGTGACTCCACAGGATTTTCAGGTTATGACACAATCATCCACAACTGATAAAAAAGGGTAGCTAGCAATCATTATCTATTGTACATGACTCCTTGACCCAATCAAACACCTTTAACTGATGCCTCTCAATGCTGCCCTGGCAGGTAGGTCTCACAGCATAGGGCAGAGGGTGAACAGTGTTTAAAAAAACTGAATATACTGCATTCAACAAGTATATATTTGGAATATGTGCTGGTTCAGACAATATATGGCTCCAGCAAACCAAGACTTTAACTGTTCTAGTTGTGTAAAAACACCCCTTTCCTTCACAATATGCAAAGCTGGCTCCTTAACAATTCTGAGACCAAAAAAAAATACTATATATTTTGTTACACAACTATAAATATTAATTATACTGCAGTAATTTCTAGCTTCTTGAACCATGAGCATGAGCTACACTGATTTCCTTAACTTACAATACATTTCAAAGTGTTACCCTCAAACCCAGAACAATTCGTGGGTGCAGAAATCTTTCCCCTCCCCTCTCAGTGATTCATATCAGTCAGTCATTTTGCCCTTTCAATCATTAGTCAAACAGCATATCACTTCATGTTTGACTTCATGTGCCCTCCCGAGGGGGGAGAAAAAGCAGCTTCAGCTTGCAGTTTCCACACCCATTTGAGTGTTTCCCTAACTTCCTTTTTCAGTTCGCTTCTTCATTCGAGGATCCCCCACGGTCAACCCACCTCCCTCCTGCTCATGTGACACTGAAACGGTCCAGCGTTGCCCCATCCCTGCTCGAAATGGACTGCCAACTGAAACTGTCACAAACTGTTAATAGACACATAACCTCAACCGGCTCGGAACAGAGCTGAAGCGCATAACGCATCGCAAAAGAATCTGCCAAGCAGAAGACACACGCATTTCACGCATTCAATTGGGTGAAGCAGACACTATTGTTTATACAGTATGGAACTGCAGGGACATCAGGAATTTTTCTTCTCCGAATGGTGGCTCTATCCGGCTCCGAATATAAATAGTGGTCAAAGTAAAGTGAGTAGACATATCAAGATCATAACAATCCAGTTGTGAACAAGGTCATTTCAGGCAAACTGTAAAACAGTGGCACTATTTGCCTAAAATATTGCATTATATTAGTTTATGCTGTGTGATAATGATGCTAGCACAGGTATAAATACCTCAATACACCAGCAACCAAACAGCAAGAGCACTATGACAGTTTAGTTAAAGCTGGTTCCAATAACAAGAACGCAAAATACAAAGTTGTGTAGGTGTAAATATGTACACACCAAATTAACAAAGTGATATTTAAAATAAAAAACTCAAACACAAATGAAGTAATAACGAGATCACAGAGCCTGAATCAATGAAATGCCTCCAATGAAACGCACCAGATAAAGCATCTTCTGGTGGTTCCCCATATTTACTACCTTCTCGCCTTACGCACACTAACACTTTTAAGCTCTCACTACCAACTAGATGACATGGCAGTGCTACGAATTATGTTATTAACGTTAACAGGAAACTCCAAAATTTTTTTCAAATATTCTACACAATTAAACGGTTCAGATATAAACAAGGTCAATCAGAGTGGTTTGGTGTGAAACGCTCAGTTCTAGAGAAACTTACCAAGTCAGAATTGCTCACAGTGGTGGTGATAGGAACCAGACGTCTGAAGAGTTTTAATGCCTCTGAAAACGTCCTTACAGAAAAGTTATCATACGAAATGATTAGATATGCTGCCTCAAGTCTGACACATCGATTAAAGATAGTTTGGTGAAAATGTTTTTGGTTTAAAATGTATTTCAACCCATGTAAGGCAACTAGTAGTCACTAGCGGTTTGGGATTGTAAATAAAACGGTTATATGTTTGTTGTAGACCTCTGGTTCCTATCAATACCACTACAAAGAAATCAGAGCCTCTTAGTTTCTCTACAACTACCTATTTCACACCTAACCACTCTGAATGACTGTCAGCATCTCAGTGGCTGAATTACGTAGAATTTAAAAAAAATAAACAGTGGAATTTATCTTTAACTTACTGAGGAGACCACAGTTAGACAGCTAACCAGCTAGTTAACCTAGCTAAGTTACCCGCTTCAAGAAAATGGCTCAAGCACAAAGACTACCTCGGTCTTGGGTGAAAGCCATAATCCGTACCGTGAACATGTGACAAGTTGTATCTGCCGGGCAGCTAAAAGGGGGCTGAAACTGACAGTTGCACCGCGGAGGCAATACCGTTTCCTACAAGACGGAACGCTAACTTAGATAGCCGAGTTAGCTAACCAAGCTAACTGGCTAAAGTCAGTACATGCGCGAATCTGCAGACGGGGCAAGTTCGGCTAACTGGCTCACAGAATAGAGACCACCTTAAACAAATTTAAAGCTCTGCAAATCGAACCAGAGATGAAAATATATCAAAACGTGTGCTGTAGCGTCTGCGAACTGTGCCAATGAATGATAGTGAATGAAATCGCTAAAGCGAGAGCGAGCCCGCCCCCAATCAACAGGCCCACCACACCACACCACACTGTCAAGTCATTAGCCACACAAGCTAGACGAGCAGCCACGACTCCCAAAAAACTCCGAAAACTGGGTATTAACGACTCGTTCCGGTGGAGTCTTATGTATAGCGTGTTATATCTGACGTTCTCACGCTGGTCGGAACATAGCTGGTGAACATGTGGCCGGTGAGTCTCCTCACAGTGCCTAGTCACTTTAGCTGCTCGGCTAGCGCCCGTTAACTGAAGCTGCTCTCTGGCAGGAGTGGGCCTCCTGCAGCAGGGCCGAGCGCCCTCGCTCACTCCCTCCCTCCTCACTCACCCTCCAGCCACTTTACTGAACTCAAACGTCACTCTAGGGTGAGGAACGCGCTTTGCACCTTACTTCGCCCCGATATTGGCCAATATACTCGTGAGCTCACGCCTGGTAGCGAGCTATGCTGCTGGTGTGAGTAAGCAGGCTGTGGGCCTGCACCACGCTGCGTTTCAATGAGCGCTCCAGCGAAAGCGTGAACAGGTTGCATTTTTCCCCCAGCTACGCTGACCCCTCATTCACACCGACCACACGGCTCCCACCCCCGGCTATCCGAGCACCGAACGTGCGCCCGCTAAAATGACGATAGAGTCAGAGCTGCTGCAGCTAAGCGCTACCTGGTTGCTGCGCGAAGCCATGCTCCCGGTGAGATTCGCCCCTCTCTCAGACACACGACGAACGCTCTTTCGGGCCAGAAGGTGTGTTTCGCAGTGCAGGGCTGTCACAGGCGGTCGCCTACTGAGTCGAGCCCTCCATGTTCCCAGTCGCCACTCGCACAGCGGTTTTATTTCGGGTTGTGTGCCGCCGCTACACCGAGTCACGCTGCTTTACCCGCCGTCGCCGCCATCTTTGTCTCGCCTCTCTCTCACTCACTCTCTCTCTCCACACACACACACACACACACTCTCTCTATCGCTCTCACACACGCTGTCGTTCACGTCCGGGGTCGGAGGGACGCGCACGTTCAAACTCCAATTGATAGATAACTTTTTTATTGCTAGAGGAATAAATAATTATCAGAGACAGGGTTTCAGTATAACAATACTTAATAATAATAATAATAATTTTTTATTTATACAGCACTTTTCATGCTGGTGGCAGCTCAGAGTGCTTTACAGACAGGCAGTGGTGGACGAAGCACACAAACCATGTACTTGAGTTAAAGTAGAGACACCCAAGGTAAAATATTACTGCAGTGAAAAGTAGAAGTTCCTCCCTTTAGACCTCCACTTGAGTAAAAGTACAAAAGTATTTGCCTTCAAATGTGCTTAAGTAACAAAAGTAAAAGTACTAAAAGATTAATTACGGCTCTGATGTCCTATTATCATTTTTGTAACAAAACTCGCTTCATTAACTCATTTTAGGTGAAAATACTCCAGTGTCTCTCTTGGTAAACCAGTCTTTTAATAGAATGTCATTAATTAGTGACGCTGATGTCTATTAAAATTATCATAAGCACAAAACACTGAAGGCAAACAATTTCCATTAACTGAGTGGCTCTAAAATAACTTTTTGCAAACAAGCAAAGTTTCAGTTTAAGATTTATTTGCAACTTAGTTACAAGTTTAAGTTTAATAAAAACATTCTTTGAACTCAGATTCACAAATGAGTTTCCTTTACTAAACTGCATCTGTAGGTCTCTGATCATAAACATAAACTAGAAAAAATAAATTTACTATAAAATGGAATAGTGTTTGTATAAATTCAGACAAAAGACACATCAGTCACAACTGCATATGAGTACATATTTCTATATTGTGGTTTATTTACACAAAGTTAAGTTAGTTCATCATTTATGTTGAATAGACTCTCCCAAACTTTTACGCTGCTGCACTGTCATTGAACCGTGTGCTGCACTGGGTCGGTATGTCGAACAGGTCAAAACAAGCTCAAAACAAAGTGTGCGCTGTGCCCTGATTGGTGTTCTTGCATTCCCACTTCTTTCGTTTTGACATTACGTTTTTATGCACACATAAACCAAAAGGAGTGACAGATTTCTCATAATGTAGTGGAGTAAAAAGTAAGATATTTGATTTTGAAATGTAGTGGAGTGAAAGTAAAAAGTTGCCCAAAATGGAAAAACTGAAATAACTGAAAGAGGCCTCTCCATGTTTTCTGTATTTTCACAATGAGAGGTCAGAAGTTTAAATAAAGGAAATAAAAAATAATACAAAAATAATAATATATATATATATATATATATATATATATATATATATATATATATGTCTATATCCCATTATGTGTGAAATTGGTGCAGATACTGCCGAATATGCAGAGTATAATTAGCAGAAAATGTTATTTTATGTTTATTCCATGTAAGTGGAGGATGTGTCATCAACTTCTTCTCACTTAGAAAATCAACAAAACATGTAATTTGACAGGGCGTGTTCAAACTCATGCATATGACCATATATATGCATCACAGTAATATTATTCTACATGCGGGGAAAAAGTACTAGCTAAGTAAAAAGAACTGCACGGCTAAGACAGAGAAACAGCCTTGACTGTAGACCCAGTACAAGAGGCACAAAGAGAAGAATAATGCCTAACAAAGTACAGAGAACTACATCTGTAGAGATTTTTTTTGTACCTGATACTTTCTTTAATCCTATTCACATCATTTTGTGTAGCTGTTTATTCTTTTACATGAATTTCCATGAAGTAACAGAAACTCTAGTGTGGTATTCGAGGAAGTTGCTTTAGCTTTTTAACCCACAGTTTCTTAATACCAGAAACTCAAATTAAAATAAAAACATTTTTTTATTAAAATAAAACTTCAAACATGTAACAATTCCACTTCAAACACAATTTTAATTTTAAAATGATTAGAATTTTGATGTCTTGGTTCATTTTTTACTCACACTAGTAAAAAATTGTTCCTCCCATTAAAACAAACTGAATGAAAAAACTCATATTGTTCCAAATGAGAACTGTAATCATACAAGCAAAATAGTAAAATTTGAGTTGTGACATGTTAAAATTAGATTTCTTACAAGTATGTTTTTTTTTTACTGTTGTAAGATTGAGTTGAATTTGAGCAACAGTTGTTCAAATTTTAATTTCTTCTACCATGAAATGCAGGATTAAGGGGGAATTCCATCAATTTTTCAAAATTTCTGTATAATTCAGTGGTTGAAACATAAACAATGTCATTCAGAGTGGTTTGATGTGAAATGGTTCCATTGCAGAGAAACGTACAGATTCAGATTTCTCTACAGTGGTGGTGATAGGAACCAGGAGTCCCGATGTCTACAATGCAAATATAGCAATTTTATGTAATATCCAAAACTACCAGTGTCTTCTGAGTTTTTATGCAACATTGATGATGGCAAAATAATGGTCAATCTGAGAAAAAAAGTTTTTTGGGGGGACTATTTTGCCTTGCAACAGTCTTCATGTATCCCTCCACCATGAATGGATTAAAATAAATTGATTAAAATAAACTTCAGACCAAAACTTTATCATAAAACTGCCATTAAACAAGGTCTCAGACGTCTGGTTCCTATCACCACCACTGTGAACAACACTTTTTTTTTTAGAATAAAGCATTTCACACCAACCCATTCTGAATGGCTTTGTTTACGTCTAAAACATGTACCTATGGAGAAATTTTGAAAAGTCGGGAGAGTTCCCCTTCAAAGCTAAAGCGGTTTACCGCGCCCACCTCTGTGAGGAACCTGTGGAATGGTTGATGGAGGCGGTCACAGGTGAGCAGGAGGAGCTACAAACATCAACTGTGGACTGAAGGAGGAAGCATTTGACGAAAGTTGATCAACAGCACCTTTTTCACAGACCTTCTCACAGGTAGGTGTTGGCTGGTAGCAGGTTGTATTAAAGTATCTTAGCCGACGGTAAACGTTACCTCGTTACCTCGTTTTATTTAGGGCGTTACCTCGTTTTATTTAGGGCATTTTATCGCTCACCAAATCAGAAGGCGTGTCCGAGTTTACAGGCCTTTAGCCAACAGAAAAGGCCCACCTGTTTAGGTAAGACCAGAGAGAACCAGACAAAATACATGATAAACTGACCTGACGAGTCAAAATCGTTTTTATTACGTGTAACTTATTGATCTGTGAACAAATCTCAACAGCATCATCACTGCTGAGTTGTTGTCAACCTCTGTATTACAAACCATTCAGTCATTTAAAGGGGAATTCCACCGACTGTTCAAAATGTCTGCATAATGACATCATTAAAGGGGAATTCCGCCAATTTTTCAAAATTTCTGAATATTTCAGTACCTAAGATATAAACGGAGTCATTCAGAGTGGTTTAATCAGAAATGATTCACTATAGAGAAACTGACAGACTGATTTCTTTACAGTGGTGGTGATAGGAACCAGGGGTCACCATGACTACAACACAAATATAGACATTTTATTTACTATCCAGAACCCACCAGTGAACCTACACGAGTCTTCTGAGTTTTATGTGTAATACTGATGATGGTAAAACAGTGATAAATGTAAAAAAATAAGTTTTCTTTGGGGACTATTTTGCCTTACAACGCCCTGCATGTATCTCTCCACTGTGAATAGACTGAAATAAATGGATTAAATGCATTACGTTACACAATTATCATAAAACAGTTTCTCCATAAGTACATGTTTTAGATGTAAACAAAGCTATTCAGACTGGGTTGGTGTGAAATGCTTTATTCTAAAAAAAACAGTGCTGTTCACAGTGGTGGTGATAGGAACCAGACGTCTGAAGAGTTTTACTCCACTAGAAGCTCCCTCCCACAAAGTTACTTCATGTGTTTATGAATACACTTCCTGATGTCTGAGACCTTGTTTACGCAATTTTAAAACACAATTTTAATTTTAACATTCATTTCATTTTTTACTTACACTAGTAGAAAATTGTTCCTTCCATTAAAACAAACTGAATGAAAAATCTCATTGTTCCAAATGAGAACTGTAATCATACAAGCAAAATAGTAAAAATTTGAGTTGTGACAGATTAGGATTTGATTTTTTATAAGTAAAACGATGTGTCAGACATCAGGCAGCATATATCTAACCATTTTATGTAATAACTTTCTGAGAGGAAACTTTTAGAGATATTAAACTCTTCAGACGTCTGGTTCCTATCACCACCACTGTAAAAAATACTGCCTCAGCAAGTTTCTCTAGAACTGAGCTTTTAACATCAAACCACTCTGAATGACTTTGTTTACATCTCAAACCATTTAATTGTGTAGAATTGTTGAAAAATCGGTGGAGTTCCCCTTTGCATGACTGTGTTCACACCTTAGAGTGGTTTAGTGTGAAATTTTTCAATCTAGAGAAACATAACAAGCCAGAATTGTTCACACTGGTGGTGATAGGAACCAGACGTCTGAAGGGTTTTAATGGTCCTAAAAGCTACATCACGGAAAAGTTATGATGTACAATTGTTATGAATACGCAGCTTGATGCCTGAGGCATTGTTTTACAATAGTTTTGAGATATGATTTTGGCATAAAATGTATTGTTTAAAAAGTTAAATTTTTTTAAAATGATATTTATTCTACCATTATCAACAATACATAAAATTATATTTACATATAAGTATAAAATAAGAAGTCAAGTATAGGTTCACTGTTCATTTCAGATAGTAAATAAAAAGGCCCTTAAAGGTCTTTAAGACCAGCTAATATATTTTTGCATCACCTCTACAATCTAGAACCATGCTAATGTAACTGACTCAATCTGTAAGGACGTTCAGGGTTCATTAATGTTATTCCTGCAGATGCGAGTGAGTGTGCATACATTATTTTAATACACTCCTTTAAAAAAATACATGCTTTTATCAGTGATTGTATAATTATTGAGCTCTTATTATTAGCAGTTAAGTACAGCAATGCCGGATCATCAGTCAAGGAACCAGAACCATCGTAATCATGAAAGGAGAGACTGGAACAGAGGACGAGAGCACCAGAGTGATGAGAAATACAGGGAGGAGAGGAGCTCTGGGTATGATGAAGAGAGACAGAGAAACCCCAGAGATAAACAACAGAGGACGTATATGCATCAGAAACCACCTGACAGTGAGGACTCCTATCACCACAGACATCAGGAAATGTAAGAAAATACTCTTACCATGCCTTTAAAAATGATCATGACTCGTATAATTACTCCAAGTCATTTATCCCAAAGGCTTATTTACAGCCATCAAATCAACCATCAATACTTTCATTGACTTCTCTTTAAAAATCTACATAATTTGATGATTCATGTAGGTATTCAGACACATCGACCTACGAGACACCCCATAGAGAGGCTCTTTACAATCTAAGATATATTCCAACATCCAGAGGTAGGTAAATATGCATATTCTCATTCTGATAGATATTTGAGGATACATTAAATGGCCTACAACCTACATTTTTTCTTGGAAGTAACTTTTTGTTGTATGTGTGGTTTTATGTACTAAAAACAGTCAAAATTATTTTTACATGTCCATTTTCCAACCTCTCTTTATCCCTTAAAAGTTTGTTTTTGTCTGTTTTTTGTTACTGATATATGTAAACGAGCTCCATTATGACTGTAGCTGCTGTTTTTTGCTGTTTTTAGCCCTTCAGCAGAGCCACAGTGCCCTGTCTCCCTACAGCAGAGCCACAGTGCCCTGTCTCCCTTCAGCAGAGCCACAGTGCCCTGTCTCCCTTCAGCAGAGCCACAGTGCCCTGTCTCCCTACAGCAGAGCCTCAGTGCCCTGTCTCCCTACAGCAGAGCCACAGTGCCCTGTCTCCCTACAGCAGAGCCTCAGTGCCCTGTCTCCCTACAGCAGAGCCTCAGTGCCCTGTCTCCCTACAGCAGAGCCTCAGTGCCCTGTCTCCCTACAGCAGAGCCACAGTGCCCTGTCTCCCTACAGCAGAGCCACAGTGCCCTGTCTCCCTACAGCAGAGCCTCAGTGCCCTGTCCCCCTACAGCAGAGCCACAGTGCCCTGTCCCCCTACAGCAGAGCCACAGTGCCCTGTCTCCCTACAGCAGAGCCACAGTGCCCTGTCTCCCTACAGCAGAGCCACAGTGCCCTGTCTCCCTTCAGCAGAACCACAGTGCCCTGTCTCCCTTCAGCAGAACCACCCCACTCCCACAACCATCTATAAACTCTCCTGAAAGAACACCAATCCATGATATTAAAATTAAACTCTTATTTAAAAAAACACAAGGTTTTCCTTAATGTGGGCCCTTTAATGGTTTGTTCATATAATCTGTATCTTTGTTACTTAATTCACATGATCTTATCTAATATTAAGGCATTCTGTCTCCTTGTTTTAAATCCATCCAGGCATTTGCCAGATAATGGAATTCTTCTTAAACATGTTGATCGTCATCTGCGCTGGAGTACCTTACAGTAACAAGGGACAATATAAGGACATTGCCAGCCTGGGTGGGCTTTACTACTACTATTATGGAGGTGCGCAGTCCTTCACAGCGCAGGAGGCCGTGAAGGTGAAGCAGCTGGACGATCTTTTCTACCAGGTCAAGCTGCCCCCCTACATCTTCAGCATGGCATGTGGCGGGGCACTGATGGCTTATGCTTTGGCCATGCTGGCGCTGGGGCTGTTCCGTGTGCCCTACCGCTGGCCCCCAGTGCTGCTGGCTGAGGCTTTGGTGGATGGACTGATAGGCCTGGGTTACATCCCTGCGGTGGCCTTCTACTTCATCAAGCTCCAGGAGACATACAGCAATGCAGTCTGTAAGGAGAGAGAGGACATGTACAAAAGCAAAGGCCTCAAGGGTTCTGAGTGCAGTCTCAATGGGACAGACATAGCGGGAGGAATCTTCGGGGTGCTTGGCGCCCCTCTTTTCTTGCTAAGTGCCGTGCTGGCTGTGAGAGCATTCCGGGCAGTTAGGAAGCTGAAGCAACAAAAGGAAGCAGAGAATGGAAACTTGTAAAAGGCAGATTCTCTTATGTTTCGGGCCTCTAGTGGAGGAACTGTAAAAGGGCCAGAACACACAACCATCAAACACCAACATACTAATTTTAGCACATTTCATTTATTTTATTTGGTCCATATTTATACAAATTGAATGGCTATTCGTTCATCTACTATTTACACCTTCTTGTTTCAACACTCATTGTACTCTGTGGGGGTCCTGACCCTTGATAAACAGGGTAAAAGGGGGTTGACAGCATATGCAGAGAAACAGATGGACTTCGGACTGTAATTGTAGAGCTACAAAGTGCACATATATGGTAAGTGAGTCTGATAAAATGGACAAAGAGTGTAGCCACAGTAAGTTATACTTAATGAAGCGGTCAGTCGCAGTGTATGTCTGCAGTGGGCAAGTATTTGAGCCCCCTCAGGCCTCTGAGGCCTTCTAAAGCCCCTTGGCACTGGCCAGACTGGCCCCACTGACCTGATCAGTAATCTGTCCCTGGGCTCATCAGTTGTTTGAGTGTGTTTATGTTTTTGGGTGTGTTCTGGCCTTTAAGGGCCCTCATCCTGTATTTTTCTTACATTTTTTCTCTTTTAGGTTCAGTTATGACATTTGTGTGGTTTAAACTAGCAAAAACAGTCATAATTCATGTTTACAAGACTATTTCCCAACCTCTCTTTATCCCTGGCTTTACACGGTTAAACTTTCATGCAGCTACTTGCGTGTTGTGAATGGCTATCAACATAATTTCTGTGCAACTTTACAGTTACATGAAGCAATTCAAAAACAAAGTTGCACGCAACTCATTCAGTTACTTCACTTGCCAAATTAGCAGCTTGTATTCTCTGATACACTTTATGCTTCTTGCTATATAAAGACGTCCATGAGTTGTAGTTTACAAATTTGCAGCATTTTTATTATCTTCAGAATTTTTACAGTTACATGAAGCAATTCAAAAACAAAGTTGCACGCAACTCATTTAGTTACTCCACAAGCCAAATTAGCAGCTTGGATACACTGTATGCCTCTTGCAATATAGACATCTATGAGTTGTAATTTACAAATTTGCAGCATTTTTGTTATCTTCATATTTTTTTTCTCATTTTCCGCTGCCCAGTGAACCGTTTACTGTTTTATTTCTTGCCCATTGATGTGGTGAAATCAGTAGTTTGAACATGGGCCGTTTAACTTGATGCATTATTGGCATATTGATTGGCCAGTGACTTGTTCCATGAAGTTGAGACGTTTGCAACTGTTGTGGCAAATGTGTTTCATATGAGTTACAGGATGCTTTAAGTTGTGCAACTGAAGTGCAATTCAGTTTCATGTAGGTTTCAAACAACTAAAGCTGCAATGCAGATTCACCATGTAAAACCAGCCCAAGGATTAGACAGTCTGATTGTGTCACTGTGCTTTTAAGTGTGAAATCCTGAAATTACCTCTTTTCCCTGCCTTTTATTGAGCCTCATTCAAAACGCAGTCCAGGCTGAAACAGCCTTGTAGCTTTGACATGAATAGGCGTGTGGGCTAAATGGGTGGATATACTGAATGTAACGTAACGCCACAAAAACAGAGGCGTTCAAAACAGGCCATATTTGTAGCTTACTTTGAATGTATGGACCGAGGATGCTTTGAAAATGTAAATGTTTACATACTTCACTAGTGAAAACCGTGTTTTTCCATGATGTGGGCCCTTTAAGAGGTCACCAGACAAAATGCAACTTTTTAAATGTTACAAGAATAGTTCAGCGGAGCAAAGCTAGCATGGCTATCAACAAATGAGAGAGAATGGTACCATGATAGCACGCCACCTGACATAATGCTACTTTTAATCAGCTGTGCATAGAGCAGATTAACTATTTTTTTATTGCGAATACTTCAAGCTATAATAGGTACAAGTATATATAGGGTCACATATATAATACACACACACAATATAAAGGGTCACAGAGTTTTTCAGGTCTTTTTATTGTATGTTTTATACACTGTAGAGCACATCTTTAAAGTGAAAGGCCCAGTCCCATTTCTAATTTTTACCCCTACCCCTTGTTTTTGAGTGTCTCCTTGCCCCTCGGAACTGAGTCACAATGGGTAGTGGTTGAAATCGTTCTCTACAAAATGGGACCCTCAAATAAAAAGAGCATTGCTTCATTAACAGCTACTAGCGCTGCTCTGTAGGCGACCCTGCCAGTCTGCAGTGACAGCAGAGGAGGGTAAAGTTCAGCAACCTAACTCACCCCTAATTCTTTGGTGATATGAAGCTGAAGTCAGCTTTTTTTTTTCGCCAGCTGCTCTTTCGAATTTTCCTGTTCTACTTAAATGGTACAGCAGTTACATTCTGGCGCTTCAGGTGTCAGAACTGCTGGACTATTTAAGGTGGAACGGGAAATTTAGCTAACTAGCTTTCGATACGTTGGCATAGTATTAGCGATTTTTAATGCTTGTTATGAAGAAAACGACCATAATACACTGAAACAACATTAAACTAAGATAAAACAGTGGTTATCGTAATTTTTTAACAGAGAAAATTCTCACATTTCTGTGTTTCTTTGGTCTCTTGTTCAGCCATCTTGCCGTTTTTTCTTTTTTTCTTTTTTTCTCATAACTCTCTGTTTGGAGTCTCTGAAAAACCTCTGTTTGGAGGGTCATGTAGCCCCAACACTCCACCCTCCCCCTCTATCTCAACAAGAATCAGGACACCCTACCCCTAGACGTGAACGCGCAAAACAGGGCTAAGGGCTAAGTGGTAGGGGCGAGGGGTGAAATGGGATTGGGCCAAACTGTAAGGCACAACTGTTTTATACATTTTAATAAATATCCTTTTATATATTTTTATGGCTGTACATGCTTTCACTACTGCACACAGGCAACACATCAGGAAAGATAATGGGTGTATCAAATTCCAAGCCAGGATCAACATCAGTACATACAAGGCTTGTCAGACCAATTTCAGTTAATGATTTCCATACCTGTAAATATTTCCTCTCTGACTGACGGGCAATGAGACAATGCTATTCACTATAGTGTTTGTTTACAGTGAATTCACTTAGACAGACTTTTTAACCTTCCAGCACTGAGATAGAGTAAAATTTGAGTTTAAAGTTCGTAAAAGGAGTGAATTGGAATTGCAATACAAAAAAAAATTACACAAATTCTAAGTAAGGATTTGACTGTCTGTTTAAAGGGTAACTCCACCAAACTTTCAAGATTTCTGCATAATTCAATTACAAAGTCATTCAGAGTGGTCTGATGTGAAACGTGCTATTCTAGAGTCTGAATTATTCACAGTGGTGGTGATAGGAACCAGACGTCCAAAGCGTTTAATGCCTCTAAAAAGCTACCTTGCAAAAAGTTTTTACATGAAATGGCTATGAATATGTGCAGTGTTTTACATATGTCTTTATCTTAAAACGTTTTTTATTATTTTTTTAAAATCCATTCTTGGTGTAGAGTAGGGGTGTCAAACCCAACCACAGAAAGGGCCATAATAAAAAATCTCAGCAGATCTGTGGGCCAGCTGTGTTTTTATTTCATTTTTACTTAACATTTTTGCCACCGACCCGAACGGGCCACTGATTATTCAAAATATGCCAAAACTGCAACAGCAAAATAAGCACTGAATACTTACTAAAAAATAATTCTAAATAAAAATAAATTTGTGTAACCGCTGGACCAGAGATTATTGTGGGAAGGGGGTCAGAAACGCACACTATGTTGCAGTGCATGCTGGGGGACTATAGTGCATCTCAGGGTGAAACGAGCTGATAAGAAAGTTAAAATAATCTCACGGGCTCGATGGGACTGTGTCACGGGCCAGACTTGGCCTGCGGGCCTTGTGTTTGACACATGGGTTGAAGAGGAACAGGCAGGGTGATGTTATATAAAATAGTCCCAAAAGAAAAAATAGAAAAAAATAAGCTTCCAGATTATTATTTTACCATTATCAACAAAATAAATAAATACGGAACATGTGTACATTCACTGGTCATTTTGGATAGTAAATAAAATGGCTATATTTGCATTGTGGACACCCTGGTTCTCATCACCACCACTGTAAAGGAAACCCCAGTCGATATGTTTCTTTACAGTGAACCATTTCACATCAACCCACTCTGAATGACTTTGTTTACATCTGCAGAAACTGGATTGTGCAGACATTTTGAAAAATATTACTATAACACCACTGATCACAGTTTATGAAGGGAAGAATGCAGCTTCGTACATTTAGTGTCAAACTTTCGTTTGTAAAACTGAAAAAAAAACTCAGCGAATGCATCAATGAACTGACTTCAGCTCTGTCGTCTATTCACTTTTTAAAAACAGCACACTTTTCTGCAGTGGTGGACGAAGTACACAAACCATGTACTTGAGTTAAAGTAGAGACACCCAAGGTAAAATATTACTGCAGTAAAAGTAGAAGTTCCTCCCTTTAGACCTCCACTTGAGTAAAAGTACAAAAGTATTTGCCTTCAAATGTGCTTAAGTATCAAAGGTAAAAGTACTAAACGATTAATTATGGCTCTGATGTCCTATTATCATTTTTGTAACAAGACTCGCTTCATTAACTCATTTTAGGTGAAAATACTCCAGTGTCTCTCTTGGTAAACCAGTCTTTTAATAGAATGTCATTAATTAGTGACGCTGATGTCAATTAAAATTATCATAAACACAAAACACTGAAGGCAAACAGTTTCCATTTGGTAGAACTGAGTGGCTCTGAAATCACTTTTTACAAACAAGCAAAGTTTCAGTTTAAGATTTATTTGCAAGTTTAAGTTTAATAAAAACTTTAAACTCAGATTCACAAATGAGTTTCCTTTACTAAACTGCATCTGTAGGTCTCTGTTCATAAACATAAACTAGCAAAAACTTATTTACTATAAAATGAAATATTGTTTGTATAAATTCAGAAAAAAGACACGTCAGTCTCAACTGCATATGTGTACATATTTCTATATTGTGGTCTGTTTACACAAAGTTAGGTCAGTTCATCATTTATGTTGAATAGACACTCCCAAACTTTTACGCTGCTGCACTGATGTTGAACCGTGTGCTGCACTGGGTCGGTATGACCAACAGGTCAAAACAAGCTCAAAACAAAGTGACCGCTGTGCCCTGATTGATGTTTTTGCTTTGCTCTTCTTTCGTTTTGACATTGTTTTTTATACACACATAAACCAAAAGGAAGGACAGATTTCTCATAATGTAGTGGAGTAAAAAGTGAGATATTTCACTTTGAAATGTAGTGGAGTGAAAGTAAAAAGTCACCCAAAATGGAAAAACTTCATTTACTTCATTACTGTCCACCACTGCTTTTCTGTGATATGAAGTTCCTTTATGAACGGACTGGTTTGTAGCAGCAACACTGAAGTCATGTTTGCCTTTAGACTCTTGACAGCGGCATGTCCCTCTGTCGTTTCTGAAAGAAATGACTAGAAACGTGTTTCACAGTATAAATTTTTATTGCTACTTGGCTGAAAAGTTAATTAAAAATACAGCTTTTCTGCTCAAAACTAGTCATAGCAGCATCTCAAATGAAATAATGAGCCGTCACCCACCCTCAAAATCCAAAGGAACGCAGGTCTGGCTGACAAACAGCAAAAGTGCTCGCGTTTAGGCCTTTTCCCAAATCAACAAAACAAACAAATCTAAAAACTAACTGCATTAAATATAACATAATTAAAATAGTCAGCAGATTTCTGCATGCTAAAATAAAAACATAAAAATATCATATACAGTATGCTTTGGATATTTAAAACAATTCTTTATAAACATAAATGTTTGTCATTTTGTACAAAGTAATCACATGGTATATTTTTTATTACATGTAATCATTTATATAGGGCATGCTTTTGACATTAAATACATTAATAATTAGTATCCTAACCAAAACATTTCGATGGGGTGACAGTATGGCGTAGAACCGCAAATTCTAGATTCTGTACTGAAGGACCTATAAATCTGCACAAACCAATGAAGTACAAAAATAAACCTCAGCTTCTTGGCATCGAGAGAAAATACTCAAGCATCTCTAGAAAAAAGAATGTACAGAAATGATAGCGAGATCAAACTTTGGTCACATGTCAAACGAATCAGAACACCTTCCAAACCCCTGTGAGTCCAGAACAAACCTTGATCATTCGGAAAATAGTCAAAGAACTCATAATGAGGAAAAAAAAAGAGGAAAAAAAAAGAAACATATTCACATTCAAAGGAATAATTTGCTTTAAGAATCAAAGAATCAAAACAAAAGCAAATCAGCAACCTCAGCAGTCTCTGTTTGAACACTTCAGGCAGTATAACTTCTTACAGGCAAGCAAATAGAAGAAAAAGAATTTATGACAATTAATTAGGTTTAACGAAACACCTAGAGTTACTAAATTAAACCTAATGAGACAAACGGGATTTATATGGCCCGCCTGCTTACATCTGCATCAACAGCCAATGTATGTAAATATGTCTACACAGCAGTTGGACTCCCATCTCATGGCAGACGTCTGCTCTCAGCCAGGGGTTTTAAAGGGAATTTCTTCATCTTTTTTCTGTTTGTGCATACAACACTAATATCTAACAACGGGCACTCATTCCTCACTGAATCCACTTTCCCGAATAGCTCTTTTTACGATGTGAAAATGTGAAATCTGACTGTTAATGCGAAATACTTGCAAATCAAACTTGGCTAGGATTTATTCTGAAACACTGCTCAAAAACAACAGACCCAACACAAATTTTGGCTGAGGGAGCACACAGCGCAAACGATTAGTGGAACTTGAAGCACTTCGCTGGTCCCAGCTTGGCAAAACAAGGCTCTGAATTCCACACATACCACAGGCAGGCAGTCTCGAAAAGCAACTATGCGACATACAGAGGGCAAAATCATACAGCGATAAGACAACAGCTGAGCACTGTGTGTAGCAGCCATTCACACCCAAACTCATACACACAAACTTTCCATGTTATCCTGTATGAATCCATACGGAGCCCCGCTGGTGACATCCTGTATAAATAAAAATAATACGTGGCCACGCCTTATTAACGAGTGGGAACGAGATCCTAATGCATGGCCATGATTTAGTAAGGCGTGGGAATGAGATGATTAAGTCATGGCCATGACTTAGTAGGGCGTGGGAACGAGATCACGGCTTACTAAGCCATGGCCACGCATTAGAATCTCGTTCCCATGCTTTACCAAGTCGTGGCCACGACTTAGTCGTCTCATTCCCACGCCTTACTAATGTCACCAGTGGGGCTCCGTAAATCCAGAATGAATCTTTAGACCACACAGACTCATCTACTGAGTTAGACGTATTTACAGGTGAATCTTCAAGGATTTGCATATATCATGTTGGAGAACGTCATGGATAATGTCACGCTGACAGTTGTGTAATGCTATCAAGTAAATGTCCTACTGTAATGGTTATCTTGTGCCTAATTCACTCTGGAAGTGTCAGCTGAGCAGCGCCTGTAGGTGTTGTGCCTAGGTGAGAGCAGGTGACTTCATTTATCAAACAGCGCGCAGTCAAATGCCCTGCGCTCGGTCTCTGATCACAATTACCATGAATCGACATGAGGTGCCTCATCAGTCCCTGTCAGCTGAAAACAAAAGCGCACCTCTGCTTAACTGTACAACACGCCCTTATGCTCTTATTTACCATACATATTTCCATCAAGTACTTTCTCTTAGAGAAGAATATTTGGCCACAAAAAGCCACAGCAATCACAACTCAAGGCAAACGAGTGTATGTGCATTTCAACAAATAGCTAATATACAGTGTTTCCCAAATATATTAATATCTCTATAGGCTCCTTGACCTATTTACAAAGTGCTTTCGTAGTACAAGATCCTTCCTGATTGAAAAACAGAACAAGCAACTCAAGCATGATCATAATATTTCATTATATACTCTGTAATGTACCATGATGCTCAATCTAGGCAGGGAATGATTTCAGTTTGCATCGCCAAGTACCAGACAGTCTGTGAGAGAATTAGTTCAGTGTTTGGTCACCAGAAAGTACCGAACTCAAAAGGCTCTAGAAGGGTCCTTAAACCTAGAGTGGAGAGACGTTGGCATGAAATAGTGTTTAATTTCTGCGCATTTGACAACAAGGCTGAGAAATGGGGGGGAAGAAGGGGGGAAGCTGAAATGAACAGCACAGAGCTGGCTTGTAGCAGCCTCCTTTTAAGGCTACGGCAGAGCTGGACAAGCGCAATTCATGCCGGATTGCTTCGGCCACCGCTCGACCAAACCTTCTCAAATGCCACAGCCGTTTCAAAATGACCCCTGTTTGGCACAAGAACAGCAGGATTTGGTCTGCAGCTATATGTGATACAAGTGCTGTGTGAATCCACAAGCATGAGTGACTTCAGCAAAATCTGTTTGTTGAGATTAGGAAACTACTGATATGCGTAACACAGTAACTCTTGAAACAAGTATGTTGGCACAGAGGGCAATCAGTAGCAAACCATGAGAGAAATAAAGGGGAAAGAGAAATATACCACTCACTCACTGTCAAAAGAAACCTCTTCCTAAATGAACGGATACTTAACAAAGTGCAGAAACAGGCAGGGATTATCTAGCGTTCATGTGGAATGTCTCTGTGAGCTTTAGATTCAAATCCCACTCCACTCACCCTTCTGTAGTTAGCATTTTAATGAGATTGACCCAAGGTTGCCACAGCCAAAAGGTAACTCCCTTGTAAAAGTGTCGTTGCTTGTTACATTTTAAAACTGTTAATATCTAAAAAGAATATATTAGCATGGATGAAAGCCTTGAAAACATTTTGCTGAGCCAGAGGCTTGATATACGCCTAGGGAGCTTTAGAACGGGACAATGTCCCTTTCAGATCCGAACATTTTGGTTAGGTTGTATTTAGCAGGACGACATACACCAATCAGGCATAACATTACGACCACCTCCTTGTTTCTTTGCTCGTTGTCCATTTTATCAGCTCCACTTACTATATAGGTGCACTTTGTAGTTCTACAGTTACAGACTGTAGTCCATCTGTTTCTCTGCATACTTTGTTAGCCCCCTTTTACCCTGTTCTTCAGTGGTCAGGACCCCCATGGACCCTCACAGAGTAGGTACTATTTGACACAGCAGTGCTGCTGGAGTTTTTAAACACTGTGTCCACTCACTGTCCACTCTATTAGACACTCCTACCTTGTCGGTCCACCTTGTAGATGTGAAGTCAGAGACGATAGCTCATCTGCTGCTGCACAGTTTGTGTTGGTCATCCTCTAGTCCTTCATCAGTGGTCACAGGACGCTGCCCACAGGACGCTGTTGGCTGGATATTTTTGGTTGGTGGACTATTCTAAGTCCAGCAGTGACACTGAGGTGTTTAAAAACTCCAGCAGCACTGCTGTGTCTGATCCACTCAGACCAGCACAACACACACTAACACATCACCACCACGTCAGTGTTACTGCAGTGCTGAGAATGACCCACCACACAAATAGTACCTGCTCTGTGAGGGTCCATGGGGGTCCTGACCACTGAAGAACAGGGTAAAAGGGGGCTAACAAAGTATGCAGAGAAACAGATGGACTACAGTCTGTAACTGTAGAACTACAAAGTGCACCTATATAGTAAGTGGAGCTGATAAAATGGACAATGAGTGTAGAAACAAGGAGGTGGTCATGATGTTATGCCTGATCAGTGTATATCCTTAGTTCACTCAAGACCAGGTAGGGCTAGTGTGCACTCACTGGATAATCAGGTGTCTTATATATCCTTCAGTATTACTGTCCTCATCTGACCTTAAACCTAAAGTCCATACTGTCTTTTTGTTACCAATATATAAATGAAGTGCAGTTAAAGTAAGTTAGATTCAGAGTAACTTGAATACTTCCTCAAACCCAATGCTGTTGTTTACAGTGATCACCACCAGATGGCACCTTAATCCATGAGCACATGGGTCTATTCCAGCCAAATCCACTATTTGTCTATTCAACCAAACTCCTCGAATGCACTCACTCGATACCAGATAACTAACGAGACAGTGTCTTGATATCATCTTGATTTGAAAGGTATTCATTGAGTCGGTTCATTTCAATGTCTTACTCTATGAAAAAAAAATTAAAAGGGGACAGTGCGGAAATGACACACACACACACACACACACACACACACTCACACACACAGAAACACACTCTGCACAATATATGACATGGGTATTATATGTATTACTTCGTACACTGTTTGGTAAAAAAAAAAAAAGATTTTCCATTTTGTCACGTTTCATAAACAATTAGTTGTTTGTTCAGTTTACCGGTTCAGGTATAGGATGAAAAATAACCCAGTCATTCTCAATCAGTATATACAGTATTTTTTCCCCAAAGCTTTAGGGATCGGTGCTCTAAGTCAGTCTCTCATGGCACACTTCAAGTATTCCTAACAAGTGAAGACCATTTTGTGACTTTAGTCATGGTTAAAGAGGTCTTTTCTGGTCCCCGTCAAAATGGCCTTAGCCACTGAGCTGTGACGACAGCTCCCCAGTGAACTGGATGTACCAGTGATATGACATGTAGATCTCACTCTTACCAACACTACTTTGCATGTCCACTGTGGCCCTTGCTTCATTAAGCCCAGAGGGATCTTGCACAGTTTGAATGTGTTGTGGGGTGCATTGTTCTCTTCCACTGTGCAAAACCGTTCCAGGAGTTGGCACAAGGGCTATACGCAAGCCTAACAGGCTGTGCCACGCTTCTATAACTCCATGGCTTCATTTGCCTGATCAGCAGTCCAGCAAGGAGACCAGAGGAGGAGGAGAACACTTGTCTGAAAATTTTCCATCCAATAAAGAAATGTTTTCCGTTTTCAGGGTGGAGCTGACAACGATCCATCAGATTGTTTTAGTTATCTTGACAGACTACAATAAAGCAGTTAAATCAACCACAACAGCCACAAAAGGGAAAGAGAAAATGTTGGCATTGCTGGGTAACAATGAAAGTACACCAACCCAGTGAGGGCCCCCTCGAGCCACAACCATCTACAAAAGGCACTTTTCTTACCTTTTGGTCATGGTTAGCCCCGATAATCTTTCCATGGACGAGAAACTGAGATGATAAAAGCCTGCTTAAGCTAATGTCTTCTGACGTAAAGGGCAAGGTAGCGAGTCAGTTATGCAAGGTCATTTATGAGGTATTCTAGCTCACGCTCTGGATTTTGGTCTGGGACAGCCGTTTTACCAAGACCTCTTTTCATTGGTCCTGAAATGCGTACGCTTTTCCAATTGTACATGTCTGCTCCTCCTCAGATTCACCACAGACCACAGACAGTCCTGGTTGGTGGGATGTTACCACATAAGCACATGCAGGGCTTCACACACTATGACAGCTGAACAGGAACTGGAATATTCCACAGGTAGCAGGATGAGTCACACCTGCCTGCACAATATGGCACTATGTCACACAAATGCTCAAAGGGTGCTGTGCTGTAGCATCCATTATAGCGCAGTGTCATAGACCTCCTGTTGAAAGGTAGCGGGAGGGAGACCAGGCTGAGGGTGGTCCCAGTTTGGATCTCTGTTTGTGGGAGGTGTTGAGGGAGGTGGTGGTCCTGGAATGACAGGACTGTGGCCCCTCAGCTGCTCGCGAACATCTTGTTCCAGGCTTGGAGGGACAACTAACTGATCCTCAGGGTCCTGCTGAGCAGGCGCTGCAAAATAGCCAGATTTCTTCTTGGGGGCTTCTAGCGCCACCTCGATGATGTTGTGACTGTCCTCTGGTGCCACTACAGAGCCATTTGAGAGCTTCTTCCCAAAGAGGCTGGAAGTAGATGGAGACTTCTTTAGATCTGAGATCTCTCTTCCGCACACAGCCAAAAGGCAGCCGTTAGTAGTCGAGACCACCACGCTGTTTTGCCGACGCACCTTACTGTTGTTGAAATCGGAGCCCCGGGAGTCATGGCGGAGGTCCACCTCCTTGGGGCTGTCAGGAGGCCCAGAGCGGAGCTGGAAAGCACAGCAGTGGATGTCCACCTCCACCTCAAGCTTACTCCCGTTGGAAATAACACCCTCTAGTGGAGCCTCGTCATCGCTGTCTAGGCCATTGTCAGACTGATTGCTGGAGAAGGTGGCGGAGGACGGTTGGCGCTGAAACAGAGCTGGGTGAGCTCCAGGTCCTAGACTGCCAGCTGGACCCCCAGTATTGCAGAGAGTGACTGCTGGGTGCAGGCTGCAGCGGCGCTCTGGTCGTGCATTCGACCCCGAAGAGGGGTGCTCATCAGATGCTGTTGACCCAGCCTCACTGCCTACCTCTGAGGCAGACGTCTCGCTGTTGAACTCTGAGGCAATCCCACTGCTCGAGGAAGGTGTGGCTGGGTCCACAGGTGGCACAGATATGGGGACAGTGATAGGTGTAGGCGTCCCTCGGATATCACTCGTGCTGAGAGGAGGCTCACAGGTGCAGCTGTCCTCACCTATGTGAAGGGCCACCACCACTGCCCCAACATTGTCTCGGCACCCATAGCTCTGGGCCAGGGTGCAGAGCTTTTTGGCAGCAGCTCGGGGATCTCGGACAGCCAGCACAGTCTTCACTGCTTCCTGGTAGGAGAGGCGCTGAAAGAGTGCCCTGTTCCCGAGAATCAGGAACTCATCCTGTGAACACAGCGGTTCGGTGCGCACCCAGGGCTTGGGCAACACCCAGGGTGACAGGTAGGAGCAGCCCAGCAGGCGAGAGCAGCACGTAACACCACTGACCTTGTTATCCTATAGCATGTAAGGGTCAAAGGAAACATCAGTGGTTAGAAAGGAAAGTCTTGTGTGAACTTCACAGTATGATGGTCAATATAAATCTAAAAATATAACCAGAAGCCCTTTTATGAAAACGTTAGACAGTAGTCATAGTTTGAAACTAGCAATGATTAACCCCATATGAAGTCCATGCAACAGGATCTGACCACAGACACTGTGTCAGCATGTATGGTTAAACAGTAGGCAGTGGGTGGTGTCCTACCTCAGTGATTATAGCCTTGGCGGTTTTGACCCGTTCCATTTCCTCGGCACTCTGCTCCAGGCTGAAGACCTTGGACAGGGCCAGCGGCTGGCCATCACGGCACAGCACCGCCTGACAGGTGCCCACGTCGGCCACAGTCAGGCCGAAGTAGCTGCCCGGCTCTGAGGACTCGTGATGAATGTAGCAGAGCAGAGCTGACGCCCCCAGTTTCTGTCCGGCCATCCCCAGCTTTCTGTGAAGTACAAGAGACAGAAAAAGAGACGCAATTAACAATTATGTATTTATTTTTAATTAACCATTAGATATATTGCTTTGGCCTGGGTGATACATACCGGCTACAAGGGCATGAAACTAATATGCCCTACTACAATAACTGCACAGATAGAGAAACTATCTGTAATTTACCATGTAACGATTTTGATTATTATTAAATCCTAATAAAAGCTTAGTTAGGGCATCAAGCCAACAGAGATCAATATTAAAGCTGAGGTATATAACGTCTTATAAGTCTTTGAAGCTGTGTGTGTGTCTGTAATCATATGTGGTTGTGTGTGTTTTGTTTTACACACCTGTGTGAGGTGAGGAAAGTGTTGCACATATACACACTGTCCACACCGCTGTGCTGAATCTCTTCAGCGAGCACATCCCCCATGGTGCACTGGAGCAGACGAGGAACCTCCTCATTACGGTCGCCATCAAAGATCCCGTAAGCTGCCTCCATGCTGTCCCCAAAACGGTCCACTGCTAGCACAGATACACATAACCTACAAAGAGCAGACCAAAATCATACGAAAGCAACTCTCATGTTACATCATCACCTTCCAAAAACATCTAATGTGATTAAAGTATATGCAGACATCTCCTTTCTCTCTCAAACCATAAGCACAAAAGTTCCTCCGCACATGTAAACAGATCAGAGAGAAGAGACTGACACTAATCGTGGAGACAGAGCAGAAGTCCCGCCCCTCTGAGGGGGGAGCCTAGCGTGTGATTGCTTCATTAAAGATGAAACGTGTGCTTCACACCCACAGGAATGAATCAGATTTTATGAAACGAAACTGCCCAACACTGCCTACTGCCCAGAGGGAAGACAAGCATACGTTAAAGCCACACTGCCAAGAATTTCATCTTCTTTCAGATCTTCTGGCTAATTTTTACTAGCCTAATGTTTTCTTTCTTTTTTTTTTTTAACAAGTGTAACAAAGACAGTAACATTTATTTGCTCAAATCTTGAACTTGTGGCTAAAATAAACGCACTTATATAAAACACATAGGCTGGTGGGTGTAACGTATACACAGTAGGCAAGCACAGTATGGCATGCGCCCGTCCCCTGGGCCCCGATGACGGCTGGCAGGAAGGCAGGGCCTGAACTCGACGGGGACGAAGCCCAGCGAGGGCGGCGGGGAGAGGAACACCGTGAGTGAGTGAGGGGCGGTGTGCGAGTCCCGAGTCCTGACTTCGTGCCTCTCGTGTCCGTCATCGTCATCCTCCCCTCTCTGGTGGCTGAGGTCCTCCTCCTGTCGTCACTCGCGTCCCTCGGCGGTGTCTGGGAATCGCGTGCCGTCTCCCACTCACTCGTGGTTCTCTCCCCGCCGTCCTCGATGGACTTCATCCCTGCTCGGAGTTCGACCAAACTTCTTGCCGGCTCATCAGGACCCGGGGTACAGGCGCAAGCCATACACAGCATTCACACTTAGCTTGCTCACATCGCTAAAATGTGTGTTTAGATTCTGTTCTTCCCTAAGAACAAATTGCAAACAAGAAACATTAGTGAATGTCAGAATCTTTGTAAAAACTGCGTAAAAGAAATTTCTTCTTATGAACGGTTGGTGAATGAGGCCCAATGGTCTTAAAGTAACTAGGCTTCAGGGATTCTCACTTGTTCCTCTGGCCACACATCTCAGCATAGCCATGATCCCATAATGTTGATGTGCCCTGGGAGTCCCCTGCATTTAGGGATGGCTTCTGGTCCAATTTCAGCGTTGTTATGTGACTGAGAGAGAGAGAGAGAGAGAGAGAGAGAGAGAGATTTAAATAAAACTGTCCACTCTTAAAACTACAGATAATCTATATTTAAAAATCAAATGATCAGTGTATTTCCACTTAATATGATGTAAACAAACAGATCAGTTAATCCTTAGATGATGAATGAAATTAAAACCATTTTATTTTGGGAACTTCAAAAAAGACACCTACTACAATCCAAACAACTCAAAAACATCATTTAAAAAACTTAAGGCAGTCAAAGTTGTTGTTTTTTCATATATTCTACATATTTTAGCTTTTTGAAATCTCAGCAAAGCAATTTTCGACTTTATCAAATTCAGACAAAAGCTTTTTGAAAAGGAAAAATATACCATCTAAGTCAGTATTTTATCATCTGTACAAATCATTAGAACTGATTTCCAGGTAGCCTTTAGGATCACAAAGTCATCTAGATGTTTAATGTCACATTTGTTTAATGCTCCTCCATAAAAAATCCATTATATTTAAGTACAAATCAGACAGTTTCTTCCTACGATAAACATATGTCAGATGTAAACAGAAAACATGGAGGCTGCAAGTTTATTTGCTAGAAATCATCTGGCATTTCTTGATTTTGGCTTATTTTGCAGATATTTTTGAGCACAAATGCAGCAGATAAAATGTGGATTAATTGTAGATTTTCAAAATTACTTTACAATTATTTTCACATTTGTACAGAGTTGTCAATTTGCACTGATGCCTTGTTCGATTCTTAATTCAAGTGGTCTTCACGTGGCCCCTTGTGGTGAGAAACTACAAGACCACTTGAAAGCGTCATTCTATACAGCGTAATGATTTGTTTATCAACATCTGATCCATGTTTGTGGCAGAGCTGTAGGAAATGCAGGGGCTCACCTAAACAGATTGAGGGTTTTGTGCTCCAGCATGAGGCTACTGTTGCCTGTCAGGTCCAGCTCCTGGAGTGTGGCAGGCAGAGAGTCCGGCAGCAGGATCTCTGTGAGTTCATTGCAACTCACATCCACAAGCTACAAACAGAGCACACATAATACAAAACAATACATGTACATACACAGATCAGGCATAACATCCTTTTACCCTGTTCTTCAGTCATTCTCAGCACTGCAGTAACAGTGATGTGGTGGTGTGTGTTGTGCTGGCACGAGTGGATCAGACACAGCAGTGCTGCTGGAGTTTTTAAACACTGTGTCCACTCACTGTCCACTCTATTAGACACTCCTACCTTGTCAGTCCACCTTGTAGATGTAAAGTCAGAGACGATAGCTCATCTGCTGCTGCACAGTCTGTGTTGGTCATCCTCTAGTCCTTCATCAGTGGTCACAGGACGCTGCCCACAGGATGCTGTTGGCTGGATATTTTTGGTTGGTGGACTATTCCCAGTCCAGCAGTGACACTGAGGTGTTTAAAAACTCCAGCAGCACTGCTGTGTCTGATCCACTCAGACCAGCACAACACACACTAACACACCACCACCACGTCAGTGTTACTGCAGTGCTGAGAATGATCCACCACCCAAACAGTACCTGCTCTGTGAGGGACCATGGGGGTCCTGACCACTGAAGAACAGGGTAAAAGGGGGCTAACAAAGTATGCAGAGAAACAGATGGACTACAGTCTGTAACTGTAGAACTACAAAGTGCACCTAGCATGTATTACGTTTTATGTGTTGAATGCAATTTTATGAATTTTATTACCCACAGGTTCAAACTACATGATATAAGATTATTTTTTTGTTAAAATTGAAGGAAGTAGCATTACTAAGCCAGGAGAAAAAAACACATGCTAACATGTGGTGTCTGTGTGCTGCTCCGAGTCGCCCTGTAAAGCTTGAAATAATAATTTAAAAGTCAGAGGTGTCAGGTTGCATTTCGGGTTGGATCAGATTTTGCGGGTTTTTTGAAACACATCGTTCGTCTTTGCGTATTAACGTCACACAGACAGACTCAAAACGAAGGTCTGGTTCAATGTTTAGGTCTCAATTACAAAATCAATGCTATACTAATGAAGATAAATAGAAAGACTACAGTGGATAATTCATGTACATCCTTGGAGGACAATCCTTCATCAGGTTTTGATTGACTTCTTTTTGAATACTCTTTCAAGACGCTTGCAATCATCAGATTCATCCGCTGGAAGGGGTCTGACGCACAACCGATGTTATAAAATGTTCCTCCACACGTTGTACCACCAAATCCCCAAAACGTACATAGTGTAACTTTAAAAGCAAAACAGCAAAGCCCACTGAGGCACATTCTCATGTAAGCACAAGTACCTATCAGTGTAAATCTACGTGATTTAGCATGTCGTGTCCTTTCCTCAGACACACTCACCTTAATCTCAGGCAGGTTAAGGACCTCAGGGAAGACACTGATGTGATTGGAGTGTGCAATGAGGGTATGCAGCCTCTTGCAGCTGGACACTGTGGAGGGGATGGTCTTCAGCTTGTTGCCGCTCAGATTCAGCTCCTCCAGTAACTCGAGCTTACTCAGCTTACTAAGAACATCAACACAGTGCCAAGGATATGACTCAGTAAAGAAAAGTACAACCCCAATTCCAAAGAAGTTGAGACGCTGTGTAAAATAGAAACAAGTGTACATAAAAACAGAACGCAAGTTGAAAGTGAGACATTTTACCATTTCATGAAAAACATTAACTCATTTAGAACTTGATGGCAGCAACGCATCTCAAAAAAGTTGGGACAGGGGCAACAAAAGGCTGGAAAAGTGTACAGTACATAATCTACAGTACATAATACCATTAAAAGATTCAGAGAGTCTGGAGAAATCTCTGTACACAAGGGACAAAGCTGACGGTCAGTACTGGATGCTTGTGATCTTCGGGTTGTCAGGCAGCACTGCGTTAAAAACAGGCATGATTCTGTACTGGAAGTCACTGCATGGGCTCAGAATCACTTATGGAAATTATTGTCTGTAAACACAGTTCGCCATGCAATCCACAAATGCAAGTTAAAGCTGTGTCATGCAAAGAAGAGACCATATGTCAACATGATCCAGAAACACCACCTTCTTTTCTGGGCCAAAGCCCATTAAAATGGACTGAGGCAAAATGGAAAACTGTTCTGTGGTCAGATGAATCAAAATTTGAAATTCTTTTTGGAAACCAATAATCCTGCGGACTCGAGGGTTGAGGGACCATCCAGCCTGTTATCAGCGCATAGTTTAAAAGCCTGCATCTCTGCAGTATATAGAGGTTTTAGAACAATGTCTCTTTCAGGGAAGGCCTTGCATATTTCAGCAAGGCAATGCTAAACCACATACTGCATCCATCACAACACCATGGCTTCCGGGTGCTGGACTGACCTGCCTGCAGTCCAGACCTTTCACCAATAGAAAACATTTGGCGTATCATGAAATCAAAAATCCAGCAAAGGAGACCCAGGACTGTTGAGCAGCTAGAATCCTACATCAGACAGGAATGGGACAACATTCCTCTCCCAAAACTCCAGCAACTGGTCTCCTCACTTCCCAGACGTTTACAGACTGTTGCTGAAAGAACAGGAGACGCTGCACAATGGTAGACACGGCCCTGTCCCAACTTTTTTCAGATGCGTTGCTGCCATCAAGTTCTAAATGAGTGAATGTTTTTCATGAAATGGTAAAATGTCTCACTTTCAACATCTGATCTGTGTTCTATGTTCTACTGTGAATAAAATATGGGTCTATGAGATTTGCAAATCATTGCATTCTGTTTTTATTTACAGTTATTTACATTTTACACAGCTTCCCAACTTTTTGGAATTGGGGTTGTAGATGAGAGAATATGTTTACATGCACTGGTCCACAAACACGGTCATAGCATATGTAGAGTCTGTGATACCTTGCAGGGAAGGACAGTAGCTGATTATAGGCCATGTGCAAGACCCGCAGGTTCTGGTGTCCCACCAGCAGGGCAGCGCAGTTCTCATTCAGGTTGTTTTCTGTAAGGTACAGCTCCTGGAGGGTGCTAAGGCTCTCCTCTGATTGGCTACTTGGGGGGATTGTCTCCAGTGCATTGGCTGACACATTCAGGTATTTTAAGCTGGGAGGAGGAAAAAAATAAACACCCAGGCGTATGTTTAATAATATCCTTCTGATATTCAGGCATGACCAAATAAATGGACGCACAATTCTTCTAATGTTCTAATGAGTTCTGTGCAATAATGGATGTAATGTAATGTCTTCTCATCAAGCATGTTGTGCTGAAACAGATGAGACAGGGAATCGATAAGCTTGCATCACTTAATGGAAGCTATCTGAAAACACTTAGAGAAAGAAATGTCCTGGCCAAAGCACAGGGATGTTCTGAAACACCCAGAGCTCAAAACAACCAAGACATCATTATCAGAGCTTTGGTTCCTTAACGCTGACCAGGGATTTTGACCAGAAGAGAATGTAAGCGTTGCTTCTCAAGCTCCTATTACATCACCACACCCTGGGTTACTTCCTCCTCTATACAGCCAAGGAGATCTACAGTATTTTCAGCGGTTTTTAAATATATCAAAAGTGTGGTCATCCCAGGTTTACTAGTTTTATCAGATGGAAACCTAGTGGTGTTTGCTGGGCTACTACTCATGTGTTTGTGTGTTCTGTTGGTGCTGCAAAAGGGCAGTGGAGCACGCTACAGAGTCACAGGCCCACAGGGCAGAGAGAGGCACAGCTGGAGCTCTCTTAGCACCTGCCACAGACCGTGTGAGAGAGAGGGATGCACAGCGATGGAGGGAGAGATGGAAGAAGGGGAATAAAGGAGGAAGAGATAGGGAAGGAAGAAGGGAGATAGAGAGGGTAGAGGGTAGGCATTGAATGAAGGCAGAAGGTAATGGAGGAGAGAGACGGGCAAGGAAGGAATGATAGAGAGAGAGGGAGGGAGGTAGGAAAGAGGTCTAGTACAGGAGAGACAGAGCCAGAGAAAAGAGAGAGAGAGAAAGAAAGAAAGATAAACAGATCAAAGAGAGAGAGAAAGAGAGAGAGGGTGCACAGGACAGAAGGAGGGAACGACCTACTTTAAGGCCTTGTAGAAGAAGCTCTCCGGGAGCTCGCCAAGCTTGTTGTGCTGCAGATCGAGGGCTTCCAGTGGGATGTGGTCAAGTAGGTCGGGCAGTTTCTGCAGTGCATTACTGCCAGCCAGTAGCTTCCGCAGACTCAGGCCACTGAGCAGCCTAGAGAGAGAGAGAGAGAGAGACAAAGAGAGAGTGATATGTCCAAACTGACAGGAAGACTCCACTGTCTGGAGCAGTGCATTTGATCGCTTCTGAAACTGAGGCATGAAAACTAAATATGACCAAATAAATTTATCAGCTCTCTCTTTCAAATTGCTTCCCAGCCCCAAATGCCAACACAGCACAATTCAAGCTTGGAGAAAAAAGAAAAAAGAAACAGAGCAAAGCAAAGTCCCAAATGGAGCACCAACAACCAGCTGTGTGTTATCTCATTTCGGGGAACCTTTCTGGCCCATTGACATGTAAATGACTGCGCTGTCAATGAGGAATTAGATGAAAACGCACATTCATCCTTGTGACTCTTGCATCTCAATCTTTTGACAGAGACAGCTAGTGGAGTCACCTAATCATCTGTCCGACGACAGGCGGTGTCCTGGTTTTCCTTCCGAGTCTGGCTAGACTCTTATTCCAGCCAATGTAAATCATATTAATACGATGCACTGTCAAATAAATGACCATGAAATGCTGAGACTGAGACGCAGAAAAGGAAGAGAAAATGAAGTCTACTGGGCCTCGGGACAGACAGCTGGACAGGACTTGAAGCATACAAACGCACACTCACTGACCTGGCCGGCAGCTCCAGCAGCAGATTATGGGAAACATCCAGCACCTCAATCTTTCTGCTGTCGCACACCCAGTCTGGTAGATATTCCAGAAGATTCCTATCAAACCACGGCAAAGTTAATCATGTCCACAAGTACAGGTTGAGGGCTGTTTGCTGTTTATTCATCATATTTCAAAAATGCCAACCACAAATCAAAACAAGCGATTAGCTGCACATCAGCTCACCATGAAAGGTCCATGTGTGTCAGTTGGTTGGGAACTGGATAGACGTTTACTGTGGCCAGACCTGAGAATGAAAATAATGTACCAAAGCACACTTTTTCAGCAGTGTAACACAGTTGACTGTGTATGGAGTGCGTGGGAAATGGTCAACAGTCAACTAAGACGTAAGCACATCTGTTACAGCTTTACTCACGATTGTTGCTGGCATGAAGAGTGCGCAGTGCAAAGCCGCTGAGTGTGAGCGTCTCTAGCTGGTTGCGCTGGCAGTGCAGGGTCTCAAGGTTGCAGGCAGCACTCAGGTCCAGCGAAGTCAGCCGGTTGTCCCTCAGGTCCAGTTGAGTGAGCTGCTTTATGGGTTCCAGAGTCTCGCTCTTCACACAGTGGAGCCCATTTAGCCTGGAACACAACAAAGACATCAATAAGACTGAGGACCCTGTTTATGTGGGAAAGCTAAGTCAGTATGTTCAATCAATATATTGATGTTTTTGTGACCACATATTGTTTTAATAACACTAAGCTTTAAACATGATGCATCAAGGGTGGGAGGAGTTCCATGTAAATAAGCCAATGAAAGGCGAAGTGTTGGTATTTTTGCGTAGTCACTGTGATAAGAAAGCATGTTCAAGAAATGTTTGCAAGGTAGTTTTAGGTTATTTGTTGTTCGGCATTTATTCACTGGGTTATTCTGAGCTGAGTAGCAAACGAGCTGTTAGTAAAAAGAAAACTCTGCTTATGTACGGCGTAGCAGTGGCCAACAACAGCTGGTTAATGAAGCACCATGACTTATGCAAAAGCTGTCATTCTAATCGCGGTGAAAGCTGCAACATGCTGGAAATGCATGGCAGTTTCAGTGAGTCATGGAATAATGTCCTTGATAATCACAGTTATGATACTATATGGCAGCAGTTAAACTCGATTACTAACTGGCGTCCTTTATGACACTGATAAACAGCCTATTACAAATGTGGCTATATAGTCCTAAACAGGTCCATTATTTTACCTATTTACAGTGGATTAACAAAGAAATGGAGGAGAATTAAAGGTGCAGTATGTAAGATTAAAGAATTAGCAGAAATGGAATATAGTATATAAAACCATGTTTTCATTGGTGTATAATGAACTACAGGTGACTGCATTGTCTTTTTTGTTAGCTTAGAATGAGCCCTTCATATCTGCACACTAAGCAGGGTCGTCTTCCATCAGAGGCTGCCATATTGTGTCGCCCTGTTTCTACAGTAGCCCAGAACGCATAAACCAAACACGAGCTCTAGAGCTGGATCACAAAGAAATAACTAGAATCAGAATCAGTGGCTGCTGCTGGTGCTGGCTGACCATTTTGTGTTGTGCGAAGATTGTGAACCCAAATTTTGACAAATGGAGGATCACACTTTTTGTTTAGCAAGGAAAGGTGAATCCTCATCGTCAAACAAGCAAAAACATAAAGAAGCAAAACAAAATTGGGACAGGCGACGGCAGAAAACCTGATGGCCACCATATCGCTGCTGTCGGAACAAAACCTTGTATCTCCTTTTTTGTTGTTTTTCAGGTTTTGGCATAATTTGAAAATGCTTGTTGTCCTTTACATTGTGTGTAAATTTCCTGATGAACCGACCAAAACAAACGGCCCAAAATGACTTGTAAAAACGTCCGGTTCCATTGACTTACGTTAAAAGTAAAGTATGTTTTTTCTTTCTCCTGTAAAGTCATTATTCTGGAGATACGAGGTTTTGATCCGACAACAGCGATATGTTTTACTACACGCTTGGAAAGGCAGGGACAGAGGGGTATTCAGTTGGTTGCAATCTGCAACATCACCGCTAGATGCAACTAATGCCGGCCTTATACCAAACGACTTTTCAAGCGATTTCACTGTGGCAGACAAATTTCCAACGTCGGAATAAAATCACTGAAAGTCTTGCTGGAGTTGCGTCGCGTTTGCGTCATCTCAATCGTTTAGTGTGAGGTGGTCAGGACGGCTGTCTTAAGTCAGTCTTTTTCTCGTCTTGACGCTGTGGCAAAATCAACCGTGTTTAATATTATCGTAAGTTTTGAGTCTTGGCTAATGCAAATAGTGACGTGCCAGGGGTGCGCGTGAGAGCGAGCAGGTGAGTGCATGCATGTAGCGCGACAGAGAGAGAGAGCGCATGCGTGAGAGCCTGAAATCTCTGTAAAAAGGCAAATCTGCTCCACTTTAATACAATAATCATATTAACCCAAATATGTAACCTGTTTAATATTTCAAGTTCACTGAGTCTGTAACAGTGATGTAAGGAAATGTGCAGAGGACTTTAAGAATGGCATTATTGAAGAATCATCAATGTTTTTTTTTCCTTTTTTTTGCTTTCTGTTACACTGGTTTCTGATTTTGTTTGATGTTTTATGGTTTAGTTCAACACCCAATCTGCCAGAATATACAGCTCTACAGTTGAACTGGACTGAGCCCCAGATCTTTACATGCTCAGCCAACATATCTTCCCATCTGTACCACTACAGAGTGGAAGGAAAAGGGTTTCTCTGCTTGTAAATTTTCACCAGGTGCATGATGGGGAGCAAATAGTGACGCTGCGAGATTCCTAGTCTTTGCAAAATCATAGTCTGTGACTAAAACTGTGACACTGTCTTTAGATGTGAGAGGGTGTCAGACTTTAGTCTTTCAAAAGTCTTTTCAAAGTCTTTTCGAGGTCTTCTAGTGTATGGTTAACATAAATCCTTAAGTGCAGGCAGTCTACAGGAACATGCGTACCAGCACAGAATATCATATCATTCCTCTGGAGGGAGAGGAATCCCATCCACGGAACCTCATCCGGTTGCCGTGATGTCTCAAAAATTTGAAGCATGCTTTTTTCCCCACTCTTCTTGATGTCACTAACATGCTCTTTGCATTATGCAATAGCTGTCACATTTCGAGGTAAGCTTCAGCACAAGCTGTTCCTTGTCCCGTTTTGTCATCACTTCAATTCGAAGAAGTTTTCTGGTGGTTTCAAATATTTGCTCATGCTGTGCTTGCAGCTCAGCCCCTCTGCTATGAAGCGTTCTTGGTGCTGCCTAAGTGAACTACCATGTTTATCCACTGTGCTTAGCACAGCAGTTTAAATACACAAGAAAAACGATTGGCTGAAAAGTAAGTTATAGGCACACCCTCTTATTTATTCTGCTTCGTTTAACCCTTCTGCACATAGCACACCTGGGTGTACCCAGAAAAAAAATGCATGTTTTCTTTTTGTCTTTGTGACATACACCGATCAGACATAACATTATGACGCTCATTGTCCATTTTATCAGCTCCACTTACTATATAGGTGCACTTTGTAGTTCTACAGTTACAGACTGTAGTCCATCTGTTTCTCTGATACTTTGTTAGCGCCCTTTTACCCCGTTCTTCAGTGGTCAGGACCTCCATGGACCCTCACAGAGCAGGTACTATTTGTGTGGTGGATCATTCTCAGCACTGCAGTGACACTGATGTGGTGGTGGTGTGTTAGTGTGTGTTGCGCTGGTCTGAGTGGATCAGACACAGCAGTGCTGCTGGAGTTTTTAAACACCTCAGTGTCACTGCTGGACTGAGAATAGTCCACCGACCAAAAATATCCAGCCAACAGCGTCCTGTGGGCAGCAGATGAGCTATCGTCTCTGACTTTACATCTACAAGGTGGACTGACAAGGTAGGAGTGTCTAATAGAGTGGACAGAGAGTGGACACAGTGTTTAAAAACACTCCAGCCGCACTGCTGTGTCTGATCCACTCGTACCAGCACAAAACACACTAACACACCACCACCATGTCAGTGTTACTGCAGTGCTGAGAATGATCCCCAAATAGCACCTGCTCTGTGAGGGTCCATGGGGGTCCTGACCACTGAAGAACAGGGTAAAAGGGGGCTAACAAAGTATCAGAGAAACAGATGGACTACAGTCTGTAACTGTAGAACTACAAAGTGCACCTATATAGTAAGTGGAGCTGATAAAATGGACAATGAGCATAGAAACAAGGAGGTGGTCATAATGTTAAGCCTGATCGGTGTATAACACACATAGGCATGACTGACAGGAAAATGGGACCAAAGCACTGAAGACACACTGCTGTCGGAAACCCAAAACAAAGGAAGAGGAGCATTCAGGATCACTGCAACGGACAGAACACTACAACAGAACCCCAAAGGACGGACAATGACTCAGGCGAAGTGTGGAATCCTCCAACTGACCGACTTCATGTGGCTCGGGCCGAGAGGAACCTTTGAAGCAATTCCAGGGGAACATTTTATTTGCAATGGAAGTCCCTTTGAGGGCCATATCGAGAGCACTGGTGATGTGTTTGCAGTTTCACAATGGAAAACTACGCTCCTTGATGTTCGGACGTATCTCCAGCTGGTTAAACACCCCCCTCAAGCAGAGAGCATCCTGTTCTGAGGGAAGGTGGCAGTAGCTAAGCTCTCCTGCTACCTAATGATAATGAAGAGCATCAAAGTTTCTGCTCCTTTAAACTTTGTGGGCACTCCATCTCCTTACTCACCATCTGATGCTCGTCAAGGTTCCTCTGGAAAGAAACGTGAATATGTGCAGACCTATGACACTAACAGAGGAGTAAGTCTTGAAAAAACAAACAAAAAAACTTGCTGGCTGTTCTTTGTAAAGCATCTCTGAATACTGGCGCTGGTCTAGGATTTGCCTCAGAATAAAGATGAGTAAAAGCTGGGGGTCAGAATCTAGATTTAGATCAATATATCTACTCCGAGATCCCTCAGGAGTATAGTCAGAACCAGGTGAAAAAGGTTCTACCCCACCCTCCTTCTCTTGCTCTCTTCTGAAGTCTCTCTGTCTCTCTCTCTCTCTCTCTCAGCGCCAATCTTCTTTATGAGTCTGGCTGGAACTCTGATCCACCACAGGTGTGGTAAGGCCCTTGTAAATCCACAGTCCCACATGGAGAATAAGTCTTCTCTCAAGGTGAGAAGCAGAAACGGAGCACAACAACTGAACCACATGGTTATGATTTACAGTGGAAAAAATATGAGACTGAAAGCTCCAACGTGGGGTGGGGGGTTAAATACTGTGCATAAAGAAAATATTTATAGGTCAGATGAGATGAGTATATTTGAAAATGGACGGTCAGAAGTACGTAAGAGAGACCCACTCAATTTATCAAGTCTCTCCCTCTGTGATGCACCAAAGGGCGATCTTGTAACGTTACCATTGTATATTGATCCTGCATTATGCATGAACAGACTGACAAGAGTATTAGCTCAGGGACAGGAAAGAGAAGCAGGGAGAAAGAGAATGGAGACAGAGACGGGCAGCGAGTGAAAGATAAAGATTAAAGTGAAAGCACAAAAGAGGAGAGAGTGAGTGAGAGAGAGAAAGAGAGAGAGAGACAAATGGACAATAGATTCTGATGGCTCACCGTAAGTCGATGCTCTTGACGTGGCTCATCCGCAGCAGGCCGCTAAGCTCCAGGGCCTCCACTCGGTTCCCGGCCATTGCCAGCTTGTCCATGGCACCAAGCCTCTCCAGCACAGCAGGGATGTCGGGGAAATTGTTAAAAGAGAGCCCCAGGCTGCAGAGCTGCGTCAGGCCGCCCAGCTCCTCGGGCAGCGAGTTCAAGTGGTTCCCGTCCAGACAGAGTGTCTGGAGGCTGGGCGACAGACAGACAAGTCAACTCCCGTTATTCTGGGTCATATTAATCTCTCTGGACAGACACACTCTGTGACCCCTCCATAAGAAGTGTGGAAGACGGCACTGGTTAATATGAAATTCCAGTCATGCTTTGTGTTAATCACCTCCATGATTTAAGCCGGACTGAGAGCATTAAAACTGGTCTGATTTCTAAGCCTGATTTAATCTGGTTGCATAACGAGCACAGCCGAGCTTAATGCATTTCACTGGCTCAATTAGTAAAGGAAAAAAAAATGAAGTTTATCTGACAGGGGATTGGCTCATGTGAGGAGAACGTGGGTTCATGTGCCTGGAAAAAAAAAGCCACTCTGGTGGCAGGATTGCTCTGCAATGTCTAATGCCCTGCATAATTTATGCAAATTTCAAAGAATATTCATAAGCACAACCACTCTCATTATCATACACTAAGATTTCACATCACCACCAAGACAAAAATCCAGTCCTCCAAGTCATATTGCTTTTATGAAGAGGGGAGTGGCCAGTGCCGTTATCACTGCTGCACGTACAGCGCACACTTGTATCAACATGCAAGGGACTCAGACTGATTTGCATGTATTTTTTTTTATATTTGCAACTCAGCACACTGCATGAGTAGCCACAAATGGACAGCTTTTTAGGTATTAAGAAAATAGAAGAGGTATGGAGACTATGCATCCAACGTTCTGACCTCTGAAGGTTGCCAATGCAAGGTGGAATGGAGCTGAGCCCATTGCAGGAGAGGTTGAGTTCAGACAGGGTCTGGATCTCAGACACGGACTCAGGGAACACACCTAGCCGATTGTGAGACAGATTCAGGCTCTTCAGCTGGGCGAACCTGCAAACACACACAGAGCCCTCCCCCCATCAGTGAAGCTGGCACAGCGATAAGATACACAATCATTAACTCATACTGCTGGTGACGTTCTGTGGGGGAAAAATACTGTCATTACGATAAACCTGCTCCATTGTTCCTTTCTCATGGAAATATGCAGTGCTGCTTTGTTATGCTTGTTTTAGCAGCATGGGTTGGACATTTTTGGGTGCAGGTCTCTAAGGAAAGGCACTGGCTGTCTGACCTGGCCTCTTTTGCTTGCCTGCAGTAATGACCGAGACGCCTTTTGTGTCCTGGATATAACAGTTGAGTGGCGCATAGGATGGATTCTGGATGAGTGATCGTCACAAACCTTTCTGGCCCAAAATGGCTCCAAGCTAAATAATATGAAAATTGTGTCACTGATACCACTTTGAACATTCTGATAACTGATAATAACAGATTCCTATTTTATTTAACACATTAAAATCCCAGGTTTATTACATCCTAAGGCTTATTATCCTGTAATTACATGGACTACAATGCAAACTGGCTTGTCCATGGCCATTTCAGGAGCAAAACATTACACTACTGACTGATGCCCGTTGTCAACTGTAAAATGTCAACTATTACTGTGAGTTTTCAATTATAAGCAAGCACAGATATAGGAAATGTGGGTCATTGCTGAGATTTGATATTTTACATGGGCATGTCTCTCTCTCTCTCTCTCTCTCTAAATATATATATATATATATATAATATATATATATATATATAATTGAAATTTGAAATGATGATCAATAAAATGACATTTTAGTCAGATCATCTGATCTAATATTATCATTAACCTTTACTAATTCTGATGAATGATTTTTCTTTTTTATTATTTTCATGCTGTAATATACAAGGTGATTCATCTGATGTAAAATGATTTATTTGTAATAATCATTACAGATCAATGCAGTAAACTGTAAATGGTGAGCATAAAGTTTATTATGTAATTGTACAAGGTCTCAGTATGAACCTCCTCCAGCTGTACGGAAAACATCAACACCATAGTCAAACTCATCCCATACTGGATTGAGCATGTCGGGTGTCGTTGCACTCACGGCTCTATCAGTGCGATTTTGGAGATCATCCAGTGTTGTGGAACCAACGACGAACGCTCTGAGCTGTTGGAGCTTCACTGCCCACGAAAATCACACTGCACAGTTATGACGGATTCACTCTTATTGAAGTGGAGAACGCAGAACGCTTTCTGCTCAGGGGTCTCATCTCCTCGCAGACTGAAGGGAGCCATCTTCCACTGACAGTCAGAAACTCTATGACCCCCTCTTTCAGTTGGATTGTGATTGGTTCCTAGACGCCTCACAGTTGTAAAAATATGGCGCTTTGAAATCGGATGAATCTTTTTGAATCACCCTGTAGAATGATATACTAAGTATCTGCTGTTTATCAGCAGGACTTTCACCAATAAAGATCAATCCATGAGACTTCAATATCAGCTGATATTATCGGCCCATCCCTTTGGTCGGGCCCCCACACACACAGACATACCCACACCCACACACAGTGTAACTCTGAATGAAGTATTGTGGAATGGAGGACATGACTGTAGAGAATCCGCAGCTATTTCATAGTCATAGATGGCCGAGTCATAACATATGCTGAAGCTGGCTGCTTGGGAGAGCACTCCTGCCTCACAGCACACACACCCACACACACACACACACACAGATGCCCCTGTGCTGCCACACACAGTTGCTAAATATACCATACAGCTGAGATGAGCAAAGAGAAAGGGATGGGGCGGAGAGGGAGGGAGAGAGAGAGAGAGGGAGAGAGAGAGAGACAGCGAGTGAGTGAGAGAGAGACAGCAAGATACAACCATGTGTGAAAGCTGCCACGAGCAGAGCGACTTCTCTCATGCACACCCTTTCTCTCTTGTGCACACACACATACACATTAACACAGTCCATTTTCCGCTCTGTCTTCAGGTCTGTTCAGAGGACGGCAAAAACACTAAGGAAAGTTGATGATTAACATCTAATAGCATCATCTCCTGCATGGATTACCATTCACCACTCGTTCTCTGTTTGCCCTGAGCAGACAGTCAGCAAGCCAAGTGTCTTTAGCCAAGCATGGAACCATCCATTCTTACTCTTCTGCACCCAAAACAGTGAAGTCAGCATCACAGCCATATCATTGTCAGCGTACAAATCCAGCCATGATCAGTATCACACAGATCACATCCACAGCCTTATCAGCCCATTATGTAAAAGGGCATCTGAGCAACATTATGCAGTTATCTTATCAAAACCAACACCATGCAACTACAATAACAGTCACAAGCAGAACCATGTTCTAATGGACTCTGTCAAGTTAATCTAGATATCAGTTTATGAGCTGTTTTTGCAGTTTCTGTCTCGACCAGGCTGGAATCACAAACTTATGCCATGTTTAGAGGCAGGATGTGGGAAAGAACACAGGTCTTTATTTCTGGTGAGATAACTCCTACCGGTCAAAGTTGCAGAGTCCTCCAGGACCCTCCAGACTCATGAAGTTGTGCCGCAGGTTGAGATGTGTGACGTCTTGGCTGTAGAAAAGGTATTCAGGCACCTCCTCCAGACTGTAGCAAGACAGGTCCACCAGGCTGATGGTCTGAGAGACGACCTACACACAAACACATGCAACGGTATCATGGTAAAAACCACATTACCCACAAAAACAGTGGGTTGAATTTCCTGTGCTGTTGCTATGGTGCAGAAATAATAGCATGGGCACATAACATCAAGGTGCATTTAGGAGATTGTTCTGAATTTTTGATCGACTCAGAACACCTGTAGAATGTTTTGATATAGAAAGAGAAAATAAAAATGAAAAAATAAAAATACAACATGCAGCCCATGATCTGTTTAAGGCACAGATATAGTATAGATGTAGCTCAGGACAGTGTACCAAGAAGATTTAAATATTGGGTACGGGATGGACAGCTCGGGTCGTTCTGAATAATAGTGAGCAATATGGAAAAAATATCATAATGCTGAAATAAACAATAAACAAAAAAAATAAACAAGATATTTATGGCAAAATTCTTACTAGTAAAAATGTTTCCCCCAATAAAATGAATGGGGAAACTCATAAATTATCACTAGTAAAAATTTAATTTTGAATAGTAAAAAGTACAATTTTACTTTTAAAAATGTAATTTTCACACATAGAAACTAAAAATTTAATTCTTGATATCAAGAATTAAATTTCTACATGTGAAAATTCAGTTTTAACTAGTAAGAATTAAATTTTCACGTGTAAATTGAATTTCTGATATCAATAAAAAAAGGATTAAAAGCTAAAACGGTTTGCCGTAGATATTCAGTTTTTGTAAGGGACAAAACAGACCCAGAGCTGCACAGCTTTATGAGTGTTGGCCCTGTACTGGGTGATCGAGAATTCAATTCCTGGCACTCATCTGTGGCCGGGCGTCCAAGACAGAATAACCCTCCCTCTCTCCTCATCACTCAGCAAGATGCTAGCCAATGAGGGAGTCTGTAAGCTGAAGTAACAGAATTGGCTATTAGCATTCTCCCGAGACTGTACAGCTGTCCAATAACATTAACGGTAGTTCGAGAAGACGTGATGGAGCTTCACGTGACTCGGATGAAGCACGTGGTAGCTTTCACTCTCCCAGCTTGGTGGCAGTGTGTGATGGGGGAGACCTAGCAAGCAGGTGGAATTAGTAATCACTAAACTGGGGACAAAATTTGGAGAACCCCTATTTAAATATAGACTATTGTTATTACTATTATTATTATTATTATTTCTGCAGTTATCCGGCTTAAGGTTTGAGTTTTACTTTACGTTTACATCACGTCTTCTTCTGTGAGTTTATTGGCTGGTTGCATAGCAGAAATCTGATTACTGTCTGACTCATGTAGACCTGGAGTTTCCCCATTATCTGATTACTGAAGAGCATGTAAACGTGTTGATCGGATTACTGACAAAATGTGATTTTCTGCAGTTATCTGATTATTAAGTGCATGTAAACACACTCATTGATATAATGATACTAAAATAGTTTAATAAGTTAACAGTTTAATGGGTTGTGTTCTAAAACTACAAATGATAATGATAACATATCATCATCTTGTCTGCCCAAAATTCGGATCACATTTTCCATAGACTCAGTGAACAACTTTCTTGTTACAATATGATAACCAGTCACATGAATAGTATCAGAACACACTCTATTTTAATGAGAGAGAGTAAGAGAGAAAGAGAGTAAAGGAGAGAAAGAGAAACAAAGAGAGGGAGAGAGAGCTTATGTGGTAGTGGCTCCACTGACTGTTGATGCTATCTGGCAGTCAGGCAGTCTCGCCTCTCTGTTGCACTGAAAGAGTGCCTTTATAAACCAGCCTTTTGCTCCCCCCACATCACAAAGACTGCCACAATGCACATTAGTCACTAAGCCCACCATGCACAGCCTCCACACACACAAACGCACACTCAGAGACAGCACACAGGCACGCATGAGCGAACACACATGCTCACACACACAGCACTAACTGAATTTAGTCTCGCCAGAAAAGATCTCAAAAACGCACTGAAACTGGAAGCCCGTCAACATCTCTCCTTTCCTCTCTCGCTCCCTCTCTCTCCCTCTCTCTCACACCATGTCATCATGGTAATCAACTCTTCACCTCACACAGGCCTCCCTCCTAAGCCAACGCTGACTAATTGGATTTTCATTCTTCTGTGTTTTTTTTACCTACTCCCTCATTGTGTACAAGTGATCGTTGCCTGGATGGAGGTATTCACAGTCAGCTGGGGTCTACACAGGGGAAGCACGTTAATTAGATGATTAGAGGCCAGTAAGGAAGAAGCTGGCAGAGAGGGCAAGAGGAGAAAAAGAGACATTCATATGACTAAGGCTGGCTTTACATCGGGAAACTTGCATGCAAACAAAATTCAGCTGCATAACGTAAAGCGTTCTGCTACTCTTTTGAAACTCAGCTGCAATAGTTGCAAGTGACTGAACTTGGTTTCATGGAACAGCCAACCAAAACAGCAATAACTCATCATGTGATCACGATGCACTGAAAAGAAGATCCTCCTGATAAACTTAATGGTAGGTTGATAGTTTTTCATTTTGTTATTTGCACAAGCAACGACCAGAAAAAGCTAAATTTTTTTCTGTAGTCAGCTGGATTAAATGCACCCTCACTCCAAATTTGATACGTTCCAAAAAAGTTGGGACACAGCATGTTTACCACCGTATTACACAATCTTTCTTTTAACAACACTTAATAGTTGTTTTGGGCCTAGAGACACTGATTGTTTTAGAAGTGAAATTTTTGCCATTCTTCTGTTATTCGAGTCTTCAGCTGTTCAACTGTACAGAGCCTTTGTTGTCAAACTTTGCGCTTATTAACACACACTTTTTCAAAGGGAGATGGGTTTAGTCCACATGAAGACAAGTCTAGCATCCTTACTGATTACGCAGCCATACTGTTGTAACACATGCGAAATATGGCTTGGTGTTGTCATGTTGAAATAAGTAGAGATGTCTCTCACAGATACTGCTAATACCCCCCCCCATACCATGACAGACCCTGGCCTTTGAACTTGATGCTAGTTAACAATCTGGATGGTCCTTTTCTTCTTTGGCCCAGAGAACCTGATATCCATCATTTCCATAAACAATCTGAAAGGTTGACTCGTCAGACCATAATACTCTTTTCCAGGATGCATCAGTCCATTTCAGAGGAGCATGAGCCCAGAGAAGTCGGCAGCGTTTCTGGACACTGTTGACATATGATGTCCACTGTGCATAGTACAGTCCTAACTGACATTTGTGGATGCAGCAACGCACAGTGTTTATTGACAGTGGTTTGTCAAAGTATACTTAAGCCCATGTAGTGATATCCTTCACAGAAACATGCTGGTTTTTAACGCAGTGCTGTCTGAGGGGTTGAAGGTCACAGGCACTCATTTGTGATTTTCAACCTTTAACTTCATGCATGGAGATTTCTCCAGATTCCCTGTATCTTCTGATGACATTATGCACTGCAGGGAATGAAGTACATAAAATCACTGCAGTCTCTGGCTGAGAAATGTTATTTTTTAACTGCTGGATTTTTTACTGGTGTATTTTTGGCAAAGCCTCGACCGTTCTTGCTCATAAAGGAACAGACCTTTCCTGGATTTTCTATTTACAAGCATAAATGGATAATGGATAACTTAATAGGTTTTCTGAACATTTCACAATGTTCCTAATCTTAGATTGCCCTTGTCACAACTTTTTTGGAAAGTTTTACAGGTTTTCAGAATAAGCGTATATTTACAAAAAAACAATGAAGTTGATAAAACATTAAATATCTTGTCTTTGTTCCTTTTTTTCAAATACAGCTTAAAGTAGATTCATAAAATCACTGCTTTCTCTTTTTACTAGCATTTTGCCTACTGTCCTAACTTTTTTGGAACTGGATGTACCTTGTTAAATAACTGTTTACTCTTCTCTTGATGGCACCTAATTTTACGGAGCATGGAGATTCTACACAAAGGGAGGCTGAAATGTTCTCCTTGATAACTTGTAGTGCTTCTAGACAGGATGAGCGAGGCGTCAGGTACAACCACAGCAGCTAATTAAACACCAATTTTCAAAGAACATACAGAGAACAGAAAAAATGTATCATATATAGATGCACATAGTTAGATAAATACAAGATAGATATATAGATATAGAGAAAAAACAGTGACAGCTGGAAAAGTTATACAAAGATGACAAAATGCTGCAAATACGCAAACTTAAAAACATCACAGATGATTTTATAAAGTGACAGCGATATAATGTATTAAAGAAATATTAGCTGTTAATTTGGTTGACTAGTGTTTTATCTGGTATGCGAAACTGACTGATTTGTGTCAAGTTTCACAGAAATCGCAAATGCCTGTAAGAAAGTTTCACATGTGAAGCCGTGGTAAAAAAAAAAAACAGGGAAAAGATTATGTCTGCTTCCATCATACGTAAACACAGGCTGCTGTTTCAGCAAAGCTGTGCTCTGCAGGTGGTTGGTAAAGGGTGCATCTCCGTGGTACACTGAGTACAACACACGCACACTCATTTCATGACAGGAGAATTGGGACTAAATACAATAGACAATCAGGAGTAAGGAACAGTTAGTCATTTACCCAGCAAGCTTTGAGCTCTCTAATGAAAGCTTAATGCGGTGCTTGGTTAGATAAAACCCCATCGACTCACTTTGGAAGCCTGCCGATGCCAGTGCTGGTATTCGGCCAGCGTATCGAAGTTTACGTAGTAAGTCTGGGCCTGGGGGCCGGCAGAGCTGAACATCAGACAGTGCTGCCTCCTCTTCACCTCTTCTACCTGGAGACAGAATTGATTTAAAAAAAGTTACACTATCAGAAAAAAAGGTATGAAACTGTCACTGGGGCAGTGCCCCTCTTATCACTGGGGTGGAACCCTCAAGGGTCCATCTCAGTACCTTTAGTCAGGGAACATAACTGAACCATAATCCACTGAAATGATATGTTCTAAGCTGTACACTCTCCACACACCCCGTCTCGTCTCCAGCCTTTTATTTTACTGTTCTGTTTTAAAACATTCGGTTATGAAAATGTTCAAATATGTACTTTTCACTTGGGAAAAACTTGTTTAACTTTTTCAACTCCTTGAGACCACCGGTGGCTCCAAAACGCACTTCGTCATATTCTTCATAACTTTCATATTTCATAAGCTACATTCAAAAGGCGGGGGTCGTATGAGAGCTGTAACTGTCTTCTTTCCAGTCAAATAGATGGGTGATGTAATTTTAAACCCTTATAATAAAAGAAGCTGAACTTTTTTCTACTGAAAGTCGACCCATTTTTCCACAAATCTGGGCTATAAACTATAAACAGATGGCGTCTCTTCAGTGATCTGCTCTGTAAAAATTATTTTTATAAAATAATACAAATAGCGTCTAACATTTGGCTTTCAGCAGTAAATTGTAAGCATATAGCAATATGTGTATCATAAAACACATGTTCTGTTAATTTGAGGGGAGCTTTTAAAATAAATAATTAAATAAATAAAATAAAAATTTACATTCATTTCATGTAGTTACTGAATAATTTGACTTACGATTTGGTCACGTAAGTTCAGATGGACAAACCAAAACATACCCTGGTCAATAAGAGGTTAGGGTTCACAACTGGACCTTAGAACCACTGTTGTACCTTTGAGGGAACACTTGCATTGTTTGCACCTTGATAAACGAAAAATGTACCTGCACAGAACCTTTATTTCTAACAGTGTAGGGTGTGTTTGTGTTCGTGTGGGAGAGAGAAAGTGAGAGAGTCCGACATTATGAGTAAAGTTCCAAAAGCAATTTGTAAGGTGTTATAAAAACGTGGTGATGGAATGGTGTTCTCTGTACCTGAGATGCAGTTAGGGTCCCCTTTGTGCCTTGAAAATTATTTTAATCTACTCAAGCAGACTCACAGTTGTGTTTCTCTTACTATAGAAATAAGTGGGTGAGCATCTCGGTTACCTTAATTATCCACCCACTAAAAACCATCAACAGTTTCCTTAGCAAACAGCAAGGGACACAGCACTCTCAGCAGCAAGACATTAACTGTTGTCCATGGCGTTTGACTGCTAATGCGTCTATGTTAATCAGTGAAGCCTTTTGTACCAGCCATATGCATCTACAGTCACATGTGCTTCGATTCTATTTTTACCGCTTTCAAGCAGCACGCTAGAAGTTTCTCGGTAAAAAGTTGATATATTTCAACTTGTAGCCCTAGGAAAGACATGTAGGATAGGCTAGTGTTACACTCTTCACCCTCCCCACCCCCAACCACCAGTGTCACCCACTACTAAAAATTTCTAGGGCAAACACTGCATAACTAATGTAAATGTAGCCATGCGAGTCCCTCTGTGCTCTAGCATTTCTTCTCCAGCTCCCCTTTCTTGTCATCCACAGCTGTGTTTGTACACTCCAGCTGTGACTCTGTCCTCAGGGAAAGAGGAGGGTGACAGGGTTGAGCGTGGGTGTCTAAGACCACCCCCACTTACCTTCCCTCCGACCAGGGGTAGGATGTGCATCTTGCCCGTCAGGCTGTCTTTGACGGAGGCCACGATCAGGCACGTGCCACATAGGATGACCTGCCGCTCCGCCCATTTGTGAAGTTGCGTCTTGCCCTTTCGCACACTGAAGACACCCTTCAGTAGAGTCCGCTCTTGCTGGTCTGCGTTCACTGGACGCTCTGCAGACACAAACACACACAGGGGTACACCTTCAGAAATCACCCTCAAGAGTACATCTCGGCACCTTTAATCAGGGAACATAACTGAACCATAATCCACTGAAATGATATGTTCTAAGCTGTGCTGACTCCACACACCCCGTCTCGTCTCCAGGCTTTTATTTTACTGTTCTGTTTTAAAACATTCGGGTATGAAAAGGTACAAATACGAACTTTTCACCTGGAAACACTTATTTAAGGTTCACAATCAGACCTTAAAACCACTGTTGTACCTTTGAGGGAACGTTTACATTGTTTGTACCTTGATGAATGAAAAATGTACCTGAACAGAACCTTTATTTCTAACAGTGTAGGTAGACAAATATAAATACAAAAATTTGCACTGGCCACTCGGACCACCAAGCCAATCCTTTTGGGGCCAAAATTAAGAATCTGGCTAGAATTACTGAAACATGTTGATCATATATATGTTGCATTTGCAATTAACACACATGCATCATGATCAAAAATCAGGTTTTTCGCTTTTTGTCATCCACTCTTTTTTTTTGTTATACCTGTTAAACCACAGAATGACATCAAGGGATCCTCATATTTCATGATATGAACAGCCAGACTGTTTTTTTTTACTTTTTTTTATTATTATTATTTTTTAAATACTCTGAGTTCTAGAAAGACATTGTCACTTAGCTACTGCGGTGCTAAAGTTAATGTTACAGTAGGCACATTTCAACAAAATTGGATGCAATTAGTTCCAGGTCTGACCAAGTTTAAGCTTGTAGCCTGAAAAAACCTGGAAAAACTAAAACGTTGGCACATTTCGAAGCCAATGACTCGTCACCATCTACCACTGCACCAGCTGGTTGTACTTTTGGTGTTAGCTCATTAGTTCATCAGCTTCTGTTATTCAAGCCTTATCTGACAGCAACAAAAAGAATTCCTTTGGCTAATTTTCAATAAGAAACATGTTTTCAAATGTAATATCTATAGCTGATAACATTTTATTTGTGCTACAGATTTTTTTAACTTGCTAGCACAAGTGCACTGGCTTAAATACTGTATGAGGAAGATGAAAAAGATCTACAATACATTAATATCAGCAGAAGCCCTGCTTTCTACCTTCTTTCCTGTGGTTAAAAGGGCCATAGAATGGAAAACTGTATTTACGTTGGCACAGTTGAATAAGGAGAGTTCAGTACATAGAACTGACATACAGTGAACCTCAAACACTGTTATCACCTCCTTCCACTACAAATCCCGTATTTGCAAAAAGAACGGCAGTAAAACATCCTAAACTGCTGCATAACAGTCTTGACTCATTAACACTTACACCCCCAAAATTTACATACAATGACAACGCAGCGCAAGAAAGAAAATGGCGGGCTATGTGCAGAAATGGAAGCTCACTCTTTCCAAGGAACCAAACTGTCAACGGGCATCGTTGATGTCCATCCTTAAACAAGGCTTAAGTTGGCTTCCTATTCGCCAGATTCTTAATCGATGCTCCATTCCACCTTAAATGCTTCAGCTTGTACAGCCACCAAAATGTACAACACTGTGGCACCATTTAAGGTGGAACAGAAAATGTGTAAAACAGGCTGGCAAATAGGAAGACAAGTTCAGCTCCCACATTATCGGGATCCCAAACAACTTCAATTCAAAGTTGATGGTTTGCTCTGCACATTTCACTCCAGACAGTTCCTCAAACCCTGGACAATATCACGAAGGCTTCACTCTGCGTTTGACACTGAAGAGACTGAAGAGAGGGGTAGTTCCAACATTATTAGCATCACAACCCCAGCAGCAACCTGTAAGTAGCTACCAGTGCTGTGTAATTGTATCCACTTTTTGATGGTCTTAAATTTACAACTTTATAACTACTATAATAACTTTAATTTACTCTGTGTTGTTGTTGAGATGGAAAGCAACTTGCTATTATAGGTAACATTAGCTGATAGCAGGCTCTAAGTAACCAGCATAGCTAACTAAATAGTATGACAACCGAGCTTATTTACATTGAGGTTTACTTTATTTTCCTGCCTGTGTCTATTTCAACACCTGCATGCCTCACTGTAAACCAGCAAATCAGAGCAGAGCTCATCAAATTATTTCTGAGTGCACCAACAAAGGGAAAACGGTTAGTTTCATTCTAAGGCCAAAATCAGACGGTTGTAAATGGGTGTGTAAAACCACATTTGGGCATTTTTCATAACCCCATAAAGTCATATATCTTCTATGTAGACATCAAAAAACAATTTAAAATACCAAAGAAGTGCAATCTTTAGCACCTTTAACCGAATATCCATTCATTAACCCTTTAAGGCAGATGTAAAATGCCATTTTATTCAGCCCTTTCTGTTAATAATGCGCCTTCTGGATGCTGTTGTTGCAATTAGTTGATATATAAAAAAGGTGATCTATCAAAGCCAAAAATTCTGGGATTTTTATTACATTTTTATTACATTTTGGTCACAAACTAACTTTCTAAACAAGCAAACACATTAATAGCTCACACATAAGTCTGATTAAACAAAACAATAATAACTGCGTACCAACCAGAACTGTGTTTTCACTCGGAAAAAAAAAACACGGTGTATCCAACGAGAAGAGGAAGCCTCGTGCATATTTTACATAAAGGCAGAAAACCCACAAAAAGCTCCTGCTCTACACACTGAGACCGAGAACATTTTAACCGCTGCCAACAGGAACGTGCATGTGGCGAAACTCTTCTGGCAGCTGATTTGAATGAGCGCCTTTCTTTTCTTTCATCTTTTCTCATTTCTTAAAACCAATATGTAGCATGTGCACACACACAAACACACAATAGGTGTAGCTGATAGAGATCTTCTTAGCACAGAGCCCCTTCCAAGAAGCAGCTGTCACAATATGATGCTCACACAGCCACATGTGCTAATTAGGGCCATATGCAGAGTATATTGCAGGCGCTCTCTGTAGGAGGTGCAGACCGAAGGACAATGGGGCTGCCAACAAATGATGTCACATAGACTTCTCTCCCAGTGAGACTCATGCAATCTATAAGGTCACTGAGGTTACACAGAAACAGATACAGCCGTGTCAAACCCCTTTTTCATACTGTCTGACACACACACTCACATAAATACACACCACTGAGCCGTCATAGGCCTTAATAACTTACATGACCGAACAATGCAATGTTGCTGCACCTCAACTGTTTGTAATAAATTCCCTATTATTCTAACAACAGAGTCATTCTCTCTCGAATGAATGAATGAGAGAGTGAATGAGCCGTTAGGAGCCATCCGTCTTTAAAGACTGAGAGAACGTCACATGAAGCAAACGTGAGACAGGAACAGATAGCTATCAGCATAAACACTGAAACGCTTCCTCCCACAGCCACACACCCACACAGCTCAGAGGACTTGGCTGCTGCTCTGCTCCCTGAGCTCATCCTCCCCAGTTGCAGTCAGGTTGATGAATGAGCCGGGCTTTTGCTACATTAAACTTGCCTTTTTCAATCTGATTATTTAGCCAGCGTCGGCCGTGGCCTCGATACGGCACCTCTGAAGGACACGTCAGACACCCACAGCTCCAAACTCTGCCAGGGCTCAAACACACTCAGGTTAATGGCTGGTCAAACAAAACACAAAGGACGAACAACTTTTACTTCCCTTGCAGCTTCTTTTTATGTGTGCTGGTCTGATGTGAGAGTGGATCAGAACCGGTGTCTCTCTATGGAGATTTGGCACAGTGTGTTGCCTGCACTGTTGTTCCTACAAATCTAAAGGAGCCCAGCTGAGTGTCTTTTGTTTGGAAAGCTGATAAGGAACAAGTGGCAGTGACAGTGCGCTGTGGTTAGGGCTGAGATCGATAAGAGTGTCTGATTGCTGGGCTTTCCCACTCCCTGAGTTCAAGAGCTCCAGCTTAGGGGACGAATATGCAGAATACAACTTCGGAGGAGGGTCTCTCGGTCACCCTGAGGGGCTAAGGGCTTGACCTGTCAAACTCAGATCTATGGAGCTCAGCAGGGAACTGAGTGACGGACAACAACAAGAGAATCACAATATGCTTTTCTTTCTGCACATTATCAAAAAGACGGATTTAGACCAATTATGGAAAACCTGTAAACAACTACTAGTGTATAGTAACTTTACCACTTTCCTTTTATTCCATTTTCTTCCTGCAAATGTTTTAAAAAATCATTGTACTTGTTTATCACAGCCTTTTCCAAAGGTACCACTACTGTTCTGCATGTGCATTTAGTGTGTTCACAACTAGCCTGTAAACCTCAGAGTTGGGAAACCTGTTTTGGGAAAATGTCTTCATATTGAACCTCCTTAATAGCAAAAATATGCTTACACACATACATCATCAAACAATAACGTAGGGATGCTATTCTCAGTTAAGGCAGAAACAGCCATGTCAGCACATGTATATGGTCACACATGCCGTCTGCCATCATTTGATTCTCAGTCAGTGAATCTACAACAGTTCACGCAACACCTTCAAATCACTGATACCATACAACCTCACCCCACACACACGCACAACCTTCTAAGGACCTTGGTTAAGAGTACACGTCAGTCCAGCCTTGTTTTAAATTGTAAAGTGTGGGCGAGAAGGTTGGAGACAGTCCAAGATCACCCGAAAGGAGTCAAACTCCAGCACGACCAAAAAAACTCCTAACACAGACCATGAAAAATGGACTAATCAATTAATATTATTATATGCACAGTCTCAAAAGCATGGTGCAAAGTCAGTTGTTGTAATAAGTAACTGGACAGTGATATGACTTTGGTTGTTTCAGCTCTACTTCAGCACATCAGGTCTGAAACAAAACAGTGGCAAAATATCAGCATGCCTACTATTCCTCCCTTGTGATGAGCAATTGAAATGCTTAAAGTCCCAGGGAACAATGTAAAATTGGTTGTTATATGAAACATATAGCAGATTTTTAATTAAAAAAAACAGATACAAGTATGATAAAACCTGCTTAAAGGCCCATGACACAATCCCATCTGGCC